GGACTGTGACAGAACTCCCCCCTCCCGGGAGGCGTGACCTCACGCCGCAGAACAGAGGAAGGAGGGGGGACGAACTGGGGGCTGAGCGGGGCGAGGCCAGGGTGGAGCAGGCTGAAGGCGTGGCCAGGGCGGAGCAGGCTGAGGGCGTGGCCAGGGCGGAGCAGGCTGAGGGCGCGACCAGGGCGGAGTGGATGGACCCTCAGGTGTCCTTGGTGGAGACGACGGAGGGAGGAGCCATGGAGGAGGCGGGACAGACGACTCCAGGGAGCCGACTGATGGAGGCGGAGCAGGTGACCGAGGAGACCAGGGTGAAACCATAGAGCCGACGAGACAGGGCGATGTAGGAAGGCTGGAGGGGCATGGTGACACTGATGGCGCCGGCGACCGAGGCCAAGACAGGGATCCTGAAGACCGCGGCGGAGCCAGAGCGACCGAGGACCAAGGTGGAGCCGGAGGGAGAGAAGAGCCCAACAGAGCCCGAAGGATGGACTGACGAGGCAAAGCCAGAGGAGGGTAGTCCCAGGGCAAGGGCGGGTCGATGAAGGACCAAGGTGGAACCGGGGGGACGAGGAAGCCTGGAGGAGCTGGTGGGCTGAGGGGCCACGGCGGGGTTGAGGGAGGTAAGAGCCATGGTGGAGGTGATGGACCGGAAGGCTGAGGCAGAGTCCAGGTCGAGGAGGTTCGAGGAGGAGACCGGGGATCCCCCGGTGCGGAGCACAGAGAGCTAGATTACGATCGTCATTTTCAGGAACATAATCAAACATAAATTGTATCCATTGTTGACGAAGTACAGCGTCTGTGGGAAGTTCGAATACAGAAGACAGCTGGATGTCTTCTGACAGCTGGATGAACAACTCACTCGACGAGCTGGAGCTGCTCAAATATGGCCATGCCCTTTTCTGCTTGTTCCGGAGGGAGTGGTTGATGCAAATGTGTGGGTTAGTGACGTACCATAACCCAGCTGTAGTCCCAATCCAGTCGTTTTTGTAGGCAATATACTTCCTGATTTTAAAAAGACAATATCTCTGCTTACATTGAACTTTCAGCACTGCAACTTTGCAGATACTGTTCATGCATCAACAGCAACATTACACACTATTTAAAATGAAAAAAGTGAAATCGCAATCAACCCCCCCTTTAAAAAGCCTTAAAAGCATTGAATTTATGAATTTGGAAATACCTTAAAGTCTTTAAAAAGTCTTGAATTTTGATATCTGGATCTTATAAATTGTGCTGTATGTCAGTGTTAATTTCATTGACGAAAATAATGATAAACTTTTCTTCAACAACATTTTTTCACTGACGAAAACGAGACGCTAGTTTTGAATTACAAAAACTATGACGAAATTCTATTGATATTTCCGTCAACGGAAAAAAAAACCTAGATGAACATGTTAGTGTCGATCTGGGAAGCGATCCAGTCAGAACTGATGTCCTGTGTGTGTTTAGCTAATGTTAAAACACAACTTAACATTGTTCGGCAAACTTTCTTGTGGCCTACTGAAATGTTTTTATTTTACCTGCTTGGCTTATTATCTTTTACCCATTCCACATTTGAAAAATAAATGAACACAAGTTGAAGGATTTTGTTTTTCTTTGCTGGTAGGGACTAGCCTGACTTCGTCATACTCATATTCAAGAAAGAATATGAGTCTGAAACCGCTCTATTAGGCTTTGATTATGAGGCGTGTCGTAACCGAACCTGGAAAAAAAAAACCTCTGCACTCAATTGGATAGTCGGTAGACCTACCAACCAATCAGAGCAACGCATAAGTCAACTCCTTTGTATAGCGCAGTTTTCAAATACAGAACGTAGCATACTTTATTTATTTTAGAAGTTAAATAACGAGTGTTACTTCTTTTACTTACTTCTCCATGAGTGCCACCAAAGGAGAAACCACAACGACCACAGGCTTTTTATTACGTCCCATCTTCTTAACGACCATCAGAGCCAGCTGATAAGTTACACTTTTCCCGAATCATGTAGGAAGGACGCCAAAAATATCTTTCCGATCGACAAATGCCTTGATTGCAGTTCTCTGTTTGTCTATTAAAATTAATGCGCTGTCGATTTTTAATTTTTTTTTACAAAAGACGCGACAGCGGAATCTATACATCTCAATTCTCCTGCTGCAGTCATCTTTGACAAGCGCACTTTGATGAGTGAGGATTACGTTACTGAAGACCACCTGTCAATCATCGTATAAAGCCCGCCCTGGCAATTTGATTGGCCCGATGATTTCTGAACCGATCATAATTACTCCTCAGTGGATTGAGTTCAGACCGAACTTCCCGTCCAAAAAATGTTGTGGGCGGAGTTCGGGCTGGCATCCAGGCTAGGTAGGGACGGGAAATTGGTATTAATTTTTTATATAAATGGTCTTAAAAAGGTCTTAAAAGGACTTGAATTTAACTTGAAGAAACCTGTATGAACCCTGTTCACAGTACCAGCAACACAGGCCCTAAAAAGGTAAACGAAAAGAGGATGACATGTTCTCTAGGTGCCCTTTTATATTTCCTTGTCGCACTAGTAGTGACGTCATGGCTGTTGCCCTGCCAATACAATTATCATGATAACACAGTGCTTCAGTCATCAGTCAGACTGAGGTGTTCCTCAGGACACAGTGCGAGTTCCCTTTCGAAAGGGAACTAAAGGCTCTTTGAAAAACTTGTGAGAATTCATTATATGGCACGTAATGACAAACGTGTACTTCCTCTATCTCCAGGTTTTTGAGTCCTGCTGCAGATGAAGCCTGTCAGTATGTGAGAGGAATTGTGGGTAAAAACCCGTTACTCCTGAGAGAGCTGAATCTGAGTGGACGTGAACTAGGAGACACACGAGTGAATCAGATCGCTGCTCTCCTGCAGGATAAACACTGTAAACTCAACACACTGATGTGAGTAATGTACTTGGTCTAATACTTTACATGTAAAATATCTATAAAAATAACATTGTCATTGTTCATGAAGAAAGTTTTAAGATTAACCGAAGAGTGTTTCCTTTTTGTTTCTCTTCAGGCTGAATAATACCAGTATTACAGCAGAAGGTTGTGCTGCTCTGACTTCAGTGTTTAATTCAAACCCTTCAAACCTGATAGAGCTGGATCTGAGTGAGAATAAACTCGAAAATTCTGGAATAAAGAAGATCTGTGTTCTGTTGGAGAATACACAATGCAGATTGGAGAAACTGAAGTGTGTATTTTTATTCATCCACACTTGAATATAATAATATATATTATAGTTTAGAAAATGATGAAGATTATTAAGGCTAAAATATGATTTGCTGTATTATCAAATATTGTACTAAGCACTCACTGTAAGTATGAACAATTTTTTTTTCTTTTTTGTATGAATTAATATGTAAATCTGTATTAATGAGAAATTCAGTTGTTGGTTCAATTTAAAGGTTGTAGCAGTGATTTCAGGCCCAAAAAAGGCCCAAACATAAACGATGACATACATCTAATCTTTCCTAACGATCCGCCAGCTGCCTGCCCCATAAGCAGGCCATCAAGGTTGTGAGGTTTTGCTCCGACTTCACGTGCAGCCGTGCCTTGCATGAGCGCAAAACCTCACAACACCCCCATCTCCTGTCGGTGATTGGTTGGAACAGTATTTATTTTGGTTTTGAGTGGTTGGTGAAACCAATTGTTTTTTGTGTGCAGATCTCATAGCCTAGGCTGCCTACAGAGACACGTTTTTGTTTTTTGTTTTTTTGATAATTGATAATTTATGTTAATTTTTTTGTTAATTGATAATGTATGTTTGGGCCTTTTTTGGGTCTGAAATTGCTGATGCAACCTTTAATATGAAGATTTTTAATATAGTTGGCTTGTTTTTAGACATGCACAATTTTTGTTCTGTTCTGATAAATTGTAGAATAACTGAATAATCGTCTGAATGTTACATTTTCCTTTCTGTTCCAGACTCTCAGACTGCAGTATCAGTGAAGAAGGTTATAAAGCTCTGGCTTCAGCTCTGAGATCAAACCCTTCACACCTGATAGAGCTGGATCTCACAGGAAATGATCCTGGACAATCAGGAGTGAAGGAGCTCGATGATCTACTACAGGATCAGAAGTGTTCACTGAAAACACTGAGGTGAGTGCTATTAAAACAACATTCAGTCTTAATACCATTTTTGCCAAAAAAGAATTCAAATATCAAAAACACATTTATAAATTAATTTTGAAAAGACTAAAGGTCCTTTCACAAGATTATGTAAATACCCAAATGAAATGGCATGTAATGTACTTACTCTGTTTCTAGGTTTTTGGGTCCTGCTGCAGATGAAGCCTGTCAGTATGTGAGTGGAATTGTGGGTAATAACCCGTTACTCCTGAGAGAACTGAATCTGAGTGGACGTGAACTAGGAGACACACGAGTGAATCAGATCGCTGCTCTCCTGCAGGATAAACACTGTAAACTCAACACACTGATGTGAGTTAAACTTTTATAACAATGTTATTTGACATTTAAATTATTTTAAATCGGGTGAACCCTACAGAACTCACAAGCACTAATCTTCAGTGATCACTAAATGTTGGCATCAAGCACTTTGTGTTTGTAAATTTTCCGTCTTCTGTTCATGATTTTAGGCTGCGTAAGTGTGGTTTAACAGAGGAAAGCTGTTCAGCTCTCGCCACAGTCCTGAGATCAAACTCCAGTCTGAAAGAGCTTGACATCAGCAACAATAATCTGCAGGATTCAGGAGTGAAGAAACTCCAGAACGGATTAGAAAATACAGACTGCACACTGGAGAAACTCAGGTGAGTTCAATTAACCATTATTTCATTTTACTAATCACATTTTTAATTGTCAAATTTAAAATATTAATGTTGCAAACAAAAGTAAAGGAAAATACATGCTTCTGTCAGATGTGATTTAAAAAATAAATAAAAATATTCTCAGATTAAAAAAAAATACAATAAATAAAGTGCATTTGACCATTTTCCATGGTTTTTTTTTTTTTTTGATTGGTAATAAATGTCTTTTTTGTAGCCTTTCAGACTGCAGTATCACAGAAGAAGGTTATAAAGCTCTGGCTTCAGCTCTGAGATCAAACCCTTCACACCTGATAGAGCTGGATCTCACAGGAAATGATCCTGGACAATCAGGAGTGAAGGAGCTCGATGATCTACTACAGGATGAACATTGTAAATTAAAGACCAGGTGATTAATGTCTTAAAATATCTCAAATAAGCCACAAAGGTAATCTCTGCAATATGAAACTAAGGAAATTGGGAATTGGAGAGGAATTTACAGCATACATATTACTGAAATTCAACCTTCACACAACTATATATTTTGTGACATGAACCTTGTGATAAAACATAATTACATAATTGTGACTTTCTGATTAGACTTCTCCCAATTTAATTTGAAAATAGCTAATGCCATTTCTGTAATCCAAAAAAATATACATCTTGACTGAATTATCTAAAATACTCTTCTACATTCTGTAGGTTTCTGAAAAGTCAATCTGCACAGGAAGCGTGTGACCATCTCACTAAAGTTCTGGGTAAAAGTCCATTATTACTGACAGAACTGGATCTGAGTGAAGATAAATTAGGAGATCTGGATGGAGAGAAGCTCTCTGCTCTCTTGATGGACTCTCATAGCAAAGTGGAGAAAATCAAGTGAGTCAATGTGATTTTATTCCTTATAACTTCTGTTTGTTCATTATAAAAGACTGTCAGGCACATGTGTGAGCAGATATGAAGAGCTGTTAGCTGTGTGTGTGTTGAATATGTACTGAATAATAGATTATGGTGTTTCTGTGTTTAGGCTGAATAATTGTGATCAGACAGAGAAAAGCTGTTCAGTTCTAGCTACTGTTCTCTCCTCTAAAACCGTCCTGAAAGAGCTGAACCTGAACAACAGCCGTCTGCTGGACTCAGGAGTCAAACAGATCTGTGAGGGACTGAAGAAAACTAACTGTGAACTGAAGATACTCAAGTGAGTACATTTCACCACATGCTAAAGATGTTTGATAACTTTTTTTGTGCTGATCTAATACTAATATTTTCTTGCGCATTGTAACTACATTAAAGTTATTAAAATCAACCCAATTTTTGCAGGTTTCTTGTAATTAATTATACAAGTGGTATGTCTGAATATACAAATCTGACTGGCTGGAAGTTGTGCTATAAACGTACACCGTGATTTCAGTGTACTTTACACAGTTGTTTACAGGTCGTAAAATAAAGTGTTACCTATGATTTTTTTTTTCTGTAGACTTTCAGACTGCAGTATCAGAGAAGAAGGTTATAAAGCTCTGGCTTCAGCTCTGAGATCAAACCCTTCACACCTGATAGAGCTGGATCTCACAGGAAATGATCCTGGACAATCAGGAGTGAAGGAGCTCGATGATCTACTACAGGATCAGAAGTGTTCACTGAAAACACTGAGGTGAGTGCTATTAAAACAACATTCAAAACTCTTAATACCATTTTTGCCAAAAAAGAATTCAAATATCAAAAACACATTTATAAATTAATTTTGAAAAGACTAAAGGTCCTTTCACAAGATTATGTAAATACCCAAATGAAATGGCATGTAATGTACTTACTCTGTTTCTAGGTTTTTGGGTCCTGCTGCAGATGAAGCCTGTCAGTATGTGAGTGGAATTGTGGGTAATAACCCGTTACTCCTGAGAGTACTGAATCTGAGTGAACGTGAACTAGGAGACACACAAGTGAATCAGATCGCTGCTCTCCTGCAGGATAAACACTGTAAACTCAACACACTGATGTGAGTTGAACTTTTCTAACAATGTTATTTGACATTTAAATTATTTTAAATCGGGTGAACCTTACAGAACTCACAAGCACTAATCTTCAGTGATCACTAAATGTTGGCATCAAGCACTTTGTGTTTGTAAATTCTCCGTCTTCTGTTCATGATTTTAGGCTGCGTAAGTGTGGTCTAACAGAGGAAAGCTGTTCAGCTCTCGCTACAGTCCTGAGATCAAACTCCAGTCTGAAAGAGCTTGACATCAGCAACAATAATCTGCAGGATTCAGGAGTGAAGAAACTCCAGAACGGATTAGAAAATACAGACTGCACACTGGAGAAACTCAGGTGAGTTCAATTAACCATTATTTCATTTTACTAATCACATTTTTAATTGTCAAATTTAAAATATTAATGTTGCAAACAAAAGTAAAGGAAAATACATGCTTCTGTCAGATGTGATTTAAAAAATAAATAAAAATATTCTCAGATTAAAAAAATATACAATAAATAAAGTGCATTTGACCATTTTCCATGGATTTTTTTTTTTTTTTGATTGGTAATAAATGTCTTTTTTGTAGCCTTTCAGACTGCAGTATCACAGAAGAAGGTTATAAAGCTCTGGCTTCAGCTCTGAGATCAAACCCTTCACACCTGATAGAGCTGGATCTCACAGGAAATGATCCTGGACAATCAGGAGTGAAGGAGCTCGATGATCTACTACAGGATCAGAAGTGTTCACTGAAAACACTGAGGTGAGACGTGATCAAATAGTACAAAATAAATCATATGCAGGAAATTTATTTAACAACAATATTTTACTCAAACAAAAATGAACCATTTCACACACATATTCAAGTTATTTTTCATTAGATCATTTAAAAAAAAAATTAAATTCTGCTTCATCATCTTATCTGCAGGTTTTTGGGTCCTGCTGCAGATGAAGCCTGTCAGTATGTGAGTGGAATTGTGGGTAATAACCCGTTACTCCTGAGAGAACTGAATCTGAGTGGACGTAAACTAGGAGACACACGAGTGAATCAGATCGCTGCTCTCCTGCAGGATAAACACTGTAAACTCAACACACTGATGTGAGTATTGTACATTATTTTATACTTTACAAAAGAATATTTATGTTACATTTGTAAAGTCTAATAAAGGACACTCATTGCTCTTTAGAGTTTTTGAGGATTGAGATTAGTTGATCTATCATATAAATGTATCCTTCTGTTACTGTATTGTGAATTGTGGCTGAAATAAATGAAGAATGTTTCGTGTCTTTGTTTTGTTTCTCTTCAGGCTGAATAATACCAGTATTACAGCAGAAGGTTGTGCTGCTCTGACTTCAGCGTTTAATTCAAACCCTTCAAACCTGATAGAGCTGGATCTGAGTGAGAATAAACTCGCAAACTCTGGAATAAAGAAGATCTGTGTTCTGTTGGAGAATACACAATGCAGATTGGAGAAACTGAAGTGTGTATTAACATGTTTATGTACATTTATTAAGGTTTATTTAATTAGATGAACTGAAAAAAAAGTTTTGCCACTTTTTAAATGTACACTATGACTGAGGCAAATAACCTGTTTAAACATCTATTTTTGTGTTTAGTGAAGAAAATACATTTTTAAACATGAAAAAAAATGGAATTTAATTTTTTGGTGAACTATTAAATTAATAAGATTAGGTTATTTAATTAAATAAGGTTTAGTTTAATGCATGTATTGTATTTATATCTAAGGGAGATTTTGCCAATATTTAAATAAAATATCATATTGGCTTATGTTTTTGCACTCTGTGGCAATAATTTGTTCATAATTTGTCTAATTTGTCAGAAGCCATTCATAAATCCCATTAGTGATATGATAATCTGTGTCTCCAAAAGGAATAACAACAACTGTTTGTTTTTTTCTTCTGTTTTTCTCCAGACTTTCCGACTGCAGTATCACAGAAGAAGGTTATAAAGCTCTGGCTTCAGCTCTGAGATCAAACCCTTCACACCTGATAGAGCTGGATCTCACAGGAAATGATCCTGGACAATCAGGAGTGAAGGAGCTCGATGATCTACTACAGGATCAGAAGTGTTCACTGAAAACACTGAGGTGAGACGTGATCAAATAGTACAAAATAAATCATATGCAGGGAATATATTTACTTTGTATAAACATTATTTTACTCAGACAAAATGAACCATTTCACACACATATTCAAGTTATTTTTCGTTAGATCATGAATTTTTTTTTTATTCTGCTTCATCTTCTTATCTGCAGGTTTTTGAGTCCTGCTGCAGATGAAGCCTGTCAGTATGTGAGAGGAATTGTGGGTAATAACCCGTTACTCCTGAGAGAACTGAATCTGAGTGGACGTGAACTAGGAGACACACGAGTGAATCAGATCGCTGCTCTCCTGCAGGATAAACACTGTAAACTCAACACACTGATGTGAGTATTGTACATTATTTTATACTTTACAAAAGAATATTTATATTACATTTTTAAAGTCTAATAAAGGACACTCATTGCTCTTTAGAGTTTTTGAGGATTGAGATTAGTTGATCTATCATATAAATGTATCCTTCTGTTACTGTATTGTGAATTGTGGCGAAATAAATGAAGAATGTTTCCTGTCTTTGTTTTGTTTCTCTTCAGGCTGAATAATACCAGTATTACAGCAGAAGGTTGTGCTGCTCTGACTTCAGCGTTTAATTCAAACCCTTCAAACCTGATAGAGCTGGATCTGAGTGAGAATAAACTCGCAAACTCTGGAATAAAGAAGATCTGTGTTCTGTTGGAGAATACACAATGCAGATTGGAGAAACTGAAGTGTGTATTAACATGTTTATGTACATTTATTAAGGTTTATTTAATTAGATGAACTGAAAAAAAAGTTTTAACACTTTTTAAATGTACACTATGACTGAGGCAAATAACCTGTTTAAACATCTCTTTTTGTGTTTAGTGAACAAAATACATTTTTAAACGTAAAAATTTATGGAATTTCATTTTTTGGTGAACTATTAATTGAGTAAGATTAGGTTATTTAATTAAATAAGGTTTAGTTTAATGCATGTATTGTATTTATATCTAGGAGATTTTGCCAATATTTAAATAAAACATCATATTGGCTTATGTTTTTGTACTCTGTGGCAATAATTTGTTCATAATTTGTCTAATTTGTCAGAAGCCATTCATAAATCCCATTAGTGATATGATAATCTGTGTCTCCAAAAGGAATAACAACAACTGTGTGTTTTTTCTTCTGTTTTTTTGTAGACTTTCAGACTGCAGTATCACAGAAGAAGGTTATAAAGCTCTGGCTTCAGCTCTGAGATCAAACCCTTCACACCTGATAGAGCTGGATCTCACAGGAAATGATCCTGGACAATCAGGAGTGAAGGAGCTCGATGATCTACTACAGGATCAGAAGTGTTCACTGAAAACACTGAGGTGAGTGCTATTAAAACAACATTCAAAAGTCTTAATACCATTTTTGCCAAAAAAGAATTCAAATATCAAAAACACATTTATAAATTAATTTTGAAAAGACTAAAGGTCCTTTCACAAGATTATGTAAATACCCAAATGAAATGGCATGTAATGTACTTACTCTGTTTCTAGGTTTTTGAGTCCTGCTGCAGATGAAGCCTGTCAGTATGTGAGTGGAATTGTGGGTAATAACCCGTTACTCCTGAGAGAACTGAATCTGAGTGAACGTGAACTAGGAGACACACGAGTGAATCAGATCGCTGCTCTCCTGCAGGATAAACACTGTAAACTCAACACACTGATGTGAGTTGAACTTTTATAACAATGTTATTTGACATTTAAATTATTTTAAATCGGGTGAACCTTACAGAACTCACAAGCACTAATCTTCAGTGATCACTAAATGTTGGCATCAAGTACTTTGTGTTTGTAAATTCTCCCTCTTCTGTTCATGATTTTAGGCTGCGTAAGTGTGGTCTAACAGAGGAAAGCTGTTCAGCTCTCGCTACAGTCCTGAGATCAAACTCCAGTCTGAAAGAGCTTGACATCAGCAACAATAATCTGCAGGATTCAGGAGTGAAGAAACTTCAGAACGGATTAGAAAATACAGACTGCACACTGGAGAAACTCAGGTCAGTTCAATTAACCATTATTTCATTTTACTAATCACATTTTTAATTGTCAAATTTAAAATATTAATGTTGCAAACAAAAGTAAAGGAAAATACATGCTTCTGTCAGATGTGATTTAAAAAATAAATAAAATATTCTCAGATTAAAAAAATATACAATAAATAAAGTGCATTTGACCATTTTCCATGGATTTTTTTTTTTTTTTTTTTTTAAATGGTAATAAATGTCTTTTTTGTAGCCTTTCAGACTGCAGTATCACAGAAGAAGGTTATAAAGCTCTGGCTTCAGCTCTGAGATCAAACCCTTCACACCTGATAGAGCTGGATCTCACAGGAAATGATCCTGGACAATCAGGAGTGAAGGAGCTCGATGATCTACTACAGGATCAGAAGTGTTCACTGAAAACACTGAGGTGAGACGTGATCAAATAGTACAAAAAAATAATATGCAGGAAATTTATTTAACAACAATATTTTACTCAAACAAAAATGAACCATTTCACACACATATTCAAGTTATTTTTCATTAGATCATGTAACAAAAAAAAAAATTAAATTCTGCTTCATCATCTTATCTGCAGGTTTTTGGGTCCTGCTGCAGATGAAGCCTGTCAGTATGTGAGTGGAATTGTGGGTAATCACCCGTTACTCCTGAGAGAACTGAATCTGAGTGGACGTGAACTAGGAGACACACGAGTGAATCGGATCGCTGCTCTCCTGCAGGATAAACACTGTAAACTCAACACACTGATGTGAGTATTGTACATTATTTTATACTTTACAAAAGAATATTTATATTACATTTTTAAAGTCTAATAAAGGACTGTCATTGCTCTTTAGAGTTTTTGAGGATTGAGATTAGTTGATCTATCTTATAAATGTATCCTTCTGTTACTGTATTGTAAATTGTGGCTGAAATAAATGAAGAATGTTTCCTGTCTTTGTTTTGTTTCTCTTCAGGCTGAATAATACCAGTATTACAGCAGAAGGTTGTGCTGCTCTGACTTCAGTGTTTAATTCAAACCCTTCAAACCTGATAGAGCTGGATCTGAGTGAGAATAAACTCGAAAATTCTGGAATAAAGAAGATCTGTGTTCTGTTGGAGAATACACAATGCAGATTGGAGAAACTGAAGTGTGTATTCACATGTTTATGTACATTTATTAAGGTTTATTTAATTAGATGAACTGAAAAAAAAAGTTTTACTACTTTTTAAATGTACACTATGACTGAGGCAAATAACCTGTTTAAACATCTATTTTTGTGTTTAGTGAACAAAATACATTTTTTAAACGTAAAAAAATATGGAATTTCATTTTTAAGTGAACTATTAATTGAATAAGATTAGGTTATTTAATTAAATAAGGTTTAGTTTAATGCATGTATTGTATTTATATCTAAGGGAGATTTTGCCAATATTTAAATAAAACATCATATTGGCTTATGTTTTTGTACTCTGTGGCAATAATTTGTTCATAATTTGTCTGATTTGTCAGAAGCCATTCATAAATCCCATTAGTGATATGATAATCTGTGTCTCCAAAAGGAATAACAACAACTGTTTGTTTTTTCTTCTGTTTTTTTGTAGACTCTCAGACTGCAGTATCACAGAAGGAGGTTATAAAGCTCTGGCTTCAGCTCTGAGATCAAACCCTTCACACCTGATAGAGCTGGATCTCACAGGAAATGATCCTGGACAATCAGGAGTGAAGGAGCTCAATGATCTACTACAGGATCAGAAGTGTTCACTGAAAACACTGAGGTGAGACGTGATCAAATAGTACAAAATAAATCATATGCAGGGAATTTATTTATAAATATTATTTTACTCAAACAAAATGAACCATTTCACACACATATTCAATTTATTTTTCATTAGATCATGTAAAAAAAAAAAAAATTCTGCTTCATTTTCTTATCTGCAGGTTTTTGGGTCCTGCTGCAGATGAAGCCTGTCAGTATGTGAGAGGAATTGTGGGTAATAACCCGTTACTCCTGAGAGAACTGAATCTGAGTGGACGTGAACTAGGAGACACACGAGTGAATCAGATCGCTGCTCTCCTGCAGGATAAACACTGTAAACTCAACACACTGATGTGAGTATTGTACATTATTTTATACTTTACAAAAGAATATTTATATGACATTTTTAAAGTCTAATAAAGGACTGTCATTGCTCTTTAGAGTTTTTGAGGATTGAGATTAGTTGATCTATCTTATAAATGTATCCTTCTGTTACTGTATTGTTCTTGTGGCTGAAATAAATGAAGAATGTTTCGTGTCTTTGTTTTGTTTCTCTTCAGGCTGAATAATACCAGTATTACAGCAGAAGGTTGTGCTGCTCTGACTTCAGTGTTTAATTCAAACCCTTCAAACCTGATAGAGCTGGATCTGAGTGAGAATAAACTCGCAAACTCTGGAATAAAGAAGATCTGTGTTCTGTTGGAGAATACACAATGCAGATTGGAGAAACTGAAGTGTGTATTAACATGTTTATGTACATTTATTAAGGTTTATTTAATTAGATGAACTGAAAAAAAAGTTTTAACACTTTTTAAATGTACACTATGACTGAGGCAAATAACCTGTTTAAACATCTCTTTTTGTGTTTAGTGAAGAAAATACATTTTTAAACGTAAAAATTTATGGAATTTCATTTTTTGGTGAACTATTAATTGAGTAAGATTAGGTTATTTAATTAAATAAGGTTTAGTTTAATGCATGTATTGTATTTATATCTAAGGGAGATTTTGCCAATATTTAAATAAAACATCATATTGGCTTATGTTTTTGCACTCTGTGGCAATAATTTGGTCATAATTTGTCTAATTTGTCAGAAGCCATTCATAAATCCCATTAGTGATATGATAATCTGTGTCTCCAAAAGGAATAACAACAACTGTGTGTTTTTTTCTTCTGTTTTTCTGTAGACTTTCAGACTGCAGTATCAGAGAAGAAGGTTATAAAGCTCTGGCTTCAGCTCTGAGATCAAACCCTTCACACCTGATAGAGCTGGATCTCACAGGAAATGATCCTGGACAATCAGGAGTGAAGGAGCTCGATGATCTACTACAGGATCAGAAGTGTTCACTGAAAACACTGAGGTGAGTGCTATTAAAACAACATTCAAAAGTCTTAATACCATTTTTGCCAAAAAAGAATTCAAATATCAAAAACACATTTATAAATTAATTTTGAAAAGACTAAAGGTCCTTTCACAAGATTATGTAAATACCCAAATGAAATGGCATGTAATGTACTTACTCTGTTTCTAGGTTTTTGGGTCCTGCTGCAGATGAAGCCTGTCAGTATGTGAGAGGAATTGTGGGTATAAACCCATTACTCCTGAGAGAACTGAATCTGAGTGAACGTAAACTAGGAGACACACGAGTGAATCAGATCGCTGCTCTCCTGCAGGATAAACACTGTGAACTCAACACACTGATGTGAGTTGAACTTTTCTAACAATGTTATTTGACATTTAAATTATTTTAAATCGGGTGAACCTTACAGAACTCACAAGCACTAATCTTCAGTGATCACTAAATGTTGGCATCAAGCACTTTGTGTTTGTAAATTCTCCGTCTTCTGTTCATGATTTTAGGCTGCGTAAGTGTGGTCTAACAGAGGAAAGCTGTTCAGCTCTCGCTACAGTCCTGAGATCAAACTCCAGTCTGAAAGAGCTTGACATCAGCAACAATAATCTGCAGGATTCAGGAGTGAAGAAACTTCAGAACGGATTAGAAAATACAGACTGCACACTGGAGAAACTCGGGTCAGTTCAATTAACCATTATTTCATTTTACTAATCACATTTTTAATTGTCAAATTTAAAATATTAATGTTGCAAACAAAAGTAAAGGAAAATACATGCTTCTGTCAGATGTGATTTAAAAAATAAATAAAAATATTCTCAGATTAAAAAAATATACAATAAATAAAGTGCATTTGACCATTTTCCATGGATTTTTTTTTTTTTTTTGATTGGTAATAAATGTCTTTTTTGTAGCCTTTCCGACTGCAGTATCACAGAAGAAGGTTATAAAGCTCTGGCTTCAGCTCTGAGATCAAACCCTTCACACCTGATAGAGCTGGATCTCACAGGAAATGATCCTGGACAATCAGGAGTGAAGGAGCTCGATGATCTACTACAGGATCAGAAGTGTTCACTCAAAACACTGAGGTGAGACGTGATCAAATAGTACAAAATAAATCATATGCAGGAAATTTATTTAACAACAATTTTTTACTCAAACAAAAATGAACCATTTCACACACATATTCAAGTTATTTTTCATTAGATCATGTAACAAAAAAAAAATTAAATTCTGCTTCATCATCTTATCTGCAGGTTTTTGGGTCCTGCTGCAGATGAAGCCTGTCAGTATGTGAGTGGAATTGTGGGTAATAACCCGTTACTCCTGAGAGAACTGAATCTGAGTGGACGTAAACTAGGAGACACACGAGTGAATCGGATCGCTGCTCTCCTGCAGGATAAACACTGTAAACTCAACACACTGATGTGAGTATTGTACATTATTTTATACTTTACAAAAGAATATTTATATTACATTTGTAAAGTCTAATAAAGGACACTCATTGCTCTTTAGAGTTTTTGAGGATTGAGATTAGTTGATCTATCTTATAAATGTATCCTTCTGTTACTGTATTGTTCTTGTGGCTGAAATAAATGAAGAATGTTTCGTGTCTTTGTTTTGTTTCTCTTCAGGCTGAATAATACCAGTATTACAGCAGAAGGTTGTGCTGCTCTGACTTCAGTGTTTAATTCAAACCCTTCAAACCTGATAGAGCTGGATCTGAGTGAGAATAAACTCGCAAACTCTGGAATAAAGAAGATCTGTGTTCTGTTGGAGAATACACAATGCAGATTGGAGAAACTGAAGTGTGTATTAACATGTTTATTTACATTTATTAAGGTTTATTTAATTAGATGAACTGAAAAAAAAAGTTTTACTACTTTTTAAATGTACACTATGACTGAGGCAAATAACCTGTTTAAACATCTATTTTTGTGTTTAGTGAAGAAAATACATTTTTTAAACGTAAAAAAATATGGAATTTCATTTTTAAGTGAACTATTAATTGAATAAGATTAGGTTATTTAATTAAATAAGGTTTAGTTTAATGCATGTATTGTATTTATATCTAAGGGAGATTTTGCCAATATTTAAATAAAACATCATATTGGCTTATGTTTTTGTACTCTGTGGCAATAATTTGTTCATAATTTGTCTGATTTGTCAGAAGCCATTCATAAATCCCATTAGTGATATGATAATCTGTGTCTCCAAAAGGAATAACAACAACTGTGTGTTTTTTCTTCTGTTTTTTTGTAGACTTTCAGACTGCAGTATCACAGAAGAAGGTTATAAAGCTCTGGCTTCAGCTCTGAGATCAAACCCTTCACACCTGATAGAGCTGGATCTCACAGGAAATGATCCTGGACAATCAGGAGTGAAGGAGCTCGATGATCTACTACAGGATCAGAAGTGTTCACTGAAAACACTGAGGTGAGTGCTATTAAAACAACATTCAATAGTCTTAATACCATTTTTGCCAAAAAAGAATTCAAATATCAAAAACACATTTATAAATTAATTTTGAAAAGACTAAAGGTCCTTTCACAAGATTATGTAAATACCCAAATGAAATGGCATGTAATGTACTTACTCTGTTTCTAGGTTTTTGGGTCCTGCTGCAGATGAAGCCTGTCAGTATGTGAGTGGAATTGTGGGTAATAACCCGTTACTCCTGAGAGAACTGAATCTGAGTGGACGTGAACTAGGAGACACACGAGTGAATCAGATCGCTGCTCTCCTGCAGGATAAACACTGTAAACTCAACACACTGATGTGAGTTGAACTTTTCTAACAATGTTATTTGTCATTTAAATTATTTTAAATCGGGTGAACCTTACAGAACTCACAAGCACTAATCTTCAGTGATCACTAAATGTTGGCATCAAGTACTTTGTGTTTGTAAATTCTGCCTCTTCTGTTCATGATTTTAGGCTGCGTAAGTGTGGTCTAACAGAGGAAAGCTGTTCAGCTCTCGCTACAGTCCTGAGATCAAACTCCAGTCTGAAAGAGCTTGACATCAGCAACAATAATCTGCAGGATTCAGGAGTGAAGAAACTCCAGAACGGATTAGAAAATACAGACTGCACACTGGAGAAACTCAGGTGAGTTCAATTAACCATTATTTCATTTTACTAATCACATTTTTAATTGTCAAATTTAAAATATTAATGTTGCAAACAAAAGGAAAGGAAAATACATGCTTCTGTCAGATGTGATTTAAAAAATAAATAAAAATATTCTCAGATTAAAAAAATATACAATAAATAAAGTGCATTTGACCATTTTCCATGGATTTTTTTTTTTTTTTGATTGGTAATAAATGTCTTTTTTGTAGCCTTTCCGACTGCAGTATCACAGAAGAAGGTTATAAAGCTCTGGCTTCAGCTCTGAGATCAAACCCTTCACACCTGATAGAGCTGGATCTCACAGGAAATGATCCTGGACAATCAGGAGTGAAGGAGCTCGATGATCTACTACAGGATCAGAAGTGTTCACTGAAAACACTGAGGTGAGACGTGATCAAATAGTACAAAATAAATCGTATGCAGGAAATTTATTTATAAACATTATTTTACTCAAACAAAATGAAGCATTTCACACACATATTCAAGTTATTTAAACTCAAGACACTAAGGTGAGACGTGATGAAATAATATACCAAAAATGAAAAGCAGCCAAATTATTTATAGAAATATTTTTTAGCCCTCTGGGTTTTTTTTTTCACATAGCAGCAAAATAGACTTTAAATGCTCATTTAGGGTCTTGCAGATAAAAGAAATATGAAAAAATAAACTGTAAAAAGCTTTCCCATTAGTGGGCGTGGTTTCAGCGCAGCCAGCGGACACGCCCCCAGCGTTTGAGAGCAGAGAAAACTGCTACTTTTTTGAAGATTTTGATAGCTTATTTTAATGTACTTGCCAGCTTTTTATCATTTAAGTTTGGCTGGGTGGCTGATAACACATTTTTCTGTGGTGTGACAAACTCAGAACACATACTTAATTACTTAATTTTAGAAATGTCAGTCCTTGACCTTGTTTACTTAGTATAAACCCTGATTTATGCACACACACAAAACAAAGCAAAAAATAGAATGGAAATGCTTTTTTCAAAATGTACAAATCATTTATTGATTGCACTATAAAAACATAAAGATAGAGGTGATTAAATAACAAACATATAAAAAAACATCATCAAAACAATAAGAAATCTCAAAATAAAAGGGACACATGATAGTTTGGCTACTCCACCTTCCCAGAATATACCACGAATGTTATTCCTCGTGCCATTTATACGCCAAAAAAATATATCCAGACGCACGTGTGCTGTGCCATTCATTCATTCATTCATTCATTCATTCACAAACACACACGCATTTCATATTTAAACAGTCTTTGTGCAGTTTACAAATACTATGTTTAATAACGCGATTAGAACAAAGCACTTAAGAATAAATGACTTACTACATCAGCTGAATCCGTGCTCCTCGAAATGCGCCTCACAGCGCAGCAAGACGAGGTCAGATATTTCAAAGAGGTGCAGTTTTATTAAACTGGATGTTTTATCCAGCTGATGTGGGCGTTTTCATGGCTTGCCTCATCATTAGTGTTTGAATAGACCCCTTTTGCGCCGACATCACAGTTACGTCACGGCGCTAGCTGGAGGCAAAACAAAGTGAAAACTGGAGGCAGCCAATGCAAACCAGCACAGATTCGGCTACATAATAAGGAGCTTAAATGATTGTTACTATTATTAAATGTCATCTTGTTGTGTTGTTTGGTGCAAGAATTGATGAAAAATGAATATGCTGTATCTGGAACTTTTATTTCTAGAAAATATTCACATCATTAAAATCGCACTGTAATGTCACTCTTTACATTGTCGTGGTCTCGGCAGAACTGCGGATCGTACACACACAGGACCATATAGGCATCTAAAGATTTATATGCCCTCAGTTTCTCTTTACGATTGGTTTCTCTATAAGGTAGGTGTAGAAGTCAGGCCACTCAACCGAGGTAATGTACGTTAATCCTGTCAGATCATCCATGCATTGAGTGAGCGTGTAGGCGGTTACGGGTCGGCCAATCTGGTTCTGTCCGTTAAAAATTACTTTTGGAAATAACAATCGCGGGCCTGGACACTGAGTGACCTTACACATTAAGATAATATCGGATTTTCTCCAGTCATTTTCAAAAAACAAGCTAACAATCCTTGCAAACTAGCGTTAGTGAAGCGGCCAGAGGGATCTTCAAGTTCAAGTTCAAGTTTATTGTCATATGCATATTAGTACAGAATACCACAGCAATGAAATACAAAGTGCCTTAGCACTCTCTCAACAGCAGTCCATTAAAATAAATTTTAAATTTAAACCTCTACTCAAACCTCAGCCCTCCTTCCTCTTGTACTGTCGTTCAGTAACCTAACAACCTGTGGGTAAAAACTGTCCCTAAAACGTGATGTGCGCGTTGGGATGCTCTGCAAACGTCTCCCTGATGAAAGTTGGGAGAAGAGATTGTGTGCCGGATGACTGACATCCTGTATAATGCCTAGTGCCTTCTTTATACTGCGTTCCCAATAGATGTTTTGGAGCGATTCAAGTGGAACCTCAATAATTTTGGATGCAGTTTTAACCACCTTTGTCAGTAGATTCAATTCACGCGAGGTAGCCCTGCCAAACCACACTGTAATATTACCTGTCAAAATGCTCTCAATTGTACAGCGGTAAAAAATTTTTAAATATTGCGTGACATACCATATTTCTTGAGACACCTCAAGAAATAAAGCCTCTGATATGCCTTCTTAATGGTACATGTGATATGATCAGACCATAGAAGGGAGTCTGAAATATGGATGCCTAAAAACTTAAAAGTATTAACAATTTCGACTGCAGAGTTATTTATGTAGACAGCTGCATGCGCAGGTTTATTTCTTCTAAAATCTATGATGACCTCCTTAGTTTTCCCCACATTAAGGGACAGATTATTTCTTTGGCACCACATGATCAAATTACTTACTTCATCCCTATAGGCGGTTTCATTATTTCTGTCAATAAGTCCTACCACGGTAGTATCGTCTGCAAATTTTACAATTCTATTTGTGGGATGTTTTGCAATACAGTCATAAGTATACAGACTATATAATAGAGGACAAAGACAGCAACCTTGAGGTGCTCCGGTATTTAACACTATAGAGGATGAGTATGTAGTGCCTACTCTAACTGTCCGGCCTGTTAGAAAATCCTCTATCTGATCATTCTGCCTCCACCTAAGCTCCGCCCACAAAAAAACGTCACCATGTTTACCAACTGAAAAGGGGTCTATAGCGCGCGCTCTCAGTGGAGCGCGTCTCTCAGTGGACCACATTAAAGGGTTAGTTCACCCAAAAATGAAAATTAAGTCATTAATTACTCACCCCCATGCTGTACCAACCCCGTAAGACCTTCGTTCGTCTTCGGAACACAAATGAAGATATTTTTGATTAAATTTGAGAGCTGTATAACTACCACATTGGCTCCTAAAGGACTGCCTCTTGACGGCCCAGAAAGTCAATGAAGAAAATGTTTAAATATCCCAAGTGACTACCGTGGCTCAACTATATGTTTATCAAGCGACGCGAATACTTTTTGTGCGAAAAAACAAACAAAAATAACGAGTTTATTCGACTATTTCTTTTCTTCCTTGTAGGCCAGAACGAGACTTCCTTAGATTTCCACAACGCATGCGCGAGAATTGCGATCTGAAGTAGTGTAAGCTGATGTGAGCAGATCGCAATTCTCGCGCATGCGTCGTGGAAATCTAAGGAAGTCTCGTTCTGGCCTACAAGGAAGAAAAGAAATAGTCGAATAAACTCGTTATTTTTGTTTGTTTTTTCGCACAAAAAGTATTCGCGTCGCTTGATAAACATATAGTTGAGCCACGGTAGTCACTTGGGATATTTAAACATTTTCTTCATTGACTTTCTGGGCCGTCAAGAGGCAGTCCTTTAGGAGCCAATGTGGTAGTTATACAGCTCTCAAATTTAATCAAAAATATCTTTATTTGTGTTCCGAAGACGAACGAAGGTCTTACGGGGTTGGTACAGCATGGGGGTGAGTAATTAATGACTTAATTTTCATTTTTGGGTGAACTAACCCTTTAACGGTCACATTAACGTCATACGCTATAATTAGGTGAAAGGAAAAAGACTCTCTCTCTTTTCATACAGATTACATCAACTGAGAATAGTTGTTTTTTATATATAAATTACTTCATTTAAAAGAAGATAATTTCAGCTTCATAAAGCGAAATCTTTCGTGTCTCTGTGACAAGAAAATTACAGTTCATTAGTACAGAGTTACAGTTCATTTTTTAGACGTGTTTCAGGATTTCAGAACTTCACTCACAGAAAGAAGGCAAAATGTGCATCATGTTTATTTTTCTTTATTTGACAAAAAGCAGAACACTTTGTTTTTATTGTGAGTATACACAAAAAAAATAGACACTTAACCCTCTGGGGTCCAACATGTTTTTGGGGCCCTTAAGATGTTTTTTCGTGTTCTGACATTTGTGATTTTTTTAGTTGCTTATAAACATATTAGTGGCAAACTTGTTTAATAAATTGAAATAGTTTCATATATCAGGGTTGCCAACTCTCAATCATGTGGCGTGACACTCACATCAGCATCAATCTCATGTAATATGTAATGTAATATATATGAAGCCATACTATAGTATAATGTGAGATATAAATTAATATCTAAGGCCCCGTCCACACTACTGCGTTTTCGTTTAAAACGGAGAATTAAAACGAATACGATCTACGTCCACACCAGCGTTTTATCTGCATATTAGAATTGATCTCCGTCCACATTAAAACGACTGAAAACGCAGATCACATGACCATTCACCAACACTGGGCATGCGCGTGCCGGTGTAAACTGTGGTTGGCGAATCAGGGAAGGATACCACGTCATGACTGATAACATCCAATCATAGAGTCGAGCGTCAGCCTCTGCGTCAGCGTTTGTAAACTCCTCCGTTTTGTCTCGTCCACACTAAAACGCCCTCCGGAGTTTCAAAACGCAAAACGCAGCTGCAGCGTTTCTAAACTTCTCCGTTTTAGGTCTTCGTTTTTCCCGTTTTAGTGTGGATGGGAGGTGCAAACGTAGCAAAAGGTCTCCGTTTTTTAACGAAAACGCAGTAGTGTGGACGGGGCCTAAGTCATTAAATTCAAGTTCACATAAACTTTTCTCTCCGCTGCGGCTGTCAGTAATTCTCCATTCAATTCAAACAAACAGCGCGTCGACTCGTCAGTCATTCTCCAGTCAGCATTCAAACAGCACAGCGCGTCGCGTTCGCAACGATGAAACTCTCCAAGATGATTAAATGTTAATATTATTATACTTGATCTGTAGATAAAGCTCTATGGTTTCGCATAAATTGACTATCTTGCTGTAGTACCTCAATCATGTTTATCATCATTTACCTCATGTCTAGATCACAACACTGGAGAGCACTATAATTGTTCTTCACGCGCACAGTAACTGAAATTTAAAACTGTTAAAAGAAAAGGCTCAATAAACTATTGCATAGATAGATGCTGTATAATACACTATGCATCGATCTGTATTTCCTTTATGCTTTGAACTTTTCAATGCGGACTCGAACTCGAAGTGCTCTATGGAAGAGCTGCGCGCTGTGACTCATGTTGCCTCAAGCGCATCATTCAGCGTTCGCGATGCTTGTTGGAGTCTTTCATAATCATATCATAATACTTTTGTGCATTGAAAAATTTTAATAGTATTTTTTGTTCTGTTCTGTCCTATCTATCATATGTTGCTGCCTCATTAAACAGCTGTGCTATACATTTGTGCTATATATCTTTTCTTAATTTTATAGTAGACTATAAAATAATTGATCTTTTTGATTTTTATCTTGTTTTTCATTAATGCATTTTACAACAATACAAAGAGCAACGTGTAACATTTTACCAGATTTAGTGCTGCAGTTATTGTCTCTAATTTGTTCCCCACTATTTTTTTTTCACTAAATGTTCTGATTTTATAAAATTAGTTTTTCTAAATTTGACTGAGTTACCCACTAATCTAGTTTATAATATAATTTTTGTCATAGGTTATGATCATATTTTTTATGTTGTTTTTCTTTATAAGGAAGTTGTCTGTATTAAGTAGATTGTGTTTAACACACAAAAAGTGATTATCAGTTCAACACACATTTATAGAAATTCAACTTGATTTTTTTTTTTTAAACTGCGTTGGTAACGGATCGGTATCGTTCTTTTTTTTATTTTTTTATTATTAAAATAAGGCCATGATATTTTTGACTATTTTTGATGCTTTGAAATATGAAATATTAAAAAAAAATGTACGAGAGAGCATGCCCCCGGACCCCCCTAGAGGGGTAATATCCTTCTCACCTTTTTCACCCCTGACCCGTTTTCATGCCTGAACTTTTATTCTCAACAGAAGAAAGAAACTTATTCGGGTTTAAAACATCTTGAGAGAGTAAATTAAGACAATTTTCATTTTTGAGGGAACTATCCCTTTAGTGTTAATAAAACAAAAAATCACAAGGAGAAAATCACTTACTGACTGAGAACTTTAATAGTGGCTTTAATAAGAATCAATATTTTATACATTGAAGTCTATGTAGTGTTTTAATTTCATATTTGTTCATTTAATTACTTTCTTCAATGCTACTGCTAAATACACCTACTGTATCCGAAAAAATAAAGCACTGTTTATTTAATTTGAATATTAATTTGTGTAATGTTCATCTTGTCTTATTTTTTTAACAACAAAGAAAACAGTGACAAAGATTTTTATCTTTGCCACTGGCCTAAATGTATGCCTTTCTTTTTTTCTTTTGTTACCTAAGGCTTTGTTTTTAACATAGGGACATTAGTTTGGCTGTAATGAACATCCCCTTGCAAAATAGTAAAACAAAAGAATCGTGATAAAAAATCGTGATTTTTCCGGGAAAAAAAAATCGTGATATATTTTTGCCATATCGCCCACCCTTCGATCCTGTTAATACAATCCATTGCAAAGTAAATTGAAGAAAACATTTGACACTGTTTTCAATTGCAATCAGATGCAATTTTTTATAAATGTTTAGTTAATAATTTAATTGAATCCTGCCTTATTTTATTTTCTCCAGGTTTTTAAGTTCTGCTGCTTATGAAGCCTGTCAGTTTATGAACAGAGTTCTGGGTGAAAATCTGTTACTCCTGAGAGATCTGAATCTGAGTAAATGTGAACCTTTAGGATTGAAGAAACTTGCTGCTGTTCTGCAGGATAAACACTGTAAACTCAACACACTGTCGTAAGTTGTATTATCATTGCAATAACATTTTTTTATCATAATTGTGAACTTTCTCATTGTGTTATGTATATTTTGCAATGTCATCATCACCATCACCAGTAGCTGTCAACTCTAGGTAAATGTGTAGAAACTATGTTTTCTCTTTATTTAGTCTCAATATCAGCGAAATCACAGATGGAGATTGTCGTGTTCTGACTGAAGCTTTAAATTCAAACCCGTCAAATCTGAGAGAGCTGAAGCTGAGTGGGACTGAACTGAGAGACTCAGGATTGAACATCTTCTCTGCGCTCTTCAAGAATGAACAGTGTCAACTGAAAAAGCTGAAGTAAGTTATTTAAAAAAAATATGTTATAATTCAATTCTCATATTTGTGGATAAAAGTAGCGATTACTAAATCTACCAGCCTGTATGGTAACATATTATTTCGATATTCCACTTTAGACATTCTAATAACTATACAGTAAGTAATTTTGCAGTTACAGGTCAATTAACTGTCATTAGAGTATTAGTAGACTGTCTGCTTAATATCTGCTAACACTTTTTGTTGGTCCCCAACAGACACTCTACTGACTAAAAGTAACCTGGCAACTACAAGTCAATTTATTCTCCTAACCCGAACCCGAACCCTAACACCCAACCATAACCTACCAGTCTACTGACAGGCTACTATAGCCTACTAATACTCTCATAGAGTTAGTTGACGTGTAGTTTAAAAGTTACTTATAATTAGTAGGATGTCTAAAGTGGACTATCGAAATAAAGTGCAATCGCCTGGATAATTGTATACATATATACAGCATTTTTATTTTTGTTTTGTTCTGTCTTCAACAGGTTTAACTGCAGCAGTATTACAGCAGAAGGTTGTGCTGCTCTGACTTCAGCCTTTAATTCAAACCCTTCAAACCTGATAGAGCTGGATCTGAGTGAGAATAAATTTGGCAACTCTGGAGTAACAGAAATCTCCACTCTACTGGGAAATTCACCGTGTACACTGCAGATACTCAGGTTTGAATTTAAACATGGGCAGAAATCTTAAGTCAGTGATGTCACTTACAGAAACAAAAAAGTAAATACATAAACAAATAATGACCGATATGTGGCTTTTTAAGTACTGAGAATTATGAATATGAAAATCCTGAAAAATAAATCTTGTATATATTGAATTAGTTAATTGTTTGACTTAGAAGACTTTATTCAATTTCCTCTAGACTCTCAGACTGCCGTATCACAGAAGAAGGTTATAAAGCTCTGGCTTCAGCTCTGAGATCAAACCCTTCACACCTGATAGAGCTGGATCTCACGGGAAATGATCCTGGACAATCAGGAGTGAAGGAGCTCGATGATCTACTACAGGATCAGAAGTGTTCACTGAAAACACTGAGGTGAGACATGATGAAAATAATAATAATAATAAAAATGTACAGATTAGGGCTGCTAGTAGTTAACAAGAAGAGGCTTAGTTGACCAAAATTGTATTAGTTGGTAAGTCGCAGAAGAAAAAAAACTCTGAACTGGAAGTGGCAAGTCACGCAGTAATTACAGTTTTGTAATTACATGTTACGACCCTTCTTAGTTTTTAACCGTCTAGGGATTTAGAAGGGGAACATTAATCATCCCTCGACACCCACCATAGAAAACACTGGGAAGTGACTGAGAGAAACAAAGGCAGTAGAATATTTAAGGTTATTTTATTATTGCTGGCCACAACCGGTCAAAATAGCTCTCCATAAAATATGTGTACAGCACACATATTCATGAAGAAACAATTCAAACAAATATTAACCAATCAATAAAGTAACATAAACATACCAGCAAATTATGTATTAATTCTGGGAAAAGAAAAGGGCAACTGGACAGTGCCAACTCAAAGAAATTAATAAAAAGAAAACAATCTTTCTTACCCGAATTTAATCTAACCTAACTAATAAAAATAAAATGTAGAAAAGAAAGATCTTCAACGTCCGAGACGTCGTATACTTCCCTACACTAACTAACCAAAACAAAAATACAAAAGTGGCACTTGTCCCTAAATCTAGTGTTTTTAAACAAAGAAAAAAACTACATGTGCGCAATGTATGTCACGTGACATCTTACCTGACCCTTTTCTTTTATCCCACTTTTAATAAAGCATTTACTCAAGTTCAGATAATGAGTAAAGGAGTTCAGGTTTAAGACACTCTAATTCACATGACAAACTTAATATAAACGAACTAAATCAATAATCAAACGAATGTCAACAAAAACGTAACAAAGGACTCAGCACACGGTTGCAGTTCACAAAACAAAAGGCTGGCCACACAATCGCGTTCAGGTGCTCCTTTTATAGTTCCCGCATCTCCTGATGAGTCCCGTGATTGGATCGCTCTTTCCCTCCTCTCTGATGACAAGCCTCAGATCAGCCAATGACCGTAACCAAGACAACCAATCAGCGCTTCTCTGCGAAAGAGAAAGTAACACGGCAGAAACACGAAGAAACACAGAGACACCCAAAGTCGCAAACTCGTGTAATCGCCTTTATTCGTAACACTCCCACAATCAAAAACAAACGTCTACCGTTTGTTAAAATTAATATGTTTAGTTAAATAAAATCATAACTCACCCATCATAAGTTCTCTCAAACTCTGGAAAGAGCATCCGCCAGGACATTCTCAGATCCTTTCTTGTGATGTATTTCAAGATGATAACTCTGTACAAACAGAGCCCAACGCATCAAACGTTGATTCGCATTGTACATCCGAGAAAGAAAAACAAGGGGGTTATGATCCGTATACACAACCGTAGGCAGATTGGAAGAGCCTAAATAAACCTCAAAAAATTGCAGGGCAAACAACAACGCCAAAGTTTCCTTCTCCACTGTAGAATAATTTCCTTGATGTCGATTAAACTTACGAGAGAAAAAACATATGGGATGATCCACGCCATCCCCGCCCTCTTGAAGCAACACTGCTCCAGCGCCAACCGCGCTCGCATCAACTTCCAATTTAAAAGGACGATCAAAGTTCGGAGCTGCTAAAACTGGAGTGCTGTACAATAAAGCCTTAACACTCTCGAATGCAATCTGGCATTCATCAGTCCACACAAACTCTCGTTTTGGACTAAGAAGATTGGTGAGAGGGGTCACTACCGTAGAGAAATTCTTACAAAAGTTACGATAGTACCCAGCCATGCCCAAAAATCGTCTTAACTCTCGACGTGTCTTAGGGACTGGCAATTCCGTAATGGCTACAACTTTCGTTTCAATAGGTTTCACTTGTCCCTGTCCCACCTGTTTACCCAGATAGGTAACACTGGCTTGGCCAAACACACACTTCGCCAAATTAAGAGTTAACGAAGCGTTCTTTAACCTCTCAAACACTGTGTGAAGTAAGGACATGTGTTCTGTCCAACTCTTAGAGAAAATTACCAAATCATCCAGATAGGCGTTACAGTTGGGGACACCAGCTAGAACAATCTGGATCAACCTTTGAAACGTAGCAGGTGCGTTTCGCAACCCGAAAGCCATAACATTATACTGTAGAAAACAGTCAGGGGTTACGAACGCAGAGATGTCAGATGCACGCGATGTTAAGGGGACTTGCCAATATCCCTTAAGTAAATCAAGTTTACTAACGAAATTGGCAGAACCTATATTATCCACACAATCTTCCATCCTGGGAAGAGGATAAGAATCAGGCACTGTCACGGCATTCACTTTACGGTAGTCCGTACAAAAGCGAAACGAACCATCAGGTTTGTTTACCAAAATGCATGGCGAACTCCACGGACTACAGCTATGTCGAGCCAATCCGTTTTCCAACAGATACTCAGTCTCCTCCTTCATAACAGATCTCTTAATTGCATTAAGTCGATAAGCATGTTGTTTTATAGGTCTTGCACCACTAACCTCAATATCATGTCGCAACACATTAGTCTGAGATGGAACGTCCGAAAATAAAGCTGGAAAAGCAGTAATCAAATCCACCACATCCTGTCGCTGTTCATCAGGTAGATGAGAAAAACGAGAAGACAAGTTAGTTAGAATAACGGAATTTTCCAACTTATTGCACTGTTGAGGAGTATTTCTGAGCACTAGTCCATCTTCATCGGAGTCAGCTTCACTCTCTACAACAGACATAAGTTCCGTCATAACAACAGGCGCAGTTTCCACAACTTTTTCAGGATCACATCGCACTTGTTCTCGATCAAAATACTCTTTGAGCATGTTAACATGACAGATACGCGTTTTACGTCTTCTCTCTGGTGTTCGTATAACATAGTTTGTCTCACTAAGTTTTCTGACCACTTCATAGGGACCAGTAAATCGAGCCGACAAAGCAGACCCTTGAATAGGTAAAAGCACCAATACACGGTCACCAGTTTTAAAAGAACGTACAACGGTCTTAAAGTCGTAACGACTTTTCATTTCACTCTGACTACTTTTCAAAGCTTTCTGAGCAAGATCGCAAGCATCATGAAGTCTGTTTCTGAATCGACTGACATAGTCCAAAATGTTAACTTTAGACTCTGAATTAGTCTCCAACATCTTATCTTTCAGAACCTTTAAGGGACCACGAACAGTGTGCCCAAAAACCAGCTCGGCTGAGCTAAAACCGAGTGACTCTTGCACTGTTTCACGTATGGCAAACAACATCAAGGGAATTCCTTCGTCCCATTCCTTCTCTGTTTCCATACAGTATTTTCGAAGCATCGCTTTTAAGGTCTGGTGAAATCTCTCAATTGCACCTTGGCTCTCAGGATGGTATGCACTTGAGACTCTATGTTCTATAGATAAAGATTTGAGAGTCTGAGCAAAAATACGCGACAAAAAATTCGTTCCTTGGTCTGTCTGAATCACCTTGGGAAGACCAAATGTAGAAAAGAATTTTATCAGCGTTTTCAGAATAACAGGAGCGGTTATTTTTCGTAGCGGTATCGCTTCTGGAAAACGTGTCGCTCTACACATAATAGTGCACAAGTATTGGTTGCCTGATTTTGTCTTCGGCAAAGGACCAACACAATCTACCAACACTTCCTCAAATGCCTCACCCACAACTGGGATAGGAGAAAGTGGAGCGGGAGAAATTATCTGATTCGGTTTTCCCATTATTTGGCAGGTGTGACAAGTACGACAGAACTTAGAAACATCACGCTTCAAACCCGGCCAAAAGAAATGGCGCAGAACCCGATCGTAAGTCTTAGTTATTCCCAAATGTCCAGATAACACATGCTCATGAGCCAAACATAATACCTGAGTACGAAATGTAACTGGAACCACCACCTGATATACAACATTCCAGTCCAAATCATCATCAATTCTAGAACACCACTTTCGCATCAATAATCCATCATCCACAAAATACGCAGTATGTCTTTTCTTAGTAGCATCGAAACTAAGAACAGTCGAAAAACATTTACGCAACGATGGATCTTCTTTTTGTGCTGCAATAATCTGAGAACGAGTAATGGGCAAATCCAACGAATTTGCGTTCCCCAGAACACTTTCACTTTCCCTTTTTAAACTGGTGTTTTGTAAACATTTCCCTGTTACTTTCGTTTCAGACTCAGAACCTAACATGTCATCAGTTAACATCTGACCCGTCAACGAGTCAGCTAAAGCAACTTGGTCTGCTTTTGCTAACTGAGCGCGTGTAACAGCACAGGCAGAAAATACGTCAGGATACAGATTAGCCACATCGTTAGAAATCGCACACACATCTGGAACATCAGTCACCTCGGGCACGGGCATGACTTTGCCTCCGGCCAAATCATTCCCTAAGATAAAGGTTATTCCTTTCACAGGCAGGGAATCACGAATACCAACCTTCACAAATCCTGAAACTAGTGAACTGTTTAAGTACACACGATGCAAAGGAACTGGTACTATTTGCATTTCAATACCACGAACTAGAATATTCGAGCCACAATATGATTCCTCAGAAAAAGGTAACACCTTACATACCATGAGTGACTGCATAGCCCCTGTATCTCGAAGAATATGAACTTCTTTCTGATCTTCCATTCTTCCAGATAATGAAACAAACCCTTTCATCACAAACGGTTTATAATTCACATCAGGAATCTCAGTACAATTTGACAGTTCAGATGCTTGCACAGTCTTGAGTAATGCGACACTTTTAGGAGGTTGCATCTGCTGCTTTCGTTTCAGCACCACACAGTCCGCAATTAAATGCCCCTGCTTATGGCAGTAAAAACACTCTCTTACCTCTTTGGACTGTGAAGTTTCAGTTTTTACTCGGACACTCTGACTGGGTGGCGGGGAGTAAGTCACGCTCTTTTCAGCGCGTGTTACTGAAAATGCTGTCTTATGCGTGAGTACGAATTCATCTGCCAAGACCGCAGCACGAGACAGTGAATCAACTTTTTGTTCATTTAAGTACACAACCACACGTTCAGAAAGACATGATTTAAATTCCTCCAGCAGAAGTAATTCTCTCAACGAAACAAAGTTATCAGCTTTGCTTGCATTACTCCATTTGTCAAACAGACTACTTTTATCCCTTGCGGATTCTACAAAAGTCTGGTTAGAACTCTTTTTATGGCTTCGAAACTTTTGTCTGTATGCCTCTGGGACTAGCTCATACGCACGTAATATTGCAGATTTCACAGTCTCATACTCTAAACCATCCTCCAAAGAAAGAGTGGAAAATACTTCTTGCGCCTTTCCCATCAATCTGCACTGCAACAGAATAGCCCAAACCTCTCTCGGCCAACCGAGTGATAGAGCGATACGCTCAAAAGCGCTGAAGTATGAGTCCACCTCGGTCTCTCTAAAATGTGGAACTAGCGTAATATGCTTACTGACATCGAATGACCCAGCTGCTAACGATGGAGAAGCTGATGACCCTAGTGGTTGAGTATGAACAGAGGACACAGTTGCCAACAGTGGAGTATGAACATGAGGAACATTGATCTCCCGAGGTGGAGGCGGTTGCGCAGCAGAGCTCCCCACAATTTTCATTGCCTCGAGCTCCAACTCTCGCATTTTTATCTGTTTCTCTGCCTCAATTTCAAATTTGCGGATTTGTAATCGCAAATCCAACTCACCCTGACGATTCTGTACTTTCTCTTGTGCTTCCAGCTGCAATCGAGCAAGACGAACTTTCAGTCTCGCGTCTCCCTTTGAATTTATAGAAATAGGAGAGAACGGTTCAAATTGAGGTAGTGTTCTATTTCCTTCCCCTATTGGCGTAAACCCCTCACCTCTCGATGTTTCAATATCCACATCGCACTCTATATCCTCTTTGTCTGGTACCACAAGCACATTCATCTCTACTAACTGCTCACGTATAATGGATTTTATTTCCCTCTTAAGAGACTGTCGAACCACAACGATCTGAAAATGTTTCGCGATTTCTAACAAATCATCCTTTCTGCAGCAATCTAACAATTCTACAGTAGGATTTTTAATAAAACTTTTCAAATCAAACGTTGCCATTATTCCTGCTGATCAAATCTACTAGCCTACAAAAATTATTTATTCTCTCACCACATTCCCAGTATAAAAAAAATAGCAAGGGTGTCTCGGGACAATCAATTAATTAATCCTAATATCAATTAATTTCCAGGAAGAATTAAGATCCCGGACGAGCCCCCATTAATGTTACGACCCTTCTTAGTTTTTAACCGTCTAGGGATTTAGAAGGGGAACATTAATCATCCCTCGACACCCACCATAGAAAACACTGGGAAGTGACTGAGAGAAACAAAGGCAGTAGAATATTTAAGGTTATTTTATTATTGCTGGCCACAACCGGTCAAAATAGCTCTCCATAAAATATGTGTACAGCACACATATTCATGAAGAAACAATTCAAACAAATATTAACCAATCAATAAAGTAACATAAACATACCAGCAAATTATGTATTAATTCTGGGAAAAGAAAAGGGCAACTGGACAGTGCCAACTCAAAGAAATTAATAAAAAGAAAACAATCTTTCTTACCCGAATTTAATCTAACCTAACTAATAAAAAATAAAATGTAGAAAAGAAAGATCTTCAACGTCCGAGACGTCGTATACTTCCCTACACTAACTAACCAAAACAAAAATACAAAAGTGGCACTTGTCCCTAAATCTAGTGTTTTTAAACAAAGAAAAAAACTACATGTGCGCAATGTATGTCACGTGACATCTTACCTGACCCTTTTCTTTTATCCCACTTTTAATAAAGCATTTACTCAAGTTCAGATAATGAGTAAAGGAGTTCAGGTTTAAGACACTCTAATTCACATGACAAACTTAATATAAACGAACTAAATCAATAATCAAACGAATGTCAACAAAAACGTAACAAAGGACTCAGCACACGGTTGCAGTTCACAAAACAAAAGGCTGGCCACACAATCGCGTTCAGGTGCTCCTTTTATAGTTCCCGCATCTCCTGATGAGTCCCGTGATTGGATCGCTCTTTCCCTCCTCTCTGATGACAAGCCTCAGATCAGCCAATGACCGTAACCAAGACAACCAATCAGCGCTTCTCTGCGAAAGAGAAAGTAACACGGCAGAAACACGAAGAAACACAGAGACACCCAAAGTCGCAAACTCGTGTAATCGCCTTTATTCGTAACAGGCAGGAAATCCAAATGCTCACCTATAAATCACTGAAATATGTCTTATCACATTAAGTATTCGCAGCTTTATATTACAGCTTGCTCAAATGCTAACATAGAAAAATGTGTGATATTATTTGGTGCATATATGAAGAGTTCAGATGCAAAAGCCTCTAAATGCCATTTGAAATGTTCTTGTTGAATGATGATTTTTATCAAACTTGTATATTTAAGTTCAGTAATTTCACTTAAATAACAATTAATAGGTAATTATCATTGTCATTTAAGTGAAATCACTGATCTTAAATATACAAGCTTGATAAAAATGATCATTCTAGAAGAAAATTTCAAATGGCATTTAGAGGCTTTTGCATCTGAACTCTTCATATGTTTGTGTGGAAGTTTAGTAGTAGCGTGCTGCATGACAGTTAACATGGAGGTGCCGGTGCGATCACTTGCATTTAACTTAAGATTCTCTTTAATTTTTTTATGTGTGCGAGCTCAAAATAAAAACAAAACGCTGTGCTTTTATAAAATAATGAAAACAAACAGGATGCAGTGTCTACTGTCTCAGTCCCTGTGAACTTGAGCGTGTCAAAAAATAGAAAGAAACTCAGTGTATTTGCATCACAGACATGAGAAATATATTTATAGAAAGCTTGAAATCTATAAATATATATATTTATATTTATATGTCTACTTTGAAATGAGCCAACTCAACTAGGAAAAAATATTCTCCGATTATGTAATCCACATGCATACGTTTGTGCACTACTGCGGAGGTGACGAGTCAACTGAAAACACAGTAAACACTAGTTTATGAATTAATTATTAGCCTGTCTCCTTGCTCTTTTTTTCACGACATATTCATTTATTTTATTTTACATTCTTTTATTCATTTAGTTGACGCTTTTATCCAAAGCAACTTACAATTGCTACAGTATATACTATGTCAAAGGTCGCACACCTCTGGAGCAACTAGGGGTTAACTGTCTTGCTCAGGGACACATTGGTGTCTCACAGTGGATTCGAACCCGGGTCTCTCACACCAAAGGCATCTGTCTTATCCAATTCGCCATCACCACCCCCATCATCATAATCATTATTTTTGCCATTGGTTTTGGCAAATTTGATGTTTTTGTGTGGCTATAAATTATTGTCACGGATCTCTGAGGGAAGACTGAAATGCATAATGAATGTTCAGGGTTTATTGACAAAGCAGCAGACTAGACAAGATAGTGATGAAGAGAAGGTGATAACAGCCCAAACACTAGGCAGGAAACGGGGCACGATGACAGGTAAGCAGGAAGATCAACCACTGTAGCTATACAGTAGCTCAAGATGACGGTAGGCTATAGTTCTGCCAGGGCAGAATAAGACCAGAGGATACCAGGCAGGATCCCCAAGTACAACGACAAATGCACTCCAGTATCTCAAACGAGGAGCTGAGAACATGAGGAAAGGGTGAGCACACTGACAAATGGTGCTTTTACACTGCATGGTACGGTACAGTACGGTTCGCTTCAGGTCGCTTTAAATGGTACCTGGTCTGTTGAGGTTCCAAGCGTACCGTACCGGTACTAAAATGTGACGTGAAACACTGCAGATCACTGATTGGTCAGACAGAATCGTCACTACCAGCGTCACTACTAGCGTCATTGGATTTGCGACATGAGACACTTTTCTAGCAGCATTTTTGTTTTACTGCCATCAGCCTCATTTTAAACACATTTTTCCGTCTAGCAGTTAAAAACAACCACATACCGAGAATCAGGAACACCATCCCCTCGATAGTCTCCATTGTTCCTGTGTTGTGGGTTTGAAAATGTGGCGCTTTTAAGATGATGTCATGGCAGTAGAGGCGCGCGCAAATAACGATCAGTCCCACACACTTTGAAGGGGTACTACTGCAGTGGAAACGCAAAGCGAACCGAACTGTTCCGCGCCGAGTCGAAGCGTACTGGGCCGAACCGTACCGTACTATGCAGTGGAAAAGCGCCTAAATTAGTATTAATCAATGACCGAACAAGAAGGCGTGGTAATTGGAAACAAGGAGGCAGGAACACAGAAGAAGATGGCCAACACAATCAAAGACTGAGCCATGTGTTCAAGCTCAACAAAACAAAGACACATTAAACAAAGACAAGACTGACAGAACTGTCAGAGGAGAACCCTGACAATTATAGGCAATTAAAGGCTCATTATTATGGTTTATTAATTATTAGTCAACTATTTGCTTAAATTAAAGACTACGCCCCAGTTTTACAGACAAGGTTTAAGTTAGTCTTAGACTAAATTGCATGTTTAAACCATTTGAACTGAAAGCAACTTGCGCTAACATATCTTAAAATATGTCAGTTCCAATATTTTGTCTGAAGCTGCACACCAGTTATGCTTTCTTTCTAGGATAAATTTCTAAAAGCTACTTAAATGCCCTAATGAACTAAGGCCTAATCTTGGCTTAGTCTAAGCCCTGTTAGTGAAACCAGGCCTACGAGTTGATGACTAGAAAAATCTTTAGTCGAGGGCATCCTTAGTGCAGATGAATTATTAATATAATTATTACTTGACTGATCTGTTGCATCAAAGTAAATTCAATCAAAAGACAATCAGATGCTGTTTTCATGTGATCAAGTTTAGTTTTGAACTGAATTGAATCCTGCTTCATTTTCCCCTTTTCAGGTTTTTGAGTCCTGCTGCAGATGAAGCCTGTCGGTATGTGAGAGGAATTGTGGGTAATGACCCGTTACTCCTGAGAGAACTGAATCTGAGTGAACGTGAACTAGGAGACACACGAGTGAATCAGATCGCTGCTCTCCTGCAGGATAAACACTGTAAACTCAACACACTGATGTGAGTATTTTACTGCTGTTCTTAAGAAGATATAAGAATCTATATAAGAACCATTATATAGATTTTTCTTTTTATTATTGTTGTTGTGGCTGAAATTAATGAAGAATGTTTCCTGTCTTTGTTTTGTTTCTCTTCAGGCTGAATAATACCAGCATTACAGCAGAAGGTTGTGCTGCTCTGACTTCAGCGTTTAATTCAAACCCTTCAAACCTGATAGAGCTGGATCTGAGTGAGAATAAACTCGCAAACTCTGGAATAAAGAAGATCTGTGTTCTGTTGGAGAATACACAATGCAGATTGGAGAAACTGAAGTGTGTATATCTAAATCTTCATTTTTGTAATATACATTTGTTAATATCCTATTTGATTAGATGAACTTAAAAAAGACTATATGGGCTGAAATTTCATCACTATTTATTTTAATATATGATAACTGTTACTTAGTTACTGTAAAGTAGGCTGTTATGTAAATGACAATTAATGTTGATTTGCTATTATGATATTTTGTGTTCTATCGAATAATAAAGAAACTTTCATTTCTTTTTAAATAGACTTTCAGACTGCAGTATCACAGAAGAAGGTTATAAAGCTCTGGCTTCAGCTCTGAGATCAAACCCTTCACACCTGATAGAGCTGGATCTCACAGGAAATGATCCTGGACAATCAGGAGTGAAGGAGCTCGATGATCTACTACAGAATGCGCACTATAATTTGAAAACCATCAGGTGAAAAAAATTTGATTGTACTTTAACTTTCTGCAACCACAATGCAATGCTTCATCAGTAATCAGTTGACCTTCAAGTCACCTTCATTTTATTTAGTGCTTTTTAGAGTACAGATTGTTTCAAAGTACCTTTACAGAGATAACAGGAAATTAATGCTACCAAGTTTTTTTCCAGAAGAAAAAAACATGACAGTCCAGCTTAAGTAAGCGCAGTGATGATTATTTTTTTTTTGTAAAAAAAAACAAACAGTTATTAGTTATTAATTTAGTTCATTATAAATTGAGGACATTTAATTTATTATATATATATATATATATATATATATATATACATATACACTCACCGAAAGGCTTATTAGGATTACCTGTTCAATTTCTCATTAATGCAATTATCTAATCAACCAATCACATGGCAGTTGCTTTAATGCATTTAGGGGTGTGGTCCTGGTCAAGACAATCTCCTGAACTCCAAACTGAGGCCCCGTCCATGCTACTGTGTTTTCGTTTAAAAACGGAGACCTTTTGCTATGTTTGCACCTCCCGTCCACACTAAAACGGGAAAAACGAAGACCTAAAACGGAGAAGTTTAGTAACGCTGCAGCTGCGTTTTGAATCTCCGGAGGGCGTTTTAGTGTGGAAAAGAAGACAAAACGGAGAACTTCAGAAACGCTGACGCAGAGGCTCTATGATTGGGTGTTATCAGTCATGACGTAACCTTTCCTGATTCGTCAATCACTGTTTACACCGGCACGTGCATGCCCAGTGTTGGTGAATGGTCATGTGATCCGCGTTTTCAGTCGTTTTAATGTGGACGGAGATCATTTCTAATACGCAGATAAAACGCTGGTCTGGACGGAGATCGTATTCGTTTTAATTCTCCGCCTGAATGTCAGAATGGGAAAGAAAGGTGATTTAAGCAATTTTGAGCGTGGCATGGTTGTTGGTGTCTGAGTATTTCACGATCTGCTCAGTCACTGCGATTTTCACGCACAACAAAAACGTCCAGTATGCGGCAGTCCTGTGGGGCGAAAATGCCTTGTTGATGCGAGAGGTCAGAGGAGAATGGGCCGACTGATTCAAGCTGATAGAAGAGCAACTTTGACTGAAATAACCACTCGTTACAAGTGAGGTATGCAGCAAAGCATTTGTGAAAAAGACACAACACACACAACCTTGAGGCGGATGGGCTACAACAGCAGAAGACCCCACCGGGTACCACTCATCTCCACTACAAATAGGAAAAAGAGGCCACAATTTGCAAGAGTTCACCAAAACTGGACAGTTGAAGACTGGAAAAATGTTGCCTTGGCCTTTGGTGTAAACAGTATGAGAACATGGATCCATCATGCCTTGTTCCCACTGTTGGGCTGCTGGTGGTGGTGTAATGGTGTGGAGGATGTTTTCTTGGCACACTTTAGGCCCCTTAGTGCCAATTGGGCATCGTTTAAATGCCTGAGCATTGTTTCTGACCATGTCCATCCCTTTATGGCCACCATGTACTCATCCTCTGATGGCTACTTCCAGCAGGATAATGCACCATGTCACAAAGCTCCAATCATTTCAAATTGGTTTCTTGAACATGACAATGAGTTCACTGTACTAAAATGGCCGCCACACTTACCAGATCTCAACCCAATAGTTTGGTCTGAATACTGAATACGCATTGCGGAGATGCAGTCTTGCGTCTGTTTTCGCAAGCGCTAAGTAAAATTAGCTTGTGCTGTATTCGAGAGTGGTTTGACGAATCAACATTATCCCATTACTTTTCCCATAATCCCAAACAATCCCATAACTTTTTGTCTGCATGCTTTGGAAATGATCTGGTAAAATTTTCGTGAAAATCAGAGCATCGGCCTAGGAGGAGTCCGAAAAAGTAGGTTTTTCAGAGATTTCAAAATGGGTGATGGAAAAAAACATCATAGGGTGCAATCAAATTGTCTTGAGCTAGTTAAGCTTTTTACAAGACAAGTAAAAGCTTAAAAAAACACAAGAGGGTATTTATATTGTAGAATAAAACATGAAAATAAATTGAAAAAATGTCTGTGGTAAACACAACCTCAAGCATTTAAAGGAGTTGTGACATGTTTTTTTTTTTTTTTAATTTGTTTTATTATGTTCTCTCAGGTGCAATTATAGTATTACTATATTATTATTATTTTTTTAAATGTAGTGATTTAGGACCTTTTCCCACCCTGTTTCTCATCCTCTGATTCAAACAGTCTGTTTTGGAGGTGTTTCCCCTTTAAGAGTTCATTGTTAACGCCCACTGTTATGATTGTCTAATGTCAGTGCTTATGCATAAATTATTAACGCCCCCTAGTCAGAACATGTACGGATTCCACAGAACTGTTTGCAATAGTAGCGGGTGCTGCCGATTGTTGCGAGTGAGGCGTTGGCTCTTGCAATTATACAACCCTTATGTTTGAGACAGAATCAGATGAGGAATCAGAAGAAAATTAACCATCACCATAAATAAGCCCATGTCCACATGGAAAGTGTGAAACTATTTTGAATTTATGTCATTTGTAACCCAAGACACTTGAAAATGGGTTATTGTTGCATAATTATCCTATAATTTGCTAACAGTTGAACATTATTTAACTAATTTTAATGAAATTATAGGGTGCACCACGGACAAAATGCATGCACGGGCCACATTTCAAGATGTAGCATTGATATGGCAAAAAATGTTCATTTTTTATCACATGTAGGCTACACAATGCTCCACCACATGAAACTTCGGTCTTCCGATCTTTTACCATCGTGTCAATTCTCAATTGATCTTGATTCATATGCTGGAGGGAGGGAGAGAGAGCAAGACAGTTTGAAGGCGCGCACACGGCCGGGGCTCTCTCTGCTTGTTCTCCCAGTAACATACGCCCTGTCACACTCATCTACATCACTCACCGATCAAATAAGGCTTTGGCGGGACAAAAATTTGCTATAAAATAAACTGCATCCAACTGCTTTCCCTGACATCTGGATCGTTCGGCTGCGTATTCAAACATGTTGCTGTCCACAGCCAGGAACAGCACATCTGCGTGGCATCGCAATGTTCTTGTAAACAGACCCACTCGCTGCACCTCAACTGAACACCTGTGGGCATGATAACAATGCGATGATGCAAACTGAGGCGTAGTTGTCTTGCGCTGGAGGCGGTCGTTTGCAAAAGACTGGTACGTCACTTCGTACCGTGTTGTCACCTCATACCATGGATCCACATGAGCTGTATTTAGAGCTTGATTAAATAAATGCTTTGCTTATAATGGGGAGGATGTCTTAAACTATGAAACTTGCAGGAAGTTTTATTGGTACATAAATCTCTTATATACTTTATATATCAAGGTAAACTTGGTTTCTCATGTGATGACCCCTTCAACAAAAAACCCATTCAAAACCCATCGACTTTAGGACAATGGAACTGGGAGTGCTAAAATGCTAACTCGTGGTTCTACAATATATGTATATAGTACAACAACAGAAACTGAAACCTCTAAAACTTGCTTCTTCAAGCAGAATCCATTATAAAATGCTTGCAGTCTGTATTTCACACAGCACAATGTGAAACATCTTGGGCTGCTCTAAAGCCAAGTACACAATTACAGTGATTTGCCGAAATCTGGATTCGAGTCACTATTGACTGGGTTTTCTCTGCTTCAGCTCTGTTTTGGACTGCCTGTTCGAAAGCTTTCACTTAGTTGATTCTTGGACTAAAAAATCTCCAGGAGTTTACTAGTTAAAAAATGATCTGATCGCAACCAAAGCAGCAGAAACAAAACAATGTCTTAGGTACAAAAATGTGTCCAATAAATTATCTTCTTCATCCTGTAGGTTTCTGAAAAGTGCTGCTGCACAGGAAGCGTGTGACCATCTCACTAAAGTTCTGGGTAAAAGTCCATTATTGCTGACAGAACTGGATCTGAGTGAAGATAAATTAGGAGATCTGGATGGAGAGAAGATCTCTGCTCTCTTGATGGACTCTCATAGCAAAGTGGAGAAAATCAAGTGAGTCAACGTGATTTATACATTGTAACCTCTCTTTTAATTGATTATTATTAATTTATTAAATACTGTCAGTCACATGTGTGAGCATATATGATCTAATGTATGTTAAATATGTGCTGAATAATAGATTATGGTGTTTGTGTGTTTAGGCTGAATAATTGTGATCAGACAGAGAAAAGCTGTTCAGTTCTAGCTACTGTTCTCTCCTCTAAAACCGTCCTGAAAGAGCTGAACCTGAACAACAGCCGTCTGCTGCACTCAGGAGTCAAACAGATCTGTGAGGGACTGAAGAAATCAACACTGAAGATACTCAAGTGAGTACATTTTACCATCAGCTACACTCAACACTACAGAAACCACAGGAATATGGCAATATTATGGATAAATGGATAATCTGTTCCCCCTGTGTTTTCTTTTTTGTCAATATATTATTTTTAATTTTTTTGCAAAAGCCTGTATTCAACGTTGAGATTTGATTTAATTTACTATTATAAATATAAATATTTGTATTTAAAAATATAAATAAAATCTGCCAGATGTACACATTTCAGTGTTTTTTACTGGATGTAATTGACAGTGCTTTATTATTGCCACAGAAAGATGGTAAACAAAGGTTTATGTGAAAGAGATGCTTGTGTACCTGTTCTATTAAGGCCTTGAGAAAAACTTATGCACAATTTGCACTAGTACTTCCATGTTCTGCTCATTAAAGGCTCAAGCATTTCCTTTCAGTGTACTTATGTTACAGTCACTCATGAGGACAGATTATTTTACTGTTTAGGGATGTCAAACAACGAATAATGTTTTGACTTTATCAAGAATTATCGTCACCTTTCTCCTCTCTGGTGACAGCCCTGCCCTGAGGTGAAATATTTTTGTAGGTTTACAAGCCACTGCTTCCTCAATTCAGCTTGGACTAAATTAAAGCATGTTTCATTGAGCTGGGATAATTGTGTACAACCATACATAACTCTCTGAAAAAATCTCTGAAAAATCCAGATTTTTATGTGGCATTTAAGGAACTAGGTGACCACAGCACATGAACAATAACACATCATTGGAAATTACTGAGACACATTATTTAAAAAAAAAAAATGTAACAGCTCACTGTAAGTAGTCGATTAATTGAATTATGGAAAAGATGTTCGAGTATCCAGATCACTGTGTGTGGATCTGTTTCTTAACTCTGAATTTACTGCATGCAGGTTGTGTGTAAAACAGTGATTCTGTTGATGCTATAATATAAGGGATAGAATCATTGCAGGATTTTACAGTCTCATTTATTTGTCTAGGGACAATCATAAATGTTGGTCAAATTGTCATGGTAGTCTTTTTCCTACAATTAATGGTATTATGTATCTTCATTATTGATGTTGTTCAATTTCTATTATCAGGCTCAGTAAGTGTGATCTAACAGAAGAAAGCTGTTCAGCTCTGGCTTCAGTTCTCTGTTCAAACTCCAGCATTCTGAAGGATCTTGACCTGAGCAATAATAATCTGCAGGATTCAGGAGTGAAGCTGCTCTCTGATGGACTGAAAAATAAAAGTAAACTGGAGAAACTCAGGTGAGATGAACACTGGACATTTGGTTTGTTTAAATATTTAGTCATCAGTTTTGACTGAAACTAAGTTTAGTTTGCATATTATTTGTACAAATAACAAAAATACAGAGTAACATGCTTATTTGAAAAATGTTAGTCTGATAGTTTGCTTTGAATTTAAAAAGTACTAAATTATTTTATTCATTGGATGTAAAAAGTAATCTTACAAGTAAACTTTCATTTCTGGAATTTCTATTAACGAATTAATCACGTTACATTTGTATTCCTGTTGTAGACTTTCAGACTGCAGTATCACAGAAGGAGGTTATAAAGCTCTGGCTTCAGCTCTGAGATCAAACCCTTCACACCTGATAGAGCTGGATCTCACAGGAAATGATCCTGGACAATCAGGAGTGAAGGAGCTCGATGATCTACTACAGGATCAGAAGTGTTCACTCAAAACACTGAGGTGAGACGTGATCAAATAATACAAAATAAAATGACATACAGGTGAATTAAGAGAAATTTATGCCTCTTTTCCACTGTCTAGCTAAACCGCTCTCCTTACTTAACCGCTCTATAGACCCCTTTTGCGCCGACGTCACAGTTACGTCACGGCGCTAGCTGGAGGCAAAACAAAGTGAAAACTGGAGGCGTTTTCCTACATAATAAGGAGTTTAAATAATTGTTACTATTATTAAATGTCATCTTATTGTGTTGTTTGGTGCAAGAATTGATGAAAAATGAATATGCTGTATCTGGAACTTTTATTTCTAGAAAATATTCACATCATTAAAATGGCACTGTAATGTCACTCTTTACATTGTTGTGGTCTCGGCGCTGGCTCGGCAGAACTGCGGATCGTACACACAAGTCTTGTACAGGACCATATAGGCATCTAAAGATTTATATGCCCTCAGTTTCTCTTTACGATCGGTTTCTCTATAAGGTAGCTTGGTCTAGAAGTCAGGCCACTCAACCGAGGTAACGTACGTTAATCCTGTCAGATCGTCCATGCATTGAGTGAGCGTGTAGGCGGATACGGGTCGGCCAATCTGGTACCGTCCGTTAAAAATAACTTTTGGATATAACAATCGCGGTCCTGGAGAGTGAGTGACCTTACACATTAAGATAATATCGGATTTTCTGCAGTCATTGTTAAAAAACAAGCTAACAATCCTTGCTAACTAGCGTTAGTGAAGCGGCCAGAGGGATCTTTCTAGCTCCGCCCACAAAAAACGTCACCGTGTTTACCAACTGTAAAAGGGTCTATTCCGTGCTGATGTGGCCCAGCTAGTACGAAATGGTTTCATTTTCCATTGTGGGGCTGATAGCAGAGCTCTTTGGCATGTAATACAACTGCAGCAGTCATTTTCTTCGTATGAAAGAGTTTACAGATGGCATTAGATGTAAATAATGATCTCTTTATGGAGAATGGAGGATTTTAATCTGATTACTTATTTGTTTACTTCACTTAAAGTACTTCACTTCACTTACTTCACATGCCGGGAGTTTGATTGGCTATCCAACCAATCATAATCCGCCATCCGCTGAATCCGCCATTTTGTCCAACAAAGCAGGAGAGTTTTGAGATTAACGTCCATGGATTTAACCTTGAAAAACAATGTGTACTGACGGCTTTCCACAGTTGAAACATTCCTTCTAATGTTTATACATGTTTATTTGATGCTATAAGGCCACCCTTAAAAATATTCTTGTTTGCCGTAACCCGACCGACCCTGTCAATTTAGGGCCGACCCAATTTTTTATTTTTTGTTACTGCAAACCAAAATATTTTTAAGGATGGCCTAAATTAACTACATCGAAGAGATGATCGGTTTACGAGCTTTAACTGAGGCTCTACAGCGATCTGTCTGACACATTAAAGAGCCACAAAACAGTATTTATTGTTTAAATGTCTTAAAAAATGACTAAATTTGAAAGATGAGACTTTGATTTATATAAAAAGTAACCTGGTCTGCCCTGTTTGTCTGCACCTTGTCAGTGTCCTCTCTGCTACGCGATGCGTGAGAACGTGTGTGGCGTTAAACTGCATAATCTTTTGTTGTTGTCAAAGTTAACAAGGATTAACACTAGACTATTAAAATCACTACGGTTTGTTAAAAACTTAATTTATTTCTGCTTCATCTTCGCTTCTTCAGGTTTTTGGGTCCTGCTGCAGATGAAGCCTGTCAGTATGTGAGAGGAATTGTGGGTAATAACCCGTTACTCCTGAGAGAACTGAATCTGAGTGGACGTGAACTAGGAGACACACGAGTGAATCAGATCGCTGCTCTACTGCAGGATAAACACTGTAAACTCAACACACTGATGTGAGTAATTTACTGCTGTTCTTAAGAAGATATTAGAATCTATATAAGAACCATTATATAGATTTTTCTTTTTATTATTGTTGTTGTGGCTGAAATAAATGAAGAATGTTTCCTGTCTTTGTTTTGTTTCTCTTCAGGCTGAATAATACCAGTATTACAGCAGAAGGTTGTGCTGCTCTGACTTCAGCGATTAATTCAAACCCTTCAAACCTGATAGAGCTGGATCTGAGTGAGAATAAACTCGCAAACTCTGGAATAAAGAAGATCTGTGTTCTGTTGGAGAATACACAATGCAGATTGGAAAAACTGAAGTGTGTATTCATTTATCTTCATTTCTGCATGATAACATAGATTTACAGATGACTGACTAATTGATGGAAAAATCTATTTCAGTTAATCATTTTAATTTCAGTTTGAAACATTTTAGAAATGCAAATAAAGCAGGTGTTGTCAATAAGGCATTGGTTGCAGTACTTAACATGTACATGTTTTTGTATGTATATATATATAGTCTTTCAGACTGCAGTATCACTGAAGAAGGATATAAAAGTTTGACCTCATCTCTGAAATCAAACCCTTCACACCTGATAGAGCTGGATCTCAGAGGAAATGATCCTGGACAATCAGGAGTGAAGGAACTCAAAGATTTGCTGCGGCTTGAATGTTGTAAATTAAAGATCATCAGGTGAGAAAAGCCTTTGATTTTTCAAAATAAGCCACAGACAGTCAGAGGTGTGCAGCTAATGGCAGAATGCAGAATTAGAATGGCATGAAAAGGAATTTACTGAATTGCAATTCAGCAAAACTGTAAATATTTACCAAAACTATGACTTTACCACATTCTACATGTTGCCATATTGTATTGCTTTACTGGATCCATAAGGAGGATGGGAGCTACAACAAGCATGACATTTTAACAACATTATTTAAAAATAATGTTTTTTTTTATTGGAATCATTTTGTTTTAATTAAAATTAACCTAAATTAGTTTTTTCTTTTATCCTTTTTTCTTTTCAATTTTCAAATCTAAATGTTTTATTTCCTGTAGGTTTTTGAAAAGTGCTGCTGCACAGGAAGCGTGTGACCATCTCACTAAAGTTCTGGGTAAAAGTCCATTAATACTGACAGAACTGGATCTGAGTGAAGATAAATTAGGAGATCTGGATGGAGAGAAGATCTCTGCTCTCTTGATGGACTCTCATAGCAAAGTGGAGGAAATCAAGTGAGTCAATGTGATCTTATTCCTTATAACATCTGTTTGTTCTGTATTATAAAAGACTGTCATTCACAAATGTGAGCAGATATGAAGAGCTGTTAATCTAATGTGTGTTGAATATGTGCTGAATAATAGATTATGGTGTTTGTGTGTTTAGGCTGAATAATTGTGATCAGACAGAGAAAAGCTGTTCAGTTCTAGCTACTGTTCTCTCCTCTAAAACCGTCCTGAAAGAGCTGAACCTGAACAACAGCCGTCTGCTGGACTCAGGAGTCAAACAGATCTGTGAGGGACTGAAGAATCCTGTGTGTCAGCTGAAGATACTCAAGTGAGTACATTTCACCATCAGATACACTCAACACCACAGCCATCACAGGGATATTTTTATTTACTGAATTTGCTTGCTGAAAGTGCAAAAAAATGGAAGAATGCTTTTTTTCTTCTTTTTTTTGGTCTCACAGTTTAGAGTCCAATACGCATTATTAGCTATTAGCTACGAGTTTTGCCTCAATAAATAAATCCTAATTACTTCTTATTAATAGTTCGGAAGGTAGTTGTAGTAGCGTTTTAGTTTATGTGTGGGTAGGATTATGGGATTTAGAATGAGATCATGCAGAAAAAGGCAAACATGAATACACAAAAGTGTTTATAGGTATAATATGTAAGAATTTTGCATCAAAAGCTGAGCTGAACAGCTGAGCAAATTACATCAAACGAATCAATGTTATATAGCTCAACATGATGAAATGTTATAATATGATCAGTATGTTATTCTAATGTTGATCTAGCTTACTGCTTCTGAGTTTGTCACACCACAGAAAAATGTGTTATTAGCCACCCAGACAAATTTTAATGATACAAAAGCCGGCAAGTACATAAAATAAGCTATCAAAATCTTGAAAAAATGAGCAGTATTCTCTGCTCTCAAATGCTGGGGGCGTGTCTGCGCGGAAACCACGCCCACATGCGGACAGCTGCCGACGGTGATATAGACCATCACAGTCCCGCCCACAGCCGGTGCCGGAAGTAAGAATTCAATACAATTTCTCCATTGACAGTTGTGGTATAAGCCATAAAAATGTGAATATACGTGGTAGACTTAAAACCAGCTACGGCTGTACTAAGCGATTGTATATGCTCATATAAACGCCAAAAGTTCACGGGGCACTAACCTTGTTTTAAGGTAAATGCCTTTTATTCGCGATGTCTTGGATAAGTACTTCATTACCCACAATCCTGAACAATCCCACAGTGATGCATCTGATTGGTGGAACTGTCTGGTTAAACCCCGCGAAGGACCGGGGAGACTGAAGATCACGTAATGACATAGGGATAGTTCATTGGTCGCACGTCAGAGGGGCCTGCGCCATCTAAATTTTAGATCCATCTTAATAATATTTCATTATTAAAGTCCCCGTGAAATCAAAATTGAACCTATTTACTTTGTTAGCGCATATTACTAGTCTTGTGGTGAACAATTAATCCGTGCAAGTAAATATATATTAAAAAAATGTTTTACCTTGGTAATCTTTAATCAAAATCTGAAAAGTTACTTCCGGTCTGGAACGGTTGATGACGTAGGTTTCACAGTTTGGGTTGGGAAACGCTTAACCACTCCCCTCAAACCGTTAGTTTGCTATGAGCGTGAGATGGAGAGGAGGAGCGCTAGAGTAAAACCCTGCCCTCTGTTCAATATTCCGTTTCACTTGGAAATACGTCACAGCATGGGAGAAAAATCGTTTGCAACTTCCGGTTCACGGGGACTTTAAGATTTCTTCTGCGACCTCGCTTCATTAGACGATTTCAAAACTCACCTTAACTTTTTATGTTTCTATGTCATGTTTCTACGTCATGTTTATTTGTACTTAATTGTAAAGCGACCTTGAGTACTCTGAAAGGCACTATATAAAATAAAATTATTATTATTATTATTATTATTATCTGTTAATATATTAACCATAAAGTGCTCAAACCAAATGTACTGGTTAGTGGGAAGTAGATGTGCAAGTGTACAGTAATTAACATGTACATAATTGTTGTGTGCACTTCAAAATGTTTGCAATTTATTAAAGAGAGTTCCTGTATTATAAATTTAGATTTTTAGATTTACCTGGTTAAAATGTGCTTCATTAAAGAGGCATGCTCACTCTGATGTAAACAACCCCAAGAGAAGCATAAATGAATGAAGAAGATGGGCTGAATGAATGAATAAACAATGTCACTCTCTGACAGTAGATTGCGCTGGTGGAACAGCACCTCCGTAAACAAAACTCTGCTTTTTCTTTCTCATCTTCCTGACAAACAGAAGGAAGTTAAACAGTATTTAAATGTTTTAAATTTGATACTGTCATATGTCTACTTGGAAGAAAACTTCAAAACTAAAAAAACTAAAAAAGACAGTTTGTAAATATTGTATTTGATGAACATTTCTGCTTGCACTGATCATTCTGATTCAGTTAAAGTTATAATTCATCCGATAATTTAATTTGAAACACAATGTTACATTTAATTCAAGTTTCATGTTTTGTAGACTTTCAAACTGCAGTATCACAGAAGAAGGTTATAAAGCTCTGGCTTCAGCTCTGAGATCAAACTCACACCTGGCAGAGCTGGATCTCACAGGAAATGATCCTGGACAATCAGGAGTGAAGGAGCTCGATGATGTACAACAGAGTTGGTGGAATCGGCTGAAAACACTGAGGTGAGTGTTAAGACAATAAAATGCAATCGTTTTTAGCTGGAAGAGAATAAAACCTTCAAAAAGAAATTTATAAAAGCTTTGAAATGACTAAAGGACCACACCCATCGTTATTGGGGGGCCATAAGGGGCTGGGCCCACCCCCAAAAATGCTTGTGCCCAGGGCTGTTTGGAAACAGTAGGGAATGGAAACCTCACTTCGGTGACCAATGAATAGGAATCCCACTAGAGAGGCCGATCTACTTGGAGTGTAACTAAAACGAGCCTATGGACACTGGGATACGATAATTGAAATCAGCTGCTTCCAGGCGGGGGTATATAATGAGCAACAGGTGCATTGCATCTTCATGTTTTCGATGAGGAGCCGAGCTGTTGACCCGGCCACACAGTGGGGTACAGCGGTTTTGGTGACGGGACGTGACATCTCCGTTCCCTCCTTCAAGGAAAGAGGGTTACATACGTAACCGAAATGTCCCTTTCAGACGAATATGAATCCCTACCAAAGCGCCACGACTGCTGCCTCCTTCCAGTGCCCTGAGTAAGCCTCCTGATCTCTCTTCCCTAATAGGACGATGGGAAATGGCTTACTCAGAGAATGTCAATCACAGCTGTTCTGCATAACCCATTCAGTTAAACTATTGGATAACGCTGGGAAAGCTTGCCCTTTCCACTGGAAAAGGAACGCTGCGGAAGCCACATCCTTCCCAGAAGGAGTTATGTGGAGATATACATATGGACTAACCCTGTAGGGTTGTACGACATATGAAAGTATTAGGGTGTCTACAACCTCGTAAGAGATGGGTTCTCCCAAGGGAAAGACACAGGCTTCCATTTAGGAGCAACCGTTAAAAAGTACACAAATGGGATCCCCTCAGGGTCACACATATGTCACCCAGCCTAGACTCAGTTCTCAAGTTTACAGTGGAATATAGGCCTGGTGCCGGACACTCCACCACGCCTGGCTGCTATGGGTGACGGGACTCAACTGGGTCTGGCCGTAGGGACACTCTGGAGCAATTTTGGTTTTAGGTGAAAACACAGGAGGAAACCGCTTCTGCAAGTAGACTATAGAATCTAGCGAACGTCTGGAGTGTTGCCCATCCCGCAGCACTACACATATCTGTCAGCGAGACGCCACGTGCCAATGCCCAGGAGGATGCAACACTTCTTGTTGAGTGAGCTTGCATCCTGATCGAGCAAGTCACGCCTTCTGCTTAGTAAGCCAAGGTGATGCATCAACTATCCAGTGGGCCATCATCTGCCTGGAGATAACCTTTCCATTCTGCTGGCCAGACAAAGAGCTGGTCTGAGGTCCAAAGGCTTTGTGTTCTGTCCCTGTACAGTCACATAGCATGGACGGGACAGTGAAAAGCCAGGGCTGGGTCTGTGTCCTCCAGAAGTCGTGTTTTTCTGAAGTATCCGCATCCCAGCGGTTGAGAATCACTGATATAGTGTATTTTCACACTTAATGTAATTCCAAAGCAACATTTTAATTATAGTCATATAGAACTGCAATGCGGACAACAAACCTAATGCGGAACTACTTCAGCCGTGCAGTTGGCTACTTGAGAAATAATCTATCGACCAATTTTTAGAATGCACTATTTATTTTTGTAATTCTTTATTTTAATGAAACATATGTTACCAGTGAATAACAACATGAAAAACATAACTTTTTTTAATGGTGGTTTAGAGAGGATACAGAATAGTAAACCACTTTTTTTGTTAGGACTACAACTCTGGTCTTGAAGTTTTTGGGTCCTGCTGCAGATGAAGCCTGTCAGTATGTGAGAGGAATTGTGGGTAATAACCCGTTACTCCTGAGAGAACTGAATCTGAGTGGATGTAAACTAGGAGACACACGAGTGAATCAGATCGCTGCTCTCCTGCAGGATAAACACTGTAAACTCAACACACTGATGTGAGTATTGTACATTTAGTATTGTAGATTTAAATTATTATAAAGACATCTTATAACAAAAACACGATTCTCAGTTATGTTGGAATCAAGTACTTTGTGTTTGTAAATTCTCCGTCTTCTGTTCATGATTTTAGGCTGCGTAAGTGTGGTCTAACAGAGGAAAGCTGTTCAGCTCTCGCTACAGTCCTGACATCAAACTCCAGTCTGAAAGAGCTTGACATCAGCAACAATAATCTGCAGGATTCAGGAGTGAAGAAACTCCAGAACGGATTAGAAAATACAGACTGTACACTGGAGAAACTCAGGTGAGTTCAATTAACCATTGTTTGTTTTAAATATTAAAGTTAAGTTACTGTAGTGAATTAAAGTAACAGGAAAAAACATGCCTTTGTCAAATTATTTTCTTGACTAACAAGAGAAAAGACATTTGATGATTTTTATGATATCATTTTTTTAAGTGATATTAATTGTATAACTTTTTTTTTTTAATCTCTTTTCTGTAGACTTTCAGACTGCCGTATCACAGAAGAAGGTTATAAAGCTCTGGCTTCAGCTCTGAGATCAAACCCTTCACACCTGATAGAGCTGGATCTCACAGGAAATGATCCTGGACAATCAGGAGTGAAGGAGCTCGATGATCTACTACAGGATCAGAAGTATCAACTCAAGACACTGAGGTGAGACGTGATGAAATAATACAAAAAAAATATATGAATATGAATAATTGACAGAAATGCTATTTCACTAATGGCTTTATAGGTTTTTGAGTCCTGCTGCAGATAAAGCCTGTCAGTATGTGAGAGGAATTGTGGGTAATAACCCGTTACTCCTGAGAGAACTGAATCTGAGTGGACGTAAACTAGGAGACACACGAGTGAATCAGATCGCTGCTCTACTGCAGGATAAACACTGTAAACTCAAAACACTGATGTGAGTATTTCTCTTGGTTTAAAACTTAACATGTAAAATATATTTAACTGGTATGGACTAAAATTATCTGTCACGGGTGCTGCTAGTAGGAAGTGCACGTGGATGAAGATTCAAACAAAATAGCCTTTAACCCAAATATAAACCACAGGAGAACATCTCTATTACATATCGTAACCCTCGTTCCCTGAAGGAGGGAACAGATTCGCACATCGTGACAGACGAATAGGAATCTCACTAGAGAGGCCAATCTACTTTGAGTGTAACTATAAATGCATATGCAACCGAGACTTTACCTATCAGTCGGTCACTCTCGGCGTACATCTTTTCCGACGAATAGGAAACCCTTCCAAAGCGCCACAGCTGTTGCCCCCTTCCAGTGCCTTATGCAAGCCTCCTGTCCCTTCTTGCCTGGAAGCACGATAGGAGAGGGCTTACACAGAGACTTTCACTGTTTTTCCGAACTACCCTCCGAAAAACTACCCTCATGCATTAAGCCACCCCAACATTGAGAGTAGTGAGAGGGGGGAAAACCTGTGAAGGTTTTGACACTTTTGGCTTATTTAACTCCATACTGCCCAGTTTTTCAGTGCATATCCAGGAGAAGACCCGGGAAAGCATGGCTGTAAACTCTGAATCTGAGTCAGCATTAGCAAACGCCATTACAGTGGAAAGCTCAGCATCACAATAATCTCCAGAGCACAACAGTCCTCTCTCCAATCAGCGATGGACATCTGAAACTCAGCTGGATGACAACGCTAGGTTCCCCCACGAGAAGGACCAGCATTCCCATCCAGAAGCTGCACAGCTTGTGATACACTAGAGGCGGAGGCGCCCTAGGGGGTTGTTTCCCAGAAGGAGAAGCCCTTTGTAATCCTCAGAGGCTGGCCAACAACAGAGGGGACTCAAACTTCCCAGAGAAAGAAGAGTCATGACCGGCATGTTGGTGTGGTCGTGTTCCCATGTGAAACCATAAACCACCCACAAACATAGTCTGAACAAGTGTGCGAGGCTGTGAATGTGGCCGTCAGTGAGAACAGGAAAAAAACACAGCCAAAAACACACAGGTGGACTGTTATTCTATAGAAAGACACAAACCACACCCATATAAGTTCTTTTAGGAGACTCGCTCTCTCTGTGCTGAAACACACAGGGGAAAAGATCGTGGCAACACTGACAGGGAATTGCAGCCTGTAGTGTGCACTAACTCTTGTTGAAGCACAGCTAAAACCAGCTGGAAAAACTGCTTTTTAGCGCTCTGAAGAGCGCACCATTACAAGCAGTTACCTTATTTGTTTTGCTCATTGAAAAGGCAAATAAGAAGAAGAAGAAGAAGAAAAAAAAAAGAGGAAATCGACCACGTCATGACACCAACACTGATGAAATCAAGAGGTTCTCCTTGAAGATCTTGCTCGTTCAGAAGACACTGCTTGCAGACAAGAGCACACATGAAACGCTCGGCTCCAAAGCAAAAAGCTGAGGATGAAATGCACCTTCTGCTCATTATATACTCGTGCTGTGAGGCAGAGCAACTGCTGCAAATCACTGCATACCAATGTTCATTGGCTCGTTTAGTTACACTTGAAGTAGATTGGCCACTCTAACGAGATTCCTATAAGTCTGTCACGACTTGCATTGAGAGATACCGACTGATAGGGAACTCAGGGAAGCAGACATAACACACCTTAACATTGAAGAAAAGGGACAAACAACTGAAAAAAAACCCCAGGTATAAATACTGGAACAAATGAGGGAGCCGATGTGATAATAGGACACAGGTGAATGTATGACTAAATAAACAGACTGAGGCTATGTTTACACGGAAACAATTCTGAAGAGAAAACGCAAAAGTGGCGTTGCGTCATCTTTTTTTATTCTGCGTTTAGAAGAGCGTTTTGTGTGGGAAATCTGCATGCAAATGGAGACGCAAAAGTGTGTGAAATTCAATGTAGTATGCACTTCAGGCGGCTAGGAGTGCATACTACAACAACACCAAGTCCGCGCGCCTGCGTACAATCTTCACTGTCAAGCAGACTTTTGCGTTTTTACCGTTTACACGGGAACGCGGCGGTGGAGCGTTTTTAAGATTTCCACTCTGGCGGGTGGTTTCACTTTTTTGTGTTTTTGAGCCTCAAAAATGCCGTCGCCGTGTAAACGAAAGGCACATCCGATAAAATATTTTTACGTTTTCACCCGCGAGCGTTCTCGTGTAAACAGGGCCTGAGGAAAACTAAGTCACAGGACAGAACCAAATACACAATGAAGTAGGTAACACAGAACATGCCTTTGACGCTATAATTGTTCATTAAAAAAGTTTTGTGATAAACTGAAGAATGTTTCTTGTCTTTGTTTTCTTTCTCTTCTGAATACAGGCTGAATAATAGCAGTATTACAGCAGAAGGTTGTGCTGCTCTGACTTCAGCGTTTAATTCAAACCCTTCAAACCTGATAGAGCTGGATCTGAGTGAGAATAAACTCGAAAACTCTGGAATAAAGAAGATCTGTGTTCTGTTGGAGAATACACAATGCAGATTGGAGAAACTGAAGTGTGTATAAACATTCAACTACATTTCTGCATGTTATATTTAAATTTGATTTATGCATATCCATTTTATTAGATTGTCATTAAAAATGACCAAACATTGGTGCTGAAATAAAATTTTTTACTTAATTCTTTGAATTAACACGCACACACAATAAATAAATATATATATATATATATATATATATATATGTTATACAAATATGTTATACAGATTCTCCAACAACCTTTTCTCTTTTAAATAATTACATTTTTGGTTATTTTAATTAGTGATATTATTGTATTTCAATGCTGACATGACTTTCACTGTATGTATCTTAGCTCAGAAAATTAAATCATTTTTCAGGTTTGTTATGTATAAAAAAACCCAGTAATTTTATATACTCTCTCAGCAGCTCTGTTTTCATAAAAGTAAATTTTTAATTATTTTAAAGCAATTAAATTAACCAAACACTGGCCAAAACACACGTTCTTAGTGATCACTAAATATAAGTATTAATTCTCTGTCCTGTTCATGATTTTAGGCTGCGTAAGTGTGGTCTAACAGAGGAAAGCTGTTCAGCTCTCGCTACAGTCCTGAGATCAAACTCCAGTCTGAAAGAGCTTGACATCAGCAACAATAATCTGCAGGATTCAGGAGTGAAGAAACTCCAGAACGGATTAGGAAATACAGACTGCACACTGCAGAAACTCAGGTAAAAGGGTTAAATTAATTGCATAAATATTTTTACATTTCCCCTTTAGAAATAGTTTTATCCTTTAAAACCCTCCATTAATATCAAATTTCTTGTTTATTTTTTGTTCTTGTGATATTAATTTCTTCATGTCTTGAATGTAATTCTACACCCTTGCCTCATTTACTGTACATGGATTAATGTAGCACAGAGCCCATTTCTAAATCTATACAGTTTAACTTTGAGGATAGCTCAAGCAAACTCTGTTTTTTTTTTGTTTGTTTTTTTTTGTCAAGAGGGTGGAATGTTTTTTAGTGGTTATCTGCTTTGTTCAGACCAATGTTCCGTCTTAGCACAATCGATTAAAAAAAAAAATTAGATTTATCAAATTTTTTTTCTGTGATTAAATGTGATTAATCACAATCACAAGTTTTTAATAAATTTTATAATGTAATAATTATAAAAAAATATATTATTCTACAATTGAATATAGAAGCAACATAAAGACACTATATTTTAAATTAAGTTTAATGGCATGTTTTTATGAATGAAATAATTCTGCTAATGTGGTCTTGATGGCGTCTCCCCGAATTTAAAACATTAATTATAGTCATTCTGTTACATCCGGGAGCGTTGCAACAAAGTTGTGGATCCGTTTGCAGGCTTTATTAACAAGCGTGAAGTCGAACAGGCAGCAGGCCAATCAGAAACAGGAAGGGCACGGCAAAAGAGTAATCCAAACACGCAGGCACTGGTCAGGGCAGGCAGAGAACAATCATAAAACAAGGAATCTGACTAGGGTCAAAAACACAGGCTATGCAATGTAGAGCAAGGAAACAAGGATAACACAGAATGTGAACATAAATATACAGAGTCACTGATGGTTGACAGGTGTGAGTGTGTGATTAGCACCTAGATGGGGAATTGTGGGAAATTGGGGAGTCCATAAGACGACATTGATGAACACAGACCCAGGACACATGTTACACATTCAACATTACAGTTTATTGAAAGCCAGCCGTTTTTAAAACATTTATTAGGCTTCAAAAAATATAACAACTTTTAATTTAAGTGAACTTAAAAAAAACATGAACCCATAATAAATATCATATTTACCTGTGCCTTGTGAAATATACAGAAATTGAATAAATTTATCTAACAGGCTGCAATGCATAAATTATAAATGAATTAGATGAATCCTAATTAAAGCTACAAAAGTTCTTTAATCAAGAGCAGTGAGTAATTTTCACTGTTACCTTTTAGAGTTGCGAACCCTACACTGGTCTCACGGTTCGCTTCGATTACGATTATCATGTCATTGATTCAGTTCAATTCGATATCACGACATCCTCAATTTTAAATTTTTCTTCAAAAGTAATTGTGTGTGCGCGCACCTGTGTGTGTGTGTGTGTGTGTGTGTGTGTGTGCGCTCGCCTCTTCGGGAAATTCAAAAGGGATTTCTGTGTCACAGAAACAGTGACATTCCAGTTTAAGGCTCAATCCCAATTCACCCCTTGTTTTCGAGTGTAGTATTATAAGAGTAAATAAAGTGCGTGGTGGAATCATCTGCCGCTATATTTAAATGTTTAACCGTTTGCAAAGCAATCTTGCTGGTTATGTGGCAATTTTCTCGTAGCCCTCCGTTTGAGGTGTGCCTCTGAAAAATCTCTGTTTCGAGGGCTATGTAGCCCCTATGTGTGTAAGTATGTACACCCCTATTGCCTTTGTTCTATAATTAACCTTAATGACACACAGCATTAGTAGCTGGTGTCACTTTAAGATCTGCCACTGGTGACCGAGACTCAAATCTCACATGCGCCTCATTCTCTTACAACTTTTTATGTTCAATGAAGACTATTTAACTCATTTAAGACTGATATATAATTTAATTAGAGTAAATGAAAATAAATTAAAGGGAACATTGGATATACCATATACTGTATCTGACTGCTTGTATTCATTGCCAAAAATGTAGCCATGTGCAGTAATATTGAATCGTGATATTGAATCAAATCGTTGACATGATAATCAAAATCGATTCAAATCATGAGACCAATGAAGATTCACACCCCTATTTATAATACTCTTTTGTTTATATTGTGTAATAACTGTATTCATGTTAATGTCTTTTCTGTAGACTCTCAGACTGCCGTATCAGAGAAGAAGGTTATAAAGCTCTGGCTTCAGCTCTGAGATCAAACCCTTCACACCTGATAGAGCTGGATCTCACAGGAAATGATCCTGGACAATCAGGAGTGAAGGAGCTCGATGATCTACTACAGGATCAGAAGTGTTCACTCAAAACACTGAGGTGAGACGTGATGAAAATAAATTAAATGCAGGAAAATTATTTAGAAAAATATTAGAATTTATAAAACTGTATGACATTGTACCTAAAAATAGGGTTTTGACAGTATTTTCTCTACTTTCCGTTACATTATAAATGTTGAGAATTTAGTTAATTACTGTTTCATCTTCTTATCTGTAGGTTTTTGAGTCCTGCTGCAGATGAAGCCTGTCAGTATGTGAGAGGAATTGTGGGTAATAACCCGTTACTCCTGAGAGAACTGAATCTGAGTGAACGTGAACTAGGAGACACACGAGTGAATCAGATCGCTGCTCTCCTGCAGGATAAACACTGTAAACTCAACACACTGATGTGAGTATTTCCTGGTGTTTTATACTTTTATGTGTAAAATAGTTCACATAATTTTATTGTCATATTTTCTGTACCTTGTTTAAAGTTATCATTGTTATTAATAAAAGTTTTGATAAAAACTGAAGAATGTTTCGTGTCTTTGTTTTGTTTCTCTTCAGGCTGAATAATACCAGTATTACAGCAGAAGGTTGTGCTGCTCTGACTTCAGCGATTAATTCAAACCCTTCAAACCTGATAGAGCTGGATCTGAGTGAGAATAAACTCGCAAACTCTGGAATAAAGAAGATCTGTGTTCTGTTGGAGAATACACAATGCAGATTGGAGAAACTGAAGTGTGTATATCTAAATCTTCATTTTTGTAATATACATTTGTTAATATCCTATTTGATTAGATGAACTTAAAAAAAGACTATATAGGCTGAAATTTCATCACTATTTATTTTAATATATAATAACTGTTACTTAGTTACTGTAAAGTAGGCTTTTATGTAAATGCCAATTAAATCATGTTGATTTGCTATTATGATAATTTGTGTTCTATCAAAGAATAAAGAAATTTTCATTTCTTTTTAAATAGACTTTCAGACTGCAGTATCACAGAAGAAGGTTATAAAGCTCTGGCTTCAGCTCTGAGATCAAACCCTTCACACCTGATAGAGCTGGATCTCACAGGAAATGATCCTGGACAATCAGGAGTGAAGGAGCTCGATGATCTACTACAGGATCAGAAGTATTCACTGAAAACACTGAGGTGAGTTTTTTCTACAAATTAAAGGAGTGAAGGAGTTCAGTGATTTACTAAAGGATGAACGCTGTACATTAAAGACCATCAGGTGATTTAGAAACTTTACTTTGTAACATTAACTTATCTTTAACAATGCTGTCAATGTCAATAATCAATAAAACATCATATATAATATGCTAGAACACATAAATACATTGTATTAAAGGAATAGTCCACCGTTATTTCATATTAAACAATGTTATTCCCTTAACTAAGACGAGTTGATACACACCTCTCTCGTCTCAGTGCGTGGACTAAATGGCTCTGTTTTGTGGCAAAACTTTGTTAGCACTTAGCTTAGCACAGTTAATTCATTAGGACCCAAGCAGAGAAGCGACCAAACACCTCCACAGTTTCCCTTTTTAAATACAGTTACACAAGTTGAGTAACTCGACCTAGGACGGTGACACAAAATAAAACGTTGCACTTTTGGTGGATAACTATAATGTTTGGAGGAATACCACAGCAAGTGATTGGGAGCACTTCGACTCGGCGCAGTAATATCATCACTCGTGAAAAATCCTCTCCGGAGTGATGATATTACTGCACCGAGTCGAAGAAGTGCTCCCAAGCTCTTTCTATTGTATTCCGCCAAACATTATAGTTATCCACTTTACACGCTTTATTATGTGTGTGGATCAACAGCATGTTCACAATTGTAAAACTAACTCATCTAAAATTCTCTTCTATTTCCTGTAGGTTTCTGAAAAGTCAATCTGCACTGGAAGCGTGTGACCATCTCACTAAAGTTCTGGGTAAAAGTCCATTAATACTGACAGAACTGGATCTGAGTGAAGATAAATTAGGAGATCTGGATGGAGAGAAGCTCTCTGCTCTCTTGATGGACTCTCATAGCAAAGTGGAGAAAATCAAGTGAGTCAATGTGATCTTATTCCTTATAACTTCTATTTGTTCTGTATTATAAAAGACTGTCAGGCACATGTGTGAGCAGATATGAAGATCTGTTAATCTGATGTGTGTTGAATATGTACTGAATAACAGATTATGGTGTTTCTGTGTTTAGGCTGAATAATTGTGATCAGACAGAGAAAAGCTGTTCAGTTCTAGCTACTGTTCTCTCCTCTAAAACCGTCCTGAAAGAGCTGAACCTGAACAACAGCCGTCTGCTGGACTCAGGAGTCAAACAGATCTGTGAGGGACTGAAGAATCCTGTCTGTGAACTGAAGATACTCAAGTGAGTACATTTCACCATCACATACACTCAACACCACAGTAATCACAGGAATATGATGCATTTGATAACTTTTTGTATTATTTGTAGGCTCAGTAAGTGTGATCTAGCAAAGGAAAGCTGTTCAGCTCTGGCTTCAGTTCTTTCTTCTGGCAGCAACCTGAAGGATCTTGACCTGAGCAATAATAATCTGCAGGATTCAGGAGTGAAGCTGCTCTCTGATGGACTGAAAGAGAATTGTAAACTGGAGAGACTCGGGTTAGTTGATGACTATGGGCTCCATCTCTCACCCGCCGCAAATGACTTCGTACAACGACGCTTTTATCATTCCTATTTTGCACCCGTGTAAAGCGGGCTTTTCCCTCCACAGACGCACGCCGGCAAACTAGGGAATGAACTTGCGCTCCCTGGGCGGGTCGGCGCAAAAAAGGAGGCGTGTTTCGGCGCAAACAATCCCTGGTGCTATTTTACACTTCCAGAAAACAATTGCGCCGCTGACCAGAAAACACCTGGTCTAAAGTCAGTGGTGTTGCGAGTACATTCAGATGCTAATTAAACCACACATGCTTGGCCAAAATACAGAGTGTAAACAACACGCATATACTCTATATGATTCTCTCAGCTACACAGATGTGTTTTACTTTTTGCAAATGATACATTATTATAAGGAAAAATATTAAAACACGAGGGAAATCATTGTTGTGTCCATGATGACGATGGGAAAAATAGGCATAAAGCTTACACATTTACCCAAATTATTATATGCCTGTTTAACCGAAGCTAATTTGGGTGGGTTTGTCCCGTCCCCAATGTCACTTCTCTTTCTTTTACGGCCCTGACGAGAACATCGATCTCCTCGGCTGTGAAGCGCGTCTGGTAAATGCGCCGTTATAATAGTATTGCTCCATGAAACAAGCACACCTCATTCATCACGCTCTTAAAGGGAATGTGATACGACGCTCTTATTGGTTTGTTTCCCGTTACGCTCAAACCACACCTATGAATAATGAAGCTCCTCCAGACCAACCCCTTTTAAACTTGCGTCGAGCGCAAGAGTCATTTATCCTGCCGGTTAAATAGCAACAGCGCCGAGATCCGCCCACAGAGTTACTTGCGCTTCGCGCTTGATACTTGCGTTTTAGATCGTTAAAATAGGGCCCTATAGACCATTTCACAAGATGTAAACAACACTGGTCCAGAAGCACTTCCTGTTTCAGTTTTTTAACACTACATAAAAGCTGGGATAAAATACAACCAACAGAATATGTAAAACTGAATCAAAAAGTTAAACAACATCTTTAAGATATTTTCTTTACATGTGAAATAAAGAAAACAGTTACAAACTGAAACAGGAAGTGTTTCTGGACCAGTGTTGTTTACATCTAGCAAAATGGTCTATATATTGTTTGCTTCCATATTTAGCTATCCTTTTTGTACAGATTAATATTGTTCAGGACATTTGTGGAGTAACTGATTATTCTGTTGTAGACTTTCAGACTGCAGTATCACAGAAGAAGGTTATAAAGCTCTGGCTTCAGCTCTGAGATCAAACCCTTCACACCTGATAGAGCTGGATCTCACAGGAAATGATCCTGGACAATCAGGAGTGAAGGAGCTCGATGATCTACTACAGGATCAGAAGTATTCACTGAAAACACTGAGGTGAGACGTGATGAAATAATATAACAAATATTACGCGGGTGAATTATTCATAGAAACATTATTTCACTAACTTTGATGCAACAACAAATTGTGCAGGTTATTATAATACAATTATTTCAAGGTAAATGAAACAAACTGATTACACTAAGTTTAGTTGATTTTAAACCCGTTTCATCTTCCCTTCTGTAGGTTTTTGAGTCCTGCTGCAGATAAAGCCTGTCAGTTTGTGAGAGGAATTGTGGGTAATAACCCGTTACTCCTGAGAGAACTGAATCTGAGTGGACGTAAACTAGGAGACACACGAGTGAATCAGATCGCTGCTCTCCTGCAGGATAAACACTGTAAACTCAACACACTGATGTGAGTATTGTACATTGTTTTATACTTTACAAAAGAATATTTATTTTACATTTTTAAAGTCTAATAAAGGACTGTCATTGCTCTCTAGAGTTTTTGAGGATTGAGATTAGTTGATCTATCATATAAATGTATCCTTCTGTTACTGTATTGTGAATTGTGGCTGAAATAAACTAAGAATGTTTCCTGTCTTTGTTTTGTTTCTCTTCAGGCTGAATAATACCAGTATTACAGCAGAAGGTTGTGCTGCTCTGACTTCAGCGTTTAATTCAAACCCTTCAAACCTGATAGAGCTGGATCTGAGTGAGAATAAACTCGCAAACTCTGGAATAAAGAAGATCTGTGTTCTGTTGGAGAATACACAATGCAGATTGGAGAAACTGAAGTGTGTATTAACATGTTTATGTACATTTATGACGGTTTATTTAATTAGATGAAGTTTTACTCCTTTTTAAATGTACACTATGACTGAGGCAAATATTCTGTTTAAACATCTCTTTGTGTTTAGTGAAGAAAATGAAAAATTTAAACAACATAAGGACAAAATCACAAAATTATGGAATTTATTATATTAAAATGATGGAACTATTAATTTAATAAGATTGGGTTATTAAAAATATTTAATTTAATAAGGTTTTGGTTAATGCATATATTTTATTTATATCTAACAGAGATTTTGCCAATATTAAAATAAAAACATTATATTGGGATATGTTTTTCTATGGCAACATTTTTTTCATAATTTGTCTAATTTGTCAGAAGCCATTCTTAAATCCCATTAGTGATATGATAATCTGATAATCTTAATAACAACTGTTTGTTTTTTTCTTCTGTTTTTCTGTAGCCTTTCAGACTGCAGTATCACAGAAGAAGGTTATAAAGCTCTGGCTTCAGCTCTGAGATCAAACCCTTCACACCTGATAGAGCTGGATCTCACAGGAAATGATCCTGGACAATCAGGAGTGAAGGAGCTCGATGATCTACTACAGGATGAACGCGATGCATTAAAGACCATCAGGTGATAAACGAGACAATAACCATAATTATGATTTTAACCAGATATTACACAACTCTTTACATTAATACTATACTGGACTAGAGGTGTAAAATATATCAGTGGCCCAGATATAATTGGCCGATCACTGGGAAAATAGAATTTCCACTACACTCTAAAAAAATGCTTTTTTATTTTAACCTAATTTTGGGTCGAATATGGACAAACCCAATTTTTTGATTAAAAAATGCAATTAATAAATTTAATCCAACAGGATTTTTTAGAGTGTATTATTTCCACTAATAAGTAGTTTTGTTATATTTTTGTACAGCATATAATTTCTGAATATGATTTAGTGTATTTGTCAGGCGGTGTCGTATGTATTTGGACACATTATCATATCACATAATTTTCCGTTAGTATTAGAAAATGCTTGTACTTAATCGTTCTACTCTGTTTAGTGAATCATTCAGTGACTCATTCAGGAAGATGTAAAAGGCATAAAATTAGAATATTATCTGATTTGTAATTATATTTCCTGTAGGTTTTTGAAAAGTTCTGCTGCACAGGAAGCATGTGACCATCTCACTAAAGTTCTGGGTAAAAGTCCATTATTACTGACAGAACTGGATCTGAGTGAAGATAAATTAGGAGATCTGGATGGAGAGAAGCTCTCTGCTCTCTTGATGGACTCTCATAGCAAAGTGGAGAAAATCAAGTGAGTCAATGTGATCTTATTCCTTATAACTTCTGTTTGTTCTGTATTATAAAAGACTGTCAGTCACATGTGTGAGCAGATATGAAGATCTGTTAGTCTGATGTGTGTTGAATATGTACTGAATAATAGATTATGGTGTTTGTGTGTTTAGGCTGAATAATTGTGATCAGACAGAGAAAAGCTGTTCAGTTCTAGCTACTGTTCTCTCCTCTAAAACCGTCCTGAAAGAGCTGAACCTGAACAACAGCCGTCTGCTGGACTCAGGAGTCAAACAGATCTGTGAGGGACTGAAGAAAACTGTCTGTCAGCTGAAGATACTCAAGTGAGTACATTTCACCATCAGATATACTCAACATCACAACACTTGCTTATCAGTTTATTTGAGTCCACTCACCAGAAGTGAGGAAAAATCTAAGAACAGTTTTAAAAATGTTCTTTTGTAGTAATAAAATAGGAACAAATAAATAACACACAGTGGCACAATACAATAAAATAAAAAGACAAATGTAACAAACATTCAGGTGCTAATGCTTACAACTAAAGTTACAAAAGTTATTGAGTCAAGAGCAGGGGAGGGGTTTTTGATTAAAATGATAGCAGCAGGTTTATTAAGCTGCTGTCACTTACGAGCGAATACTAATCCAATATACTGTTACACAACATGCCTTTTTACTATTACAGTTCAAAACGGACTTTATTTACAGCAGTGTTCATTTTACTTCTAGTGTTCATTCTAAGTTTTGATGTTTTGTAGACTTTCAGACTGCAGTATCAGTGAAGAAGGTTATAAAGCTCTGGCTTCAGCTCTGAGATCAAACCCTTCACACCTGATAGAGCTGGATCTCACAGGAAATGATCCTGGACAATCAGGAGTGAAGGAGCTCGATGATCTACTACAGGATCAGAAGTGTTCACTCAAAACACTGAAGGAAGGCGTGATGAAATAATGCAACAAAAATAAGCAGACAAATTATTTATAGATTTATTAATGAACCCTCTTGGGTTGAAATTTGTGCTGGTGCGTTTTGCTGGATTTTTTTCACATAGCAGCAAAATAGACTTATGGTCATTGAGACAAAAGAAATGTGAAAAAATAAACAGTAAAAACTGTGGTCACGAAAAATCCCTGGATGTCTTTCGAAAGAGTAGGGGTGTGACCATCATGACCATTTGTGACCAAAGAGTAGGGTCTCTGTCCATCATGGCCATCATGGCCTCCTAATCATCCCCATGTAAATACCCATTGTCTCCTCTCCACCAGTAGCCTGGTGTGTGGTGAGCGTTCTGGCACAATATGGCTGCCATCGCATCATCCAGGTGGACGCTGCACATTGGTAGTGATTGAGGAGATTCCCCCTTCTATGTAAAAAGATTTGAGTGCAGAGAAAAGCGCTATGTAATGAATTATTATTATTATTATTGTTGTTATTAAAAGGTCTACTTTTGTATTTGTCCACTTACAATCAAAACAAAACATTGTGCTTTTGTAAAATAAATGGTGTGCTTTCTGCCTCTCCGTGAACTTTGTTTCTGAAGCACGTCTCTAGACTTAATCAAAACTCAGCGAAAACTTGTCACACATGCATCTTAATAAACATTGAAGTGTCTGCTTTGAAATGATCTAATTCAAAACAAAAACAAACATTCTCTGTTTATGTAATTTGTATGATAAAATAGAGATGTCAGGCGTTCTCATGGCAGTTCATTATCTGCTAATGTGAACACACCTACGGGAGCACGCACTTTTGAAATGCAACTGATCTGAGGCGATCCATCTGTCAATGCCCACATAAGCTCGATAAAAGGCATCAATTGTAAATAGATTCATGTACTTTACATCTTGCGAATCTGTGAGGAATAATGATATCGTAATAATAATCCTGGAAAAAAGGAGAAGAAGAGCTGGTTTCAGTTACGTTTCGAGGATCCAGTTGAGGATTATGAATAGTAAGCTCTGTGTGAATACGCTGAAGACTAAAATTTACTCTTGATTTCAAATTTTTAATGTTATTTTTTTAGTTTTATTTTTCTTTATTCATTTTCATAATAATTTCATAATGTAATTTTCATAATAATTTCACAATGTATTTTGTTAAGTCAGACTATGTTTGTACATGTGTGCTGAGCAGAGAGCTGATGGTTATATTTTGCTTAGAGGTATGCAATGTTCACTTAGTAGAGATGTTCCAATGATGATGATGATACTTCAAATGTGTACAGTTGGTTTGCTCTTTGCAAGAAAAGGAATGTTTCAACTGATGCAAATGTACCATGTGTATACTAGCTGTACTGTAAGTCACTCTGTAATGTATATAAGCTCAATCTTACTGTACCACCTCAGAGAAACAAAGGCATGATGGGGTGAGAGTAAGGAGAAACCCAGAGAAACCATTTACAGCTTGCATGATGGGATGAGAAATGAAGACCTCTCATATAGCTTTATTCTTATATGCCTGTTTCTCTCTGTCTGACACATGATGCATAATAAATAGAAATCTCTTGGCAAAAGTAACTGGTGTAGCTTACGTGATTCAACAACAATTTTTTCTTCTTTTTAAAGGGCTGGTGAAACTTTTCTAACTTTAGTGGGTGTGTAATGTTGCTGTTTGAGCATTAACAACATCTGCAAAGTTACAATGCTCAAAGTTCAAAGCAAAGGACGATATTTGCTTTTAAAGAAATCAATTTCTAAGGACTACAGTAAACAGCCGGTAGGGACGACACATTCCTTCAGGGTTGCTGATGTCAGTAACCCCAATATTTACATAAACTCCTCGTGAGAATACTAAATAAAGGGGGGCGAAGCCATTTTATATTACTTTGGAGAAGAGTTGTAGAGGTATTGTGTATGAGAATGTGACGTTACGTGCGTTGCATTGTGGTAAGGCGTCGCCATCTTGGATTACATTTACATTTATTCATTTAGTTGACGCTTTTATCCAAAGCGACTTACAATTGCTATAGATGTATGAGGTCGCACGCCTCTGGAGCAACTAGGGGTTAAGTGTCTTGCTCAGGGACACATTGGTGTCTCACAGTGGATTCGGCATTCTGGCTTTCACTAGTTAACTAGTAAGGTTTCAAATGTTTTTACTAGTTAACTACTAAGATCTAAAAAAAAAAAAAAAAAAAAACTAGTTACATTTTAGTGTCGTGTAGATGTTCGTGTAGCCATAGTCTTCTTCTCTGGGCTTTTGTAATTGCTTTTCTGTCTTGGCCATATTTGCTGCTCAACTTCGGCACATGCATGGGATAAATATATGCATGGATTACAACTGAATTAATTAATTGTCATTATAGAGTCCCCAAAGGTTTATAGTAACCTCAAGTAATATTATAGCATAAAGAAGATATTTTGATACTCATTTCATGAAAATGGGTTCAAAATAACATTAACTTTCTTTGTTCAAAAAACCCACTGAGACTCGTATTAAAAATCTGTTGTGTTTCACAGAAGAAGAAAGTCAAAGGTTTTGGAGCCACATGAGGTTAGTAAATTAAGTTTAATCTTTTAGGGGGTGAAATGTCTGATCATATAGCGCCACCAGCTGTTAGTTATAGAGAATCTGAAGTTGTTTGATTGACGTGTGTGTACAGTACATTATGATTGTAAAGCTTCGTTATGAAGGTACAAATCTTTCTGTAACAGTGTATAAAACTAGTTTCAATTTCTTGAAATGATGAAAATAATTTCAAAAAAAACTTTTTTTTTTTTATTAAGACAATCTTGTTAACAGAAAAAGAAAATACGTTGAACATCTAAAACCATAAAATTAGTCTTTTTTCCGGAGGAGATCTTGTAGGTGTAAGTTTTTTTTACATAGAGTAAATATCGCCTATGGGTTCATGCATGTGTTCATAACAACAATGCTATTAGGTGGAGGGATCGTTTCCATCTCTCCTGAAGTGCTCATCGCTGTGGGATGCTGTCTGGGTAATGTGCTGGTGAACCAAAACCCCTTTCTGAACCAAAACCCCTTTCTGCTTGATCGTGTCTCTGGCGATGGCAGATTTTCTGGTCGGGGCCGTGGCCATTCCTCTGGCTGTGCTTGTAGACGTCCATGAGAAGATCCCTTTCCATGTCTGTCTGTTCATCCGCTGTGTCCTGAATACGGCGAATTCAGGTGATTCAGCCTACGGATGATTTTGAATGGCTTTAATGAACATCAAGCTTGTTGAAAACACAAACAGCTTCTTTTATCTTTAAATTAATGTAATACAATTTAGGTGTGCTTAAGCCTAGTTCACACTACGTGATTTTAAGCCCGATTTAAGCCCGATTTGCAAATCGTTGAGTCGCCGACAAGTCAGGGTGTTATCGCGTGCAAATCGCGGGCGATTAGCGGACGATTAACGCTCGCCAATCAGTTAGTGTGAAAGAGCCAACAACGCATCAAAGACAGCTCGCAGACAGCTCGCAGACAGGTCACCGAGCTCAGAAAAATATCTAGCATGCTAGATATCTCGCCCAGTCGCGCGACTCAATCTCAGTGATGTCATGAGTACAGCCAATCATAGCAACGCATGGGTTGAGGACACCAGGTAAATCTTACTTTTTCTTTTTGCATTTTTTTTCTCAGAGCAGATCGTCGAGCAAACAGTGTGCAGCACTAGTTTCTGTCTGACGTCCATATTCGCGTGTTGTGTTCTTCTCTGCAGTTTCGCGTCATTTCTGGTTCGTTTTATTGCGTGGTTTTTCGTTACAAAACATGGTTTCTAGACCAGATAGAATCGTGTTGTTGTCAACTCGTTATTTGTTTGATTATTTTCAGGATTTAGACCGTATTATAGTACTGAAACAGCTCTCATTGAGTCACAAATGATATGCTCTTATCATCCGATCGTGGTTGTATCTCTATGTAGTGCGTTGTTAACTCGTGTAGTGAGTTACCTCCTGTTGTGGATCAATCACGTTGTGTTGTGTGGTGTGAACAGCTAAACAACTTGAACACTCATGATTTCACTGAGAGCAAGTCATGTAGTGTAAACTGCACAGTTCAGCCCGACATTTTAAAATCATGTAGTGTGAACTAGGCTTTACTTGTCATGCTTAGTCATAGCCAATCAGCAGTATAGGGCGTGTCCACTCATGATTTAAAGATAGACAGACAGATGACTGAGAGACATTACAAAAGAGAAAAGAGTTGATCAAAGAGCTTTAGGACTTTGCAGGACTTTTAAAGTAGTTGGAGCATTTTTAATTACTCACACTCGCGTCTCGACTCCTCCTGCCATGGTTTGCTCCTGCAACAAAGCACACATGCGAATGGCATCAGAAAAGTGTCCGTACATTATAATCGGTGATGGTCTATTACTGAACCGATACTGAATCGTCCTCGTCTGCGTCGTAGAAACGATTAATTTTGACCAATAAATACTTTATCTAGGTACAAATGTGAATGAATGACAGTAGACGCACCTGTAGCACCTGAACCATAAACCAGATGTTCATGTCTGTAGATCTGGATCTGGGTCCGCTGTGTTGCCCCCGCCCCGTACAAACTTTTTGATTGTTTTTCTAAAAAAAAAAGAAGAAAAATTGGAAAAATAAATATAACGCCACGCCAACTTCGGACAGAACAAAGACGACTAAATCAAATCATGTTAGGGCGATAAAACGGCAAAAAGTGATGGACTTATAATTATTACTATTACTGAACCGATACCGAATCGTAAATGGACTCCATTATGAATCGTCCTCGTCTGCATCGCGATGGATCGTAGAAACGATTAATTTCGACACAATAAATACTTTATCTAGGTACAAATGTGAATGAATGACAGTAGACGCACCTGTAGCTGACCATAAATCAGATGTTCATGTCTGTAGATCTGGATCTGGATCCGCTGTGTTGCCCCCGTAACAACAAACTTTTTGATTGTTTTTCTAAAAAAAAAAAAAGAAAAATTGTTTAAATATAAATATTACGCCACGCCAACTTCTATTACTGAACCGATACCGAATCGTCCTCGTCTGCATCGCGATGCATCATAGAAACGATTAATTTCGACTAGGGATGCGCGGTATACCGGTATTGCAAAAATACCGGTATTTAATTAATTTAAAACGGTACAATATCATCATTTTGTTAAATTCGGTATTTGATGAGCTGCTTTTCCGAAGTTCTCCACTAGGCGGCAGTGCGCTACCGAAACTGACGCAAGTCACGCGAAACTGGCAAACGAAGGAAGTGCACGGTGGAAATAAAGCTCATTCGGGTTTTTACACGCCCGAAATTATTAAATAGAGAGAGCAGTATTAGTGAAATAAGGCATTACTTTGCCTACTAAAGTAATGAGAATAGTGTAGACACAGACCTCAATGAACCACTCTACAAACTTTGCTTTCAATAATGTGTTGCCATGGAAGGCAACACATCAAATCTGCCGAAGCGCTCGTCAGTTGCTCATCCTGACTTGTTCAAGAGATCGACTGGTGAGTTCATCATTCAACTGATTTAATTTAGACTTATATTGAACACTGAACAGCGCACATACCTAAGAGCTTATCAATTAAATATGATATGGTAAACACGAAAGCTCAAATCTTCTTGCATGACACGCTATACCAATTCAGTTTACGTCTCATGATCTCAGTTTACGTCTCATGATCTCATTTTTGCAATTTATTTCAAACAAATATATTCATTTTAATTTAAATTAATAAAGCATAAAAGTGATAAATGAATGGCATTACTGAGGCTGTGGCGAAGAGAGATAGAGAGAGAGAGAGAGAGAGAGAGAGAGGGTAGTAATATAAATATTAATAATATTAGCCTACAATTAAGCTACATTTGTCAACATTCATTAAGGAACCTGGCCTAACAATATAGCATTGATTAATCTAGATCAATCAGTAATAAAATGACCTAAAAATGTAATATCCTAATAAATGTTTAGCATCATAACATTACTTTTTGCAATGCATTATATGCATAATATGAGCCCAAAGACAAACAGTAACCAAACCAAGATGAATAAATGTTGATAATTCTCTGTTGATGCATGACAGCTAATGGTTAACGTCATTTCATTATTCTATTATGTTAATCTATTATATTAACCTATTTTAATTGTGTAATATCAGTGGTTTTCCCAAATCAAAATTTTACCTACACATAATTTTATTTTTAAAATTTTGATACGTTTTTTTTGTTTTTTTTGGGATACTTTTCTTTGCACATATGGTAGTTGAGAGTTTCAAGCAGTGTTTAATAAAATTGTTTCAATTCACTTAAATTTAGACTCTTTTTTTTCCGACTGTGGTATCGATTTAGTATCGATACCGAGGTATTAGGTTCTGGTATCGTACCGAAGCCAAAATTGTGGTATCGAGCCATCCCTAATTTCGACACTATAAATACTTTATCTAGGTACAAATGTGAATGAATGACAGTAGACGCACCTGTAGTCACCATAAACCAGATGTTTGTGGCTGTAGATCTGGATCCGCTGTGTTGCCCCCGCCCCGTAACAACAAACTTTTTGATTGTTTTTCTAAAAAAAAAAATTGTTTAAATAAATATTACGCCACGCCAACTTCTATTACTGAACCGATACCGAATCGTTAATGGACTGCATTATGAATCGTCTGCATCGCGATGCATCGTAGAAACGATTCATTTCGACACAATAAATACTTTATCTAGGTACAAATGTGAATGAATGACAGTAGACGCACCTGTAGCACCTGAACCATAAACCAGATGCTCCCGGGATGGATCAAATGGAAACAGGAGTAAGCTCGGGACTGGATGGTCCCAGTATAACTGATAACTCGGGGCTGAGGGAACCTGACTGGGAACCAGAGTGCGATGGACTGGAGAAGGGTGACGTGTCATATCCGCTCTCGCTGGAAGATGAATGGGATGTTCCCAGTATAACTGATAACTCAGAGAGAAAATCAGTTATACTTGGAGCCAGCGATGATTCGGGACTCTGTGAACCTGACTGGGAACCAGAGTGAGATGGACTGGAGAAGGGTGATGTATCATATCTGCTCTCGCTGGAAGATGGACCTGGGTCGGTTCTGGACAGGACAGATGTCCGTGGCTGTTGATCTGGCTCTGGGTCCGCTGTGTTGCCCCCATAACACAGAGCGGAAACCTTTATAGCCTTCCATGCTCGTTGGAGGATTGAGCCGACTTTCTTCCCCCTCCTTTTTGATTGTTTTTCTAAAAAAAAAGAATGGAAAAATGAATTAAATAAATTACGCCACGCCAACTTCAGACAGAACAAAGAAGACCAAAGCAAATCACGTTAAGGCGATAAAACGGCAAAAAGTGATGGACTTATAATAGCTTGTGACGTGTCATAGGATACAGTAGAGAATCACAGAATCATTTTCATATTAATAAACCCCTTATGTAAACGTTATGGTGCCATACGTTCCATTAATGTTCATAAAACACACTCTTATCACCTTTTTAGACTATACAGTGTTTTATTTTTTACTTTTGATTATTCCGTTTCGGTAGCACTTACTACACGTTTAATAAACATAGGCTACTGTACCTGAAAAAAACTCAAGCTTATTTAATTTGTATATTTTTTCTTTTATATTTGTCCTATTGTTTGTAATTTGCTGCTTTGTTTCTATTTTTAATATAAAAATTAAATTGCCTGCCTTGCTTTAATACAGAAGACTGTGTGTATGATTGTAGTTACCAACTTACCAACAGCCGGCGCTATCCCAGAATCCAGTGTGGATGGACTGGAGACGGATAATGGCTCGGGATCCCTCCATTTCCTGCGGAAAAACGCACCCAGGACTTTCTTCTTCTTCTTCTTCTGTGTTGGGTTTTCAGCAAACACTGAGGGAAGACATCATGAAGAAAGAATTCAATTGTAAGGTGAGACAACTGGAAAAGTGGGACATGAATCTTAATCGTGTAAAAAAAGGATTGGACAAAGTATAAACTCTTAAAGTCCTCCTGTGGTGAAAATCCAGCGTTTAATGTTGTTTATGTGTCTATCAGGGGTGTAACGATACACAAAACTCAGAGTTCGGTTTTCCCGCGGTTTTGACGTCTCGGTTCGGTTCAGTTTAGAAAGCTAAATTTTTTTAAATGCTTTAATTAAAAACATGAGTCTGTCAACGTGTGATCGTCAACCAGTGGATCTCTGAGCTGAGTGAGTGGAGGCGGGGCTAATTTGCATACTAAATGAGTCAATGGTGTCGAGTTACGATATTTTAAGGCGTGACGGATTGTTTTTCAAGGAAAAAAAAAACATTTAAATATGTAATTTTTTGGTAATCAAAGATGAGTTTCAAGGGATGAATTGATTGACCAGCGGGGGACTTTAATAATTAGACACACAGGATGAAAACAACACAACTCGGTATAATGAAAGTACTGACAGTAATAATAATGACCATAGACTCACCAAAAGCCGTCCCTAAACCAGATGGATCTGGGATCTCAGAATCCGACCTCGGCTCTAGAGCTGGTGCCGACTCTGGGTCCAGGACAGATGAACGTGATGTTTCAGGACAATCCGGATCGGCATGAACTGGCAGATGGAGACTCGAAACATCAGAGACCGACAACAGCTCTAAGTCGGATTCACACCGCTTTGGATAATCCGGATCGGCACGAACTGGCAGATCAGAGACCGACAACAGCTCTAAGATGGATTGACACCGCTCTGGAACATACGGATCGGCATGAAGCGGCAGCTCGATGGGATCGCAGGAGGGATATGTGGACACTATATCGACCTTACTGCAGCCGAGGGTGGCAAGCTTTACAGCCTTGCCCATTTTCCGAAAGAAAGCACCGATGCCTTTCTTCTTCTTCCTCTTCTTTTCTAAAGAAAAAAACATGAACACAAGAAACCATAAATACTGAGGCTTGACATCATGAAGAAAGAAGAACATAGGTTGAAAACAGTTAAATATGTTCATCCCAATAATCCCAGCACCCGTTCACACACACACACACACACACACACACACACACACGCTTTCTTTCTCTCCCTTAGAATTACAATTACAGCTATAGTGGCCACAACTGACGTCCGGCCCAGGAAATCTGACATCTGACCCTTTCATTTAAATATTATTAAAAATGTGTTAAAGATTTTGAAGTAATATTGCACACTTAAGCTTGGAGTCGATTGTTTAATTTATGATAATAATGCAATAAAACAAACAATTTGGCAACATCATTTTTGTCAAGGCTGTTGTATAAAGAAATTAAAAACACTCAATGCAAAACACATTCAAAAACAAGTGAGAACCAACCAAATATTAATAATAACTGATTATGTTGTATTCAATGTTTGCTTTTTCCTGTCAGCTTTTTTGCTTTTCTGTGCATTTAATTTATACAACATGTAACTTACATGTAGTTTGCCAATGTTTGTTGTTGTAGTTTTTTACCAAATAACCTAAGCCAAATTTAGTTTTTGGATTTTCCCACTTATTAAAAAAAACAAACAAACATTTTCCTCATATTTTAAAGAAATAACCCAGGCTCTGGACATCAGTTTTGGCCACTAACGTTACTGAATACTAACAATCACAGAACTAGCGGCAAAGAAAACGAACAAGCCGCATTTTTGCTATTTTTTTTTTTTCTGACTTAATTTTGTTCTACAGTAAATCCATATATGAAAAAAGTTCAATTTTCACTCATTCTTAATTCCGGTTAAGTTACAACCGTTAAGTTAGTTATGGTTAAGTTGGTTAGTACGGCTAACGGTAGTTTCTGCTTTTGACCGTTGGTTTGAGTCACTCACCGGTCGGGATGTTCTCCTCTCGGTCGGAAGAAGCTGGATTTGGGGCTGTGGTGTTCCTCCCAGAGTCACTGGACATCAGATCAACAACATCCGTGTATTCAGAGACACCGAACATAAGTCCAACATCTGCTGAATCTGGACCGCTGGTTCTGATCGCCACAGACTCCATCGCAGGAAAAGCGCGAGAACAAACTAACATTAGCTACACCGCTGACAAACTCTCCGAGTGTTGAAGCGCGTGTAAAGATACTAAAGCTGTCCAACTTTCAGTATTGTTTGTTCGTGTATAGATATACTATAATCGCTATAATACTATACTATACTATAATCAGAAGAAAAGTTTGCTTCTCTCTGTTAGAGCGCGCACTATGACTATGACGTCAATTATAGAACGTTTCATCCTCAGTGAACAAGAAAGCAAAAAAAACCCCCACTTTTATTTGTAATGACTTTAATTTAGTTAGACCTACTCTAAATTTTGTATAGAATATCTTGCCCTCTTGACCTCATTTTATTAATTTTTTTCTCTTTCTTTCCTCTTCTTTTTTATTTTACATACACACTTGTGTTAAGATGACTCTTGTTGTCATATTTTGTACAGATATGTTTGCAATTTTGTAACAGAATTGTATGCTATGATTGTCATCTTTGTGTGTTTGTAAGCATATCTAAAAAATAGCGACTTTTAAATTTTATAATAGTAATAATTTATTAATATTTATTTTTATTCCATTTTATCCGAATTAGGTCACATTTTTCCACCACATTTTAAAAACCAAATATGTTTTTTTTTTTCTCAATTGATATAGCTGAGCCCTTATTTCATATCAAAGTTATCTACAAATGAAAAAAAAAATTGCTGTTACTGAGATTTTTTTTGTTGAGTAAAACAAGCCAAAACAAAAACAGAAAATATTCAGATACACACATACAAACATTACAAATGCATTCAAGCAGACAGAGTGTAACTGTAGTAATTATATTTTTATTATTTTTAAAAAATACATTTAAAAGACTTTATTTTAACCTCCTAAGACATGAGTATTGTGTTGGTGTGCATTTCAGATTTCTTCTAGCTTTTTGGGGTTAGGAGATATAATAACCAGATATTATTTTTGAACATGAAGCACTTTTTTTGAAAAAAAAAAAAAAAAAAAAAAAAAATGATGTCCATATGTGGACACTGGGTCTGTAATCAAAGAAAAAAAAAAACTGCCTGAAATTTTTTTGTTGTTATTCTTGCATGTATAACTTTTGAATATTGATAAGAAAAAACAAAATAAATATAATGTAATATAAAAAAAACACTGTTAACTAGTGGACATTTTAGCTCTTACTAGTTAACATGTAAAGTGTTTAATGCGGTCCACTAGTACTACTACTACTAACTTTGTGCTCTTATTTTTAAGACATTTTTGACCACTATGGTCCTGTACGTAATTTTTTTTGATGCACAATAAAAATAATATAACAATAAAAATGCTATTATTGCACATGCGACTAACTGTTATTGTTTGCAGGAATGTTTATTGATAAAAAAACAAGGACAGGATACTGAACAACTATTTCTTTATTTCTCTTGTTGATTAAAAACCTTAGTTCGCCCCGTCTGAAGCCGTCTACGAGCACACCGTGTACAACTGCTTTAATTCAGGAAAAACAGAAACAAAAGAATAAACGTGCCAATCACATTCCTCCACAATAATCACATCACGCTTCTGCTGTCCAGTTTAACCTCTCGCACGAGGTTCGATCGACCTCATGGCGATATCAGGCCCGAGGATTCGTTTCACATCTCAGCACCGATATCTGTGGTTCACTCAGAGGTTTCCCATCATGCCCTGGTTTCACTAGCTGCCTGCGGGACATCTCTGCGACTCGTAGTGCTTTTAAAGGGAGCGGTTTATAGCTAATACAAGTAGAGACGGCAAACTCTGGGGACAGACATGAGAAAATAAAGCAGACCCAGCTGAGAGAGAGCACTTCTCCTCCAAAGGTTATCCGTAATTCGGTCTTTGGATCTCTGAAACACAAATTAATAATATGAAGCACACCAAAAACAACAATGACCTCCCATCTAACAGTGCAGGAACTAGTGCTTCAGTGACATTCAGAGACAGACGAGATCGCCGGGTAAACAAACTTCACTCCATTAACAGAGCATTAGACAGCTGGTACCTGAAATAACACATTAACATACACGTGTATCAAACAGGAAACAGAACTATTCACAATAGAGGGGTTTATAGACGACGTATTTCAGGTGAAACTCGGACTGAGCGTGGCAACATGTCGTAAAATGTTTTTAAGTCGGTTCATCCTGTTTAACCTAAAATACCCCTCCACTAATCATCCAATCAATCATCGTTCCGAGACCAGATTCATCTGGTTAAGAGCATTGTGAAATGACGTTGAATTTAGCCTTCGCATCGTGTGCCGTATTGTCTTCAAAGAGAACAAACGCAATTTCTAAACATCCAATCGGATTCTTAAAGGGTTACGGGATCTTTCCAGAAGATCTCGGGGTGGGGCTCGGCGTTAGACAGGTTTAAGTTGAGTTTATATCAAAAAGCCCTCGTGGAAATGTACATAATTGACATCAAAAGGCAAGAATAACTGGCACTCAAATATTAAAAATACATTTTGAAGACAGGAACAGCAGTCGGATCTACAGGGAGAACGTGACCCTGCATAGAGAGAGGACTTCAGGACAAAAACGCTTGAAAGAAAGAGTTGAATTCATCGATACATTCAATCATAAACCAGTTTTTGTGAGTTGACCAACAGGGAAGAACCAACAACGGAAATAAACTAGTGAACTAAAAAGATGCTAGTACTACAAAGCATGTCGATCTATTAACTGATGATGAGCTAGAGTCCAGCGGCCGTCGAGTCGAACTGAAAGTTTATTTTGACACTGGGTTTGCTGCTTCAAAAGACAGAAAACAGATCCAAAAAAATAAAAGGAAACATAACGTAATAAAGCTATGTGACTGAGGAGCGCTCACAGTATCAGCGGGGTTCTGTACACCTAACTGAAGAATATCAAATACCGTCCTCTGTATATTACCAAAGGAACTAAAGGTTGATGCAAAAATACCAGATAATAATAATAATAATCATCATTCAATGGAAGTTACGGCATTTTGTACACAAACTCTCCCCTCCGAACATGTCGAACGCAGATCAGAAGATCATCAAATGTTTGTTTTTTTCTTTTTCTAAAAAAGGAAGAAAGGAGAAACTCAAAGCTGCGAGTCCAGCTGAAGGCAGGCGTCCCTGCGCTGGTGTTGAACAGAGGCCTTCCTGTTAGTCAGGAGTCGAAACCAAAGCGTTAATCTAGACGTGACGATGATCGGAGATTCTTGGCTGTTCGGATGATCTGGTCTTCATGATGGACTACGCCGACACTTTGTTCTCCTTCTGAAACAAACAGCAACAGAACAAAGACAAACATTAGATAGGTAAGCACTTTATTTTATATATCAGTCCTGTTCTGCATTCACATCAATGTACTTACTATAGCAATAATTGAGTTATTCTAAACCTATATAAACATATATATATATATATAAAACCTTTATTTATCCAGGTAAACTGTTTGAGAGCCACTTCTCATTTGCAAACATGACCTGGCCAAGAGGCTACAGAAATAAATAGAAACACACTGTACAACTTTACATAGTCATACACAGACACAAAGAACAGTCAAACACATAGAAAAAGCAATTAAAATAAACAAAAATAATAAGTATGTGCATATAAATATGGTTCAGGATTGTCAGCAGCAACAAAAGTCAACTCCATTCACTTATTAGCAGTACTTTCTTGGGTAAGTACATTAAGTACACGTACTGTAAAATAAAGTGGAGCCGCACAATATATAGATTGGGGCACTATGAAATTAGATTGACTTTTTTCCAAATTCAGTCTTATTCTGTGATATATGAAATCTGTAGGGCCCTAATAGATGAACTAGTATTATTAGTAATCGTAATATTTCTGAGACGTATTTGATCAATTTGCTCATTTCATTTGCTCATTGGAGTAGAAAAAGAGCAAACTATTTAATTTTGTTGGAAAATCTCAAGTCCAATATCAGACAAAATGCCAAATGGCTGATGCTAGAGATCGACCAATAATCAGCTTTAACGATAAGTTTTAAGATTTTTTCATTATAGGATATTGGTTTTGTAATATCGGATTCAGCACTAAATGTGGGCATCTTGAGAATTGCGAGTGGTGCACAAAGGTAAAATTAATAAACTATTAGTGCACAGCCATTAATGCACAAATTCGATATATTACATAAAACACACTTATTTATTGATGCATCTTTACATGAAAGAGTATAACTGTCACTGTTTTGTTTTGTATGCAAGGTAAGAGTGATATTACAGTATTGACAACAGTGTTAAACCATCATTCGGTTCAGTTCTGTATCACATCCAAAATAAAAGTTTGTGTTTACATAATATATGTGTGTGTAGTGTGTATAATTAATTTGTATATATAAATACCCACATATGCATGTATATATTTAAGAAAAATGTGTTACTAATATATCAAATATTTATATTTATATATAATATTAATTGTGAATAAATAGATATAAAATATATACATGCACACATGCATATGTGGGTATTTATATATACAAATTAATTATACACACCACACACACATATATTATGTAAACACAAACTTTTATTTTGGATGCGATTAATCGTTGCCCATCCCTAGTTTTAGTACTTAAACTTCAGTTAGTTACCAAATTTAATTTCAGCTTTATTTCAATTGCCAACAGTGTTTTTTATTTAAAAATAACACAATACAAACCACGGTGCATCTCTAATATTTATGTTTGGTCCATTACTGGGGTTCAAGAGGAAGTACTAACCCTGTACTCAAAGTCCGCGAACTCCCGTCCTCCTCTTCCGCCTCTAAAGCCGCCCCTGAACCCGCCTCCGCCCCCGCGGGAGGGCATGAACGAGCCCCTGCTAGCCGCGCGCCCGCGACCCCCGCGGAAGCCCATGCCGCCGCCTCTGCCACGGAAACCCCCGCGCCCGCGGTTGTGACGCAGTGGAATACCGAACGTCTCCGCGTTCATCCTCCTCTCCTCCGCCCAGGTCTGCCTCCGTTCCCTGAAGAGAAGGAACAAAAAATACATCAGAATGCATTTCAAAAGTGGGCCTATCACACCCGACGAGTGTTTTTTGCTAGTTTCAGTTATCATTTTCACGTCCTGCGCCACTTTGTTTAAATAGCAAATTCATTCGCGCCTGCCTATCACTTTCTAGTACTCCTGAAGACCTCGATTAGCTTGTTCAGGTGTGTTTGATTAGGGTTGAAGCTAGGACCGAAGTTGCCCATCCCTGCTTTAGACCATGCGCTTAGATCCTTAAAATAGGGCCCAGTGTCAAAACAATCCACCTTTAGCAGGCGGCCTGGCTAATCTACAACATGTTTACATGACATTAACGCTGGAATACACGACACAGCTTCACATCTGAACAGATTTAAAACACTAATTTCACAAACAAGGCGTTAAGATAGCCCGATAAAAAGATGCATGTTTCAGCTGTTTTGACGGAAAGAGTGCCGTTGTTTTGTCTCAAGATGCACACTGTGACACTGTCCTAGAAAAGCCCTGCACGTTGCTCACTTAAGTTAAAATATATATATATATATATATATATATATATATGAAGAGTTCAGATGCAAAAGCCTCTAAGTGCCATTTGAAATTTTCTTCTATAATGATCATTTTTATCAAGCTTGTATATTTAAGTTCAGTGATTTCACTTAAATGGCAATGATAATTACCTATTAATTGTTATTTAAGTGAAATTACTGAACTTAAATATACAAGTTTGATAAAAATCATTAAAGAAGAAAATTTCAAATGGCATTTAGAGGCTTTTGCATCTGAACTCTTCATATATATATATATATATATATATATATATATATATATATGAAGGGGGACTTTTGTTGGAATCTTAGGACTCTTATTATGTTGAGCCTAGAGTAAAAGGGCAAAGGGTGGCCATTTTGAAAGGTGATTGTTTGGTGAGGTGGCATGGTTTTTTGGCTAACCTAGCTCAGAGAAAATTGTCCAAAATGACCTCTGGGAATAGAGACATGGTCTATTAGACGTTGGAGCCGTCTCATATGTGCATGTTCTGGGATATACGTGGTGGACGATACTTTTGGGGACTTATTCCAACTTGAGGATAACCTTTTTCGTTCGTGTGGGACCTCGGACCAGTGGATTTTTTTCTTTCTTTCTCTTTTTGGGGACATTGTTTTCCTTCCAGACCTTGGATTGCCTACCTACCCCAAAGCAGAAAAGGACTGTTGAGTATCTTTGTTATTTATATTTTGTTTGTTTGAGTTTTAAACAGAGTCAACAGACAGCTTCGGTTTCAATAGCGTCATTCACTGTGACATATGTTCCTCAATTGCCTCGAAATATCAAATATATTTTGATATCATAGTTTGAAGCTAAAAAAAAGCCTGTGCCCATAATTACACACATTTTCTGTGAAATCTGGCACAGACTTTCGGCTCATCCAGACCAAAATCTGAGCGAAATTCATGTAGTGTATTCCAAGCTTTGGAGTCGGCTACAAGAAACGTCTGCTTATAAGATGTATTGTATGAGTGCACAACTAAATGTGAAGTAAGCTAATCATTTAACATGCCACCTCAAAACACAAATTGACATTTTTGATTTCCCCATTTGTTATATATCATTTGATCAGGGCTTCAATTCATTTAAATGATTTGAACCGTTTGTAATTTAAGACTTATCTTGCATGGCAACGTGAATTTGAGTAGTCTGAATCATAAGCTTGGCTTCATAAATACGTTAGCATGTTAAAACATTTATATGTATATATAAATAAAAAAGACTTCAAATATATACCTTCCAAAAGTACCTCCTGATTTCTCCTTTCTAGAAAAGACAGAAGAGTGCATGTCTGTTAGCGGATTCATTCGGTTAGTTTTAAACTTTACAACATTAAATCCATAGTGACTAAATCACTAACAAAAGCATCAACAATTAACATATTTCACTCATTGTTGGATCAAGACATTTTTACAGAAAACTGGACTGCTGCAAAGGAAATAACGGGACTTAAATATTTTAGTGAGGTCATGTGACTAATGTACTACTGTTTGAAACATCTATGCTGCGTCCAAAATCAACTTCTTGTCAAATATTGAGTATGTGAAAAACATGAGCCCAAAATATTGCCAAATGAATTGATATCAGATCGAGAGCTTGTGAACTGAAATCACCTGGTGTCGTCACAGGAGATGTTGTCGAAGAAGGACTTGGATTTGTCATAATAACAGTTGGGTCCCAGTGGATCCTCCTCGTCCACGTTGCCTTCGCTGTTCTGGGTCTCCACACCCGAATCCGTCTTCTCCTCCCCGTTCAGAGTCTTCTCCGATTTCTCACTCTTCTCATCTGCAGCGCAAAGAGACATTATAACTCACACCGGACAATAAACAGGCAGTAAAATAATGATAAAACATAAGAGAACCTCACAAAACCTCAAAATTAGATTATCGTGCCAAAGTTTGTTTATTTCAGTAATTCAAGTTAAAAGATGAAACTAATATATGCATATGCATGATTATATTGACATTTCTGTATTTGAACTTAGAATTTGGGGTTTTTATAAGCTGTAAGCCACAATCATCAAAATTATAACTTTTGCACGATATTCATATTTTATGAGTTTCACCTGTTTTTCAGCATATAAACAAAATCAATCATATTTTGATCAAAAAGCACAATAGCTATGTTTCCATTCACCTATTTTTTATCATGAGCATAAACTATGATGGAAACACATTTACTGGATAAATACCGGCATAACTGGACCGACCAGCGGACTGATCTCGTTACACAGCATCTGAAATGCTGTTTCGGTTGATCCGTCATCAAAGTGGTTCACTATAATTACCTTCCAGAACTGTCTTAAACGACTGTGCTCCCAGGCATCTGCCTCCGAAAGAAAGTTAAAGGATTAGTTCACTTTTGAAAAAACTTTTGCTGATAATTTACTCGCCCCCATGTCATCCCAGATGTCCATGTCTTTCTTTCCTCAGTCGAAAAGAAATTTAGGTTTTTGATGAAAACATTCCAGGATTTTTCTCCATATAATGGACTTCAATGGGGACCGGATGGTTCAAGGTCCAAAAGACAGTGTTAATAACAGTTTCAGATGCAGCTTCAAATGTCTTTAAACGATATCAGACGATGAATAAGGGTCTTATCATGCGAAACGATCGGTTATTTCAAAACTTATTCCAAAAATGTAACTTTTCTAAGGACAAATTCTAGCCTTGCTCTATTCTGTGAGGCGCGTTTGCAACGTCACGTATTACGTAATTACGTTCAAAAGGTCATGGGCGACGTAGCCGAAAGTACAGAATCAGTGTTTACAAGTTGAACGCATAGGTTGAACGTGCAAACTAGCTCAAACACTGTTTACAAAAAAAGGAATTAAAAGGAAAAACAACGATGTCGGATGATTTTGATTCTGTACTTCCGGCTACGTCGCCCGTGACCTTTTGAACGTTATTACGTATTACGTGACGTTACAAACGCGCCTCAGAGAATAGAGCAAGGCTAGCATTTGTCCTTAGAAAAGTTACATTTTTGGAATAAGCTTTGAAATAACCGATCGTTTCGCATGATAAGACCCTTATTCATCGTCTGGTGTCCTTTAAAGACATTTGAAGCTGCATCTGAAACTGTTATTAACTGTCTTTTGGACCTTGGGCCTTGACCTTGAATCCTGGAATGATTTCATCAAAAACCTTAATTTCTTTTCGACTGAGGAAAGAAAGACATGGACATCTTGGATGACATGGGGGTGAGTAAATTATCAGCAAAAGTTTTTTCAAAAGTGAACTAATCCTTTAACGTTTATTGTGTTTCGTCTGCGCGCTCTGAGGATTGTATAGGCCTAGTTGCTTCGCCTATTGCATTCTTTTCATAGTGATATTTATCGCCGGTTTACAAGGAAGTGATGAATTTGAGACAAAACTTTAATTGCAAATGTTTTATGCGATATTCCAATTTTGCACATAAATTCTTAACTTTGGATGGAAACCTAGCTAACGATGCATGTTTGTGTTTTCCGTAACAATACCTTTAATCTTGAGTTTGCTCTGGAACTCGCGGTCGATCTCCTCCTTATTGAATTGGGCGTTGGCACTCTCAAAGTCAAAGTCCTTCTCAAATTTCATTGGTCCGTCCCTACGCCCGTTAAATCTGCCCCGCCCACGCTGGCCGCCGCCCCCTCCGCCACCACTGCCCCGCCCCCTTCTCATTGGAGGAGCGCCACCTGGAGGGAGAAACAACCATTACACAAATGATGCTTACGGCCCTGATCGTGATGTACAGTATAGTGATGCAGGGTCATTAAAAACGTCCAATTGTGGTCAACCAAGTTCAATTAAAATATGAGGGAAAAATATAATTTCACAAACTACATCTATGTAGTATCTATCTAATAATGATGCTTAAGGCCCTGATTGATGAAGTACAGTAATAATAACAAACTTTATTTTCTATGGCACCTTTAAAAGTTACATCTCAAAGCGCTTCACAAAAACAAGAAAAATGTAAAGAGAAATACAACAATATTCATAAAAGAGAAGTACATTAAAATATACAATAGAAATATAAAATGCTGTCAAAAGAGTTCCATGAGTAACTGGTATTGTAGTGGCCAAAAACACAAATAACTCCTCTGGACAAATTCAATTAAACCATCAAAAATTATGAGGGAAAAATATTGTTTGGCAAACTCCAGCTAAAGGCTTTATTTTACTATGCAAAAAATAAAATGCACAGATAAACAAAAAGCTCAAAGGAAAATGCATACATTGACTACAAGCTAATCAGTTATTAATATTTTGCTGGTTCTCTCATTTTTGCATGCGTTCATAATTTCTTTGTTTGATAATCTGGCCAAAAATTATGGCCGCACAATTTGGCATGTCTCATTGCGTTATCATCACAGATAAAACTATTAACTCCAAGCACACCTACACAAATATGCTTAGATAATCTTTAAAACTTTTTTTTTTTCCAATAATACTTGAATAAAGTGCAAAGGTGTGAATTTTCCTATGCCAGACATCACTTTTGGCCAGTACTGTGTATGCAAATGCAGAAGAGATGTTTTAAAGTGACTCACCGCCAGGCTGGCGTTTGATTGGGTCTTTGTTATCGGGCCTGTTTGAATCTGATTCTGGCCGAGGAATCTTCTGGACATCAGACGCTGTAGATGAACAAAAGATATCACAATTACAATCAGGCTTGATGTTAACTTATTTGCTTTCAAAATTACTAGCCAAGCAGCATTTTTACTAGCCACATTTTTGTTGTCGGAAAATTACGTTTTATATGATTAAAGTTGACAATGGGGCTTAAAACGTGCTAAAATGTACTAATATTATCATTAGCTCTGATAAGGTTGAAAACGTGTTGTCAATTAATATAAACACATAAAATAGCTTCTTATTGTACATAATAAAAGTGCTGCATCATACTGTAATACAGAGTAGAACAATTATCTGCATTAGAAACAATGAGCAAAGAATAAATTATTTTTTCTAAGAAACAACAGGATTAAAACTATATATAGGCCTATAATGACCGTTTTGGGGACTTTGGATTGTTTGTTTTGCATCAGTATTTCCTCAGAGCTCTGATTTAATAATTATCATCATGAAGCTCTGCTAGCTCTGAGTAACTGGAGATATGTCCACCTGACACAAGTCTACAGGTCTTTATTTTCCAGATAATTCCCAAAAACGCATCTCTTGCTTTCTTTCATGGAATGATTAATTTTATTAAAACGTAGAGTTAACTCGGGAAAGGTAGTTGTGATGTACAACTATTAAGGGCAGCACTGCTAGTAGCTAGTACACCGTGTCCCTTAATCATGAAGATTATTTTTTCTTTATATCGGCCACGCACACACATGAACTGACTGAACGCTGTGTTGATGTGTCGCGTGTGATGATCGTTTGACAAAAGTCTGGATGTCATATTTGGCGCGCTCCTGCTATTAAAAAAGATCGCTATATCACATTAAGTTGATAATAAAGGGCAGACTAAAACAGAGTTTAATCTCCGCGTGTCTTCTTGTTTACAGTGTTGTCGTTCAAGAGGATTTACGAATGGACCAATGAGCAAACTAGACTATGTGCAGGTAGTACTCATGGGAGTTGTAGTTCCGCAGATAATTTTACAGACTCTAAATCTGTTCTTCAGTATTATTTTTTGCTGGGTTCCAGGACATGTTGGACTTTCAGGAAATGAATGAGCTGATGCCGCTGCTAAGGAAGCTCTTAATCAGGAAGTTAACGATTGTCAAATTCCTCCATCAGATATCAGGCCGATTATTAACCGATATATTTGAAATAAGTGGCAAGAAGATGTGCAAGAATAATAAGTTCTATGAAACTCATCCGGGAATAACAAACAGACTTTCTACCAATTTTAAAACTAGATTTGATCAAGTGGTATACACCAGATGCCGTATGGGTCATACAAGTTTGACCTGTGCTTTTTTGCCTAAAGGTGAAGACCCAACTTTATTGTTTTTTGTACAATTTCCTTATCTGTCAGACTTTTTTTTATTAGATTGTCCTGGACTTAACGCAAGCAGAAGGCTCTTTTATGAAGTTACTTCTTTGAAGGACATATTTAATGAGACTATGCCTGAAAAGGTTCTGGATTTTTAATAATATGATAATTAAATAAAATATATTGTATAATATGACTTCTTTTGTTTTTGTTGTATTTATATGATATTTGTATTTTTGTAAATGAATTTTTGCCATGAAAATAGCTCTGACTGCTGACATGGCATGAAATAAAATAATCTGAATCTGTAGTTTCGTAGTGATAAATTGCAATTCGTTTCTTATGTCAGATGTCTTTTGACAAGACTACCATTTTTCAACACGCCAAAGTGGCTAGTGGGAGTGACTGTGTTATGAAGCTCAACCACGGCGGGTTGGCGGGTGTTAATGTCAAGCCCTGATTACAATTCACAATTTCCAGCTCTGAACTTCCCAGATTCTCACCTTTTTGCTCCTGGTTTTCAGCAGATTTCTGGGTGTTGAGGGCCGGTCGGGCGGGTCCAGAGCTCCTCTGACTCCCTGAACTGGTGGAAACCGCAGGGGGGGCGACCGGGGCCGTCTGCACCGCATGCTCCTTGGTCGGGGTCTTCCTCGAGTGCTCTAAAGACGGGCTGGCACGACCTGAAAAAGTCAACTCAAAATTAACAACAGACCAAAAAAATAAAAAAATAAATCAGTGATTTGGACAAGAGTTAAGGCCAAGTACAAGTCGGTAGGGCTGGGTAATAAAAACCGATTTCTCAATATTAATCGATTCTCATTTTTACAAACCGATATTGATTCTTAAATCTCAAGAATCGATTAGTCATCGTGTTTCATTTGAATGAATGGGACATTGTATCGCGGCTGCGCGCATCCAAAAAAATCGCAATAATCTTTGTCCTTTGTTACTATTGATATGAAACAAAGTCTCAATTTTCAAATTACGTCCATTTTCTTTAGAAATTCAAAAACATAAATAGAGTTTTGGCGCTGTGGCGTGAGATCGCTCTGGAGAAGCAGCAGCGCTGATCTCACTTCCGGCTTAATAATACCAGTCACAGCGCCAAATAAACATGAATGAGCATCTGAAAGTGTGTTAAAGATAGAGTACAACTTATCCAAATCCGTATCATGTCACATTGATTCGCTCAATCAGCATTTCAACCGTGGAAAGACGTCAGTTAAACAGCTTGTAATCAATGTCATCGTCATATTTACCTCAGAAAACCCACATAAACTCGTTAATCAGCTAGAAAAAATAACTCTAGAGAGGAGCATTTTGCTAAATATATACACCATATTACATTTGCATTATAATCTTAGTGTTCTTCAATATTTAATGCATATTTGAATAAATCTGGCAAGTATTTATGACAGCCACCATTTAAATGTTTATATTTCATATAATCTTCTTATTATAAAAATAAATAAGTGTAATTTAAGTGTTTGTATAGCTACAAAACAGTTCAATATTACCTTCATTTTAGGCTAATGAAGCCTATAGGCTACAACTAGACTCCCATAGTTAACAGATTTGATTTCCTTGAGAAAATTTGCCATTTATTGTAACTGATATCCAAAATAATCGATATTGAATCGAATCGAAATCGAATGGAATTGTGAAATTTGTCTCAATACCCAGCCCTTCAAGTCGGTGAGTTCTCTAATCGGTTGTGGATATATCCCTCGAATGTAATACTGCAGTCCCTTTTGTCTTGCTCTCTCAGATATTTCACATGTGCCCCAAAAATGACTAATTATCTGATTGGGAATGTCTGACACCGCTGCGAAAGCTTGACAGGCGTAGCAACAATAACTATGGAGGGCGGAGCTTAGCGAAGGGTCAATTGTTTTTATAATATCAAGAGTTTCAGTTATATTAACGCGGCAGTTGAAGAGCCATGTGTTAGATATAGACCTGGGTTGCTGAAGACAGGGTTTCTGGATATTTCACAAAGTCAAAATTAAGACTTTTTAAGACCATTATGGATGAAATTTAAGACCTATATCACAAAAAAAAACGTACAAAGGATACGCGTAACGATTCTCAAAATTATTCGCAAAGTAATTTAATTTATTCAAACTGAACATTCGGCGAAAATCAGTACAAACGGTCATGTGATTTTGGAAATTTGTTCTGTTTTTATAAAATCCCCTATTCCAAAGCGCGTAATGTAGACCGTTTTATCTTTCCCGCACCTGAAGGAAACATCGTTTGAAACAATGTAGGACTGGCGTCTTGTCGCCGTGTGGAGAACCCAGAGCACCTCCGCTATTAGTGTTGGCTCTGATCAAAAAGCAAAATCCAAATCAGCAAAATCAGATCCTAAATTCAGATATTTCAAGCCAAGTATCGCTAAACTTCCACATCCCCATAGCTGAATAAAATCCGTTTTATGTCTGTCTGTGGTATCTGAGAATACCCGCTAATAACACAACCTCAAAACTGATTGGCTGTTGCATGTTGGTCTATTTTGTAGTCGTAATACAGCAAATTCAGAACTACAAATACGTAATATAAATAAAACAATTCATTCCAAAGCGCTGCGGGAGCATTTCAATGAGATTTACATGGACATAGGAAAATTAAGACCCGTTTAAAAAGATTTAAGACCTAGGACACAATACTTAAGCAAATTTAAGGCCTTAAATTGTGATTTTGAAATTTTAGACTTTTTAAGACCCCGCGGAAACCCTGTGAAGACCCGAATATGTAATAATGATGATTGGTGAAACATTCATGCATTTAAGGGTTAAGACAACATGAAATATGCATCATTTGCAACGCATTCAACATCAGAAACATGACAGTTGTTTCATCCATTCTGATTGGATTGTGAAAAGTGGCTATGATTTCTAGTCAATACTTTGTCTGGCATTGCTTACCTCAACAGAACAGAAGTTCTTTCAATTTAATGAAAAATGAATATTTCTTTAGTGCACAATAAGACCAGCATTTATTAAGTATTTTGATTTCATGTTGTCTTTAAAGTCACTAATTGACAGACCAAAGGACTGGAGTCATAAAACTATCACAGGGCAAAGACACATGCTGTAATCCTGCATAATCACGGGCCAGAAGACGCACGTTAGCGTCGGTCATCCGGTTACCTTCGGGTTTGTGAGCACTCAGCGAGCGAGAGCTCTGGGACTGAGGGGCAGTAGTGCTCGCCTCGCTACTGAACGCAGGACCTGAGCTCGTGCCTGTGAGGGGAGGAAGTGCACAACTTTAAGTGTGGGCTTTAACACGTCACACACTAGGAGAAATGTGAAGGTTATGCAGCAGTCAAACACTCATGCATTCAACCGTTCCATAAGATCCACAATCCTTGCTTAACTGTTCCTCACTCAGACAAAACATGTTCTGTGCATCCTCTCTAGACAAGTGCCTTATGAAACAACATCTGACTGTATTTTCAGAATATTCCCAGTTTGAGGCTGAATGACTTTTTTTCTCTGTTTTTTGGCATGTGCTAACTAGGCTTGCCGCGATAGACGGTGTTACCGGTTTTAAGCCCCATCACCGGTGACATCACTTTCCCACCATGACACCGCAATGTCTTGACTTTTTTTTTTTAAGTATTCGTTTTTTCTAAAATATTTATTTGAATTAATTAAAAATAATGATTTTCAATTATTTAGTTCAGAAGAGAGCATACATTATAATTAAAAATGAACTGCGCAGTGCGTGCCAAGAGCCAGTCACGTCACGGATCAGCAAGCATCAGGATTCCATTTAGCACGTGTGGAGACGAGAACGAGTCAAATTGCAGAAAAGCAAGATAATGGCGGAAGATTTGGTGTCAAAACGCAATGCAAAAGCGTTGTTTTATTTTTTTTGTCCATTCCAGCAATTGACGCTGAATTGCAATTGACGCTTATTTCGAAAGTGAAAGTATGTCATTTATGTAGGCTAAGGTCCTTTTTGAAGTTTTTATTTTATATTCGTCTCTTTTTAATGGGTTTTATCTTATTTAAACTTTGTGTAATTTATTTAGGCCTATTTTATTTTCTTATTCGTTAATAAACGTTTTATGGTTCTTATTTGTTTGGGCCCACAGTTTGCCGATTTTCACTTTTTTCAGCCAATGCATGGGGTTATGCGTTCGTTATGCTAATAAAAGTTCTGTCTATAAATAAAAGTTTTATTATCAGCGAGTTGTTTGTCCATTCAAGCAATTGACGCTGAATTGCCAATTGACGCTTACTTCGAAAGTGAAAGTATAACGCGCACGCATTTCAAAGCTAATTAACCCCCCCGCCCCATCCTCCACGGTGACATCGGGATTACCGGTGTTGTCACACGTCGATTAACCGGTGCGAAATTTTCCTCACCGCGGCAACCCTAGTGCTAACACTTTATCTTCTATTCTATATCTATTATCTTTATACTTTTTTTTAACATGTACTGTGTTAGATTAAACTGGGAAGGGTCATAGCACTTGCATATTGTTGTCCTATTGTTAGTTTAACTGCTTCTATTATTCTAATTTATAAGTCGCTTTGGCTAAAAGTGTCTGCTAAATTAATAAATGTAATGCAAATTTCAAATTAAACTTCTGCTATTTGAAATACAAATATGCACTGAATAAATTGACAATATTTAACCACATATGACCAGTTATCTTGCACTCTTTTTATTCCATGTTGGCTTCAAAAGCTATTTTCATGGCAAAAACAGGACAGGACAAACTCTTTAAGGCAAGGCACCAGAGTTTAAGTTTGAAATATTATGAAAAGTTTTGTTTACACATGCAAATGAGGCCTTATCTAATTATATATGCACTCATTTGTATACATCTCCACAACAGAAATCCAAATTAGTAATTTAGGGCCAATCCCAATTCTACCCCTTACCCCTTCACTTTCCCCTTCCCCTCCGTTTTGCGCGTCCACGTGAAGGGGTAGGGCTGTCCCAATTCTCTTTTGGTTGGAGGGGGAGGGCTAGGGTGAAGGGCCAGATAGCCCTTCAAACGAAGATTTTTCGGGAGCACACTTCAAACGAAGGGGTATGAGAAGTGTCACTGCTAACCCAGGCTGGCTGCCCAAGCGACAAAGGAGACCCATAAATTTAAGTATTTGTGGCTTTAATAAGTATTATAACGACAAATAATGATTTGCTTTATGTTACATTCAATATTGTGTTCATAATCACTGTCAGTTTCTTCACAGAAACGTTTGTAAAAAAAAAAAAAATCGCTAAAATTACTGTAGTTTGCTAACGATAGTCCCGCAACATATTTTCGTCGTCTCCGTTGTTTCCTGCGAACTTCACAAGATGCAAGAAAATAACTGTAACCCACGCGACTGAGATAACTGTAGCTGTCGACGCGATCTTGGAAGTTGTGATAAACATCGGCGCATCTCCTGTGACGTAGGCGCTAGCGACGACTTATAATGACGTTTAACGGAGGCGTAGTGGTGTCCCATTTCTTAGGGGAATATTTTCACCCCTACGCATTGCCACTCTGTTTCAAGGGTCAAGGGGAAGGCGAAGGGGTAGGGCTAGGGGAAAGGGAAGGGGTAAGGGGTAGAATTGGGATTGGCCCTTAGTAGTTTATTGCTTCTTCAGCAAAGTCTGTCAGTGCTTTCAGCTTTCCGCGTTGATTGGCCGGACTCGTGACTCCCAACAAATCAGATGTGCCGGGGACATTAGTCTAGTTTTATCGGCAAATCGGTATTGAAAATGTCCGATACCGATAACCATAAAAATTCTTAATATCGGCGCCGATAATCTGTTGACCCCTACTATTTGCACATTAAACACCATCTCCAATGCCGTAAACAACAAGAGCGAGTGTGAACTCACCACCAGGGACCGCTGCTCCGAACGGCTGGGACACCAGGGGACTGGAGCTGAACTGGTTGTACGGGGCCCGACTGAAGGGGGCGTATGACTGGAAGGAAGGGGCCGAGGGACCGGCCGTAGATGCCAGAGACGACTACACAAACACAAGAACAGGTCAGCATTCACACTGCTTCATGTCCTGCAGAAACACCTGAGTGTGTGACGCTCACCTGCACGATGGCTGGATCCTGAGGAAGGTTACAGGTGGGTTTGGGTGGCTCGCACACAGTCAGGTCTTTGATGTCACTTCCTCTGAATATGATGTACTCAAAGACATCATCTCGAGGGGGGATAGGCCTGTCCGTGGGGCGATCCTCAGTGCCGAATGACTTCACTATAGAAGAGAAAGGAAAATGTTCAAATTCACACAAAAAAAAGCAAAACCAGTCACATGGGTCATTTTTTTTAAATTGATAAGTTATACATTAAATAGAAGCTGAATAAATAAGCTTTCCATTTATGTGGGTTTGTTAGGATAGGACAATATTTGGCCGAGATACGGCTATTTGAAAATCTGGAATCTGAGGGTGCAAGAAAATCGTTTACAAAGTTTATGTTCACGATTTTGCTGCATTTACTCACAAAAATAAATGTTTTATATATTTACAGAAGGACATTCACAAAATATCTTCATGGAACATAATCTTTACTTAATATCCTAATGATTTTTGGCATTAAAGAAAAATCGATAATTTTGACCCATACAGTGTGTATTGTTGGCTATTGCCACAAATATACCCGTGCGACTGGTTTTGTGATCTATTTTTTTCAACCACTCCCTGTCTTCCTCCAAGTCCTGTAGTCTGGTTATATTTGTAATGTCTAAAGTAAATCAGAGAAGTGCTGTTTTCAGTGTTCGTGTGTTCAAACTCTCTCATTTCATCCTGGGAACCCAGGAATAAACGTTTGTCCACACAGTAGAGGACATTATATTTTAGTGAATTTCTCTGATAACTTGCATATAACAGTTTTAATTCTAAATGTCCTGTAAAGAGCACGTTCAGGGCTTTTCAAATTGTTTGTGATAAATAAACATCTCAGGAAAATGTTATGGGGTTTCTAATCAAAATGTGACTTTACAAAACAGGACATTCAATTCATACATGTAACGTTAGAGGACACCAGGACTTAAATCATGCTTATAACACAACTATTACGAAAATGTCACCAATTATTACTCTTTGCCACAAGAACACATCAATATGCTAATTAGATACAGTGTCTAGATACATTGTATTGAATAGGACAACCCATGTATGGCCATTTTACCCAGATAATGCCTTATCCATGTATAATGACATATCAATTAATGCCGTTACATCTTTCCTAACATAGTATAGTTGAGAATAGTTATGAAAATAAATCCCATTGTTTTTGCCCATACATATCATTTCATGCTATCATCAACTACAGACATAGCATAACAAAAAAATATACTCTAAACAATGTATTGACATGAAAAAATACTAAATTCAAAAAACTTTTTTTGCCGTGTCTCAGGAGGATATCTGATTTGTGTAAATATATGAGTGTGTGTGTCAGTGTGTATTGTGTTTACATTTAACCAGGGCTACAACTGAATTCTGTATTGATATGAAATTCCCTCATATGTCCTCTGTAGGTATATCAAATGTACATAAATATAATATTGAGTGTGTGTGTCTATTGTATGTACCTTTAGCCAGAGCTACAGTGCTGTTCTCGGTGTCGATCGTGTATAAAACTCCTTCATATCGGATCTCGGCCTTTGAGATCAGACTGATCTTGCTGCCGATGTAAGGCGTCCCTCCGCTCATCTTTCGGCCCTGATTCACTCCCGTGACGCTACTCGAGTCCTCGGATCTTCTTTGCGCTCGGTTTTATCGGACTTAAGAGTGTTTTTCGGTGATTTGACGTCGTTTTCTTTCAGCCTGTATTTAACACGACATGGCTGAGTTCATTTTCCTCTGCACTGAATCGAATTGCATGCTGGGAAACGAGACTACCCCCCCTCCCTCGCTCCCTCAGGCTGGTATCGCGAGAGTTCGCGGGATTTTAGTAAAATTCCCGTTACATTCATTGGGAATTGGCTTTATGCACACACAGCTGCTGCACTACTTCCTGAACTTAAGCCAGCCCCTTGTTTCCTGTCTGCCATTATTGGCCAAACTTGATTAATTCAGGTGTGTCTGATTATTGTTGCTGTGACTACTGAGGTCAGGCACACCTGGATTAATCAGTTTGCCCAATAATGGCAGACAAGTTGAGGAAGCAGTGCAGCTGTGCATAAAGCCAATTATGTAAGAGATAATGGGATTTAAAGTGTATTATTTAATGTAAGAAGTAAGACATAAATAAAGGGACATTTTTTTACCCTAACCCAAAGAATAAAATAGGGTATAGCTTAACCCCACCTTATTTCACCTGAATGGCTATAATGAGATCAGTAAATAGTTCTCAAGCACAATCGCAACTTCTTGTGGATCTTGCATTGAATGTTCATTGATAATTATAATATTATGTAATTTTGTATTATATTATATCTTTTTGTGTTATGTTATTATGTAATATAGTCCAAATTAAACATGATTTAATGACTCGTAAATGTTAGTACACATTGATGGCCTGAGACACGAAACGAGCAGTTTGTGTGAACTATCCCTTTAACTTATACAACTTAATTGTTTTAACTTAGAATTTTGTGATCTCAGTGCATGCTCTTTGAGGTGGTGACCATAGACCTACATTATATGACAGACAAGAACGGTTTGACCTAAAAATATCAAAATTGAAACTACTGTGGAAACAATCTTGGATGCCCTGAGGTAAGCTAAAACATATCAAAAATTAATTTCAAAGTGAACTATCCCTTTAATAAGGTACCCTGAAATGAAATCCCATCACATCAACAGTCACTGCAATTAATCAAAATAGGCCTATTTATTCAACAGTTATTATCATAGCCCCTTGCTAACAGTGCACTGTGAGACTGTAATATGTTATTACAGCTCTATGATCTCAGTCATAGACACACATGACACCAATGATGAGGAGAGCTGATCTTCAAAGGCATTTGTTGCATCACAATTACATGATTACAAACAGCAGGAAAAACCCGAAGGACTAAATACACTGAAAGTGCGCTTTATGACATCATTCCAATTTTGTAATCATGCTTTGAAATCAAAAACTTTTTAATTTCCCTTTTAATTTTCAGTATCCTTTGCCATAGCCTACTTTATTTGAAAGTAAATGCTAACCTTTCACTTGCTGCATGGACCTTTCATTAATAAGAGATCTATCTATCTATCTATCTATCTATCTGTCTGTCTGTCTGTCTGTCTGTCTGTCTGTCTGTCTGTCTGTCTGTCTGTCTGTCTGTCTGTCTATCTATCTATCTATCTATCTATCTATCTATCTATCTATCTATCTATCTATCTATCTATCTATCTATCTATCTATCTATCTATCTATCTATCTATCTAATCTAATCTAATCTTATCTATCTATCTAATCTTATCTTTTCCCTCCAAACTCGTGTGTATTAGACTCACTGCCCTCGACCGCCTTGAGTTGTAACAGGGGGACAACTGTTTGGCCCTCTGACGTCATATCCATTCCCACAATGCCATAGTAACACGACTGCGCACTCGCGCTCGTGGACGCGCACCAGCAGAGACAGCCCATCACACACACAGAGCGAGCGAACATGGCGGGCGCCTCCGACCCTCTGGAAGACATGCTCTTCTCCGAGGTGGACGAGAAAGCCGTGAGCGATCTAGTGGGCTCGCTGGAGTCTCAGCTGGGGGGTCAACGCGACGCGACGCGCGCGCAGCCCGAGAACGCGCGCCCGGGCAGCGCGAGGCAGCAGCAGCAGCAAGCAGGAGGAAGAGCTCATGTAGACTCTCCATCAGAACCACAACAACAAACACAGCAGCAGAACGCGAGGAAAGCGGCGCGCAACCCGGATTCAGACCCGAAAGACGCCAGCATGGAGAAGCACCCCAAAGCCCTGGAGAAGGAGAGTCCTCTGAAGTCTCACGGCAGCATCATCATCATCACTACGGCTGCAGCCTCCGACGGGGGATCCGCTCCTGCACCGGGCAACAAAGGTGAGAGCCCGAGGGACACCCGCAAGAAACACCCGAACGCGCGCGCACGACGCGCCTCAGCGTCCCACAGTCTCAACGGCGCAGCATCAGCATCAGCATCACCCAGCACCTCCAGCCCGACTATCACCGTGGCCAGTAACCCGCAAGCGATCGCGCTGGACCGCGGGACGCCCACCATCGCGCTGCACCGACTCCCGCGGCACATTATCGCCAGCATCGCGCAGAATGGAAACGGCACGTCGGTGTCCGCGCTGGTCCAGCAGGGCGCGCGGATTGGAGCGGCGGGCGCGCAGGTGAACCACACCAAAGCACCCGGGATCAACGCGAAAGCCGCGTCGCCTCCCGCCGCGCCCGCAGCAACGCCTGTCAAACCCGCTGTCAGTGTCAGCTCGACCCCGGCCGCCAGACCCGCGCAGACGCCTGCGCAACAGAGGCTCGTAACGCCGCAGCTGATCGTCAGACCACCGCAACAACAAACTACCATTCAGCTGCCACCCGGATTCACCATCCCGCCAGGTACCGATCTCTCTCACATCATGCGCGCGCACTGACAGAGATGGGAGTCTGGGAAACACGTGTGACACTAATGAAAACTCTCACTGTAGACATTCATCAGGTGCATTCTGTTATGAGCACCTGTTGATGCTCTTCCTGCACTACCTGCTTTAATTCGTCTTTTTTTAAGCAGTTGCATTTCGATCAAAACCTTTCTTAGAAATTAGTGTCAAGTGTGTCTGATCATTTGACTAGGTGTGTTTACAGGGCCTAAAACTAACTTTTTGGCTCAGCACACGGGGACTCAAGATAATGTACCGACCATAAATAGTTTTTTCTGTCCATGAAATTGTTTTTCAAAAACAGGCAGTTTTGACACCAACATTTTAGATTCTCAATTGCACGATTTAGCCACAGCTAAAACTAGTAAAAAGACAAGCAATAAGAAATGCTTATAATAAAATAAATAGGCAAATAATCAAGTTGCACAAAATAAATACAAGATAACAAATATGCAAATGAAATTAACAATGCTTTTCAGGGAGATCTGACAGTACTTGCATAGTCTTCACTGCATATTTAAACTAAAGGTTCTTATTAATCCTGATTAATAATTTTATTTCAGTTTTAATGATTTCAACTTATTTCAAAGTTACAAAAGTTATTGGCCCATCAACTGTCCCGAGTTGAACACTTTAAAGACCTTTAAACTTTGACTTTTAAAGACTTTTTACTTAATTAAAAAATCAATAAATAAATTATTCAGTATGATATATTCAAAAAGTGTTATAATTATAAATAAATGTCATTCTTGCTTGACTAAATTTCAACAGTGTCTTTTTGTCAGATGTTTTGCTTGAGAATTGTTTTTTGTGCTGTCTTTCTTTACAATGATGCTTGCTTTGGTGTTTTGTTATGTAAAATAATATTTTGCATGAAATAACATTTTTATGTTTACCAATATGTTATGCTCTCAGTTTATGTGAAGAAACTTCTCACCAGATGATGCTGATAAGTCATTACATTTATGAGTCGATGCAAACACTTCCCGGGGCCGCAGCTCTAATGCGACTTTAATAACTTTAGTTTCATCTCCAAATGAACAGAGGTGACAAATAAGATTATGGTTGAGATTCAAACATTAAAACCTTTTAGTTACAAGCCCAGATCTATAAAAACTAGGTTAACTAACTAATGAGTTTGAGTCTTTAGAGGCAATAATGAGCAAAAAGTCACTTAAGAAAGTAAATATCTTTTACAGATAACAGTTTCTAGTTTACAGTATTTGTTGACTGAGTTTAGATTTTAATTTTGAAGTATGATTCATCATGAAACAACCTAGCCTAGCATTACTATTATAGATTATCAGGCTGAGTGATTACACTAGTTATGAAACAAGTGAATGTAAATAACTAGGGCTGTGCAAAAGTTAATTGCGATTAATCGCATCCAAAATAAAAGTCTGTGTTTACATTATATATTTGTGTGTGCTGTATATAATTATTTTGTATATATAAATACCTATGCATGCATGTATATATTTAAGAATTATTTGCGCTTAAATTCTGTATATATTTATAAATACATAATCTATATTATATAAATATAAATATTTTATATATGAATAACACATTTTCTTAAATATATACATGCATGTGTGTGTATTTATATATACAAAATAATTATATACAGCACACACAAATATATTATGTAAACACAGACTTTTATTTTGGATGTGATTAATCGCAATTCATTTTTGCACGGCCCTATAAATAACACATGTAAACTTCATGTCAGCTTGTTTTAAGTTGCGATGGTGAAAGCTGTCTAATTTATGAGTTTAATTATGTGTGTAATCAATGCTGTTAAACGAGTCATTGGTTTTGTTTTATATATATATTTTTTTTTACATATTGTCAAAGGAAAGATTATTTACAGTATATAGCACATTTCATAATGTTAGTTTAAAGCTCTTAAATTGTGTTTAAATGTTGAATTTTCAATGAATTTCTAAAAACATAAAAAAAAATTGTAAGAATCATTATTATAGAAGTATTGAAATTAATTTTTTTCAGGTCACTATTTCTTTTCTGATTGACTGTTTTCTCCATGAGTTTACTAGAGTGTGATAAATGACAGTACAGTATTGCATTTATTCTTTAAAATAATCTTATCTGCATGCATAATAATTACAAAAGAACAAGCAGATGTGCTTTAAAATACACACGGTCAACTTATTCAAATCCTGTCATTTCCTCAATGCCATTTTTCACGTTATTTGGAGGGAAATGCTCATGAAGACTTCAGACTGACTAATGCAATGGGAAAAATATAATCATTTGTCACTTTGTTTCATGCATTTAGTGATTGAGTGTGTGTGTGAGAATAACTGATGCTGTGTGTGTTTGAGGTATGGTGCTGGTCCGCACAGAGATGGGTCAGCTGGTGATGGTTCCTCAACAGGCTCTGGCTCAAGCTCAGGCTCAGAACAGCATCTCACCGAGACCCTCCACACCCACCAGCACTGCCACCTTCAGGGTCACGACCCCACAGGTACCACACACACACACGCGCACACACTTACTGATCTTATAGTATTGCTGAAATCGCAGGCATTAAAGTTCCCCTATTTACACTATTTTAAAAGTTTTATAATCGGTCTCCAACAATGTTTACATTCATCAAAGGTAAAAAAAAAACACTTTAATTTTCTCATCATTTAATTGCAGCATCAGCTCGTTTCTCACAGTGTCTGCTCTGATTGGTCAGATTGCCCAGTCTGTTGTTATTGGTCTACTATAGAGCCCAACCGATAAAGGATTTTGAAGGCCGATGCCGATATAAATATTTGTTCGTTTTAAAATCCGATATTCCGATATATCGGCAGATATTTTTTATTTATTTATTTTTTTCAGAAACGCGCAACAAAACATTAACAGATTTCCCTATTAGTTATTTATGAGTTTTAACTATAATAATATGTATTTTGAAAGAGTTTCATGGTGCCAGACACACTGTAAAAAAATATTGTTGGTTTAACTTAAAAAATGAAGTAACTTGGTTGCCTTAAAATTTTAAGTTCACTGAACTGGGAAAATTGAGTTAATACAATGAAGGAGAATGATTTAATCACCAGAAACTCAAAATTATATGTTATCTGAACTAAATAAATTATTTAAGTTGATTTGACAAAAGAAAAAATGTTGTGATTACCACACTGTAAAAAAAATATTGTTGGTTTAACTTAAAAAAGTAAGTAACCTGGGTTGCCTTAAAATTTTAAGTTCACTGAATTGGGAAAATTGAGTTAATACAATGAAGGAGATTAATTTAATCATCAGAAACTCAAAATATTATGTTATCTGAACTACATAAATTAGTTAAGTTGATTTGACAAAAGAAAAAATGTTGTTATTACAAATCATGAAAATATATATTTTTTTACAGTGCACTTGACAACCCAAAAAATAAATAAATTGTCTGCACACTTGAGTCCTTAAAGCAGAATTTAATGCCAAGCTTTCGGTAATATAACCATCCTCAGGGCAAATAAAAATAATTATAAACTAAAATAAACTAATAAACTAAAATAATATGAAAATGCATTTTTATTGTCACAACAGAACAGACGGATGATAGTGGCATTAGCTAGCTTTGTGGTTCGCTAGTCTATGATGAGCCATAATTTAGCAATGGATAACGTCAAACTGCAAATTGTAAAACATACATGTTCAATATAACAGGCCGTACGTCTCATTGCTATAAATGTCATGCGCTATTAAAGAAATACTTCAGTCACATTGTCAAAAGTTAAAAGGACAGTCAGTCAACTACACTGTAACAATCGTAACGTAACTATTACTAGCTAAATCCGCTTCACTCTTGGCTTATTCAACAGCAGCAAAACTGGACATGATAGTCACAAATTTTGTCATGCTTATTGGAGTTAAGAGAACTGATGGGGATGTTCTTTTAATTGTTGTGATCAACTCAACGAGTGTTGCCAACAGGGACGGTGTAGAGCGCCCTCTGGTGGACAAACTATACAACTCCAACACTCATGACATGGTTCAAGCGCGTTTCGTCCGTTTTTATTTTATTTTTGAAATATTCCTTTATCGGTCATTATAACTGCCGATACCGATAGTTTGGAAAATGCCAAATATCGGCCGATAATATCGGCCTGCCGGCTCTAGTCTACTAATGAGAGCAAGGGGGTGTGTTTGTGGGTGTGAGTGTGTTTTATTTGTATTATTAGTATGTTGTATCTACTCTGTTGTTTTATGTTGTTTGAATATGATCTTGAGGACCCCCATGAAAACGAGATGTTCAAAGATCTTGATCCTATTAAATATTCATAAATAAATAAATAAACTAGTGTTTGAGGGCGGAGCAAAGATACGCTGTCCAGCCAATCAAGACCACAGGCTGGCATTATTCTAATAAGTTAGGTTTGTAACAGACTGGAATTACTGACGACTTGTTTCAGGAAGTTCAGAATTGATTTCTTTCTTTCTTTTCTTTTTTTTTAATTTCACATTTTTCTTTTAGGAGACAACAACTTTGCAGAACTTTTACATTATTTTACTTTATTACTCATTACATATGAGTAAGCATAATAGGGGCTCTTTAAAGTCAAGTTTATTAAAGCTCCTTTTGTAAAACTGACTGACATCAAGCCAGCAAAACATTTTAAATTTAATAATTATACTTAATACTAATACTTACTTTATTACTTTCATATATTATTATTTAATACTGCAAAATGTCACTGATATAACTGTATATGCTGAGAGGTTGAACGTATGTTTCCTGTTTTATTCCCTGAGATTGAGAGTCAACATCGTTAATTATAAGTAACTCTCTTTTGATTATAATTTATTAAAGTATCTTTGGTGAAATGAAAACGTCACGATGATCTAGAACAGTGGGTCACGACCCCCACCAGGGGTCACCAAGGGGTCACATCTGAACTGACTATGATTTTACTATCAAATCATCTGCGCAGTGAACACAAGTGATGTCTCTTCTAGCTCAGTGTGAGATGAACTACTGCTGTCAAAAAGTTTCATTCTCATCACTCAAAATAAAGACACAAATCAGTGAACGTGAGTGATGATGATGATCATCTCTAAATTGTGATCGCTCCTGGTACGATGCTTCCTCAGGGTCCATGGAAAGATGAAATAGCAGGTAAATTGATGAATTAATAATAAATAACCTGTCCACAGATACTGAGCACTCTTGCACACTAAACACTTGGTTTCATATAAGCAGAAAACACAATCTTGTGAAGCATTTGGCCTGTAAAAGTCCAGGAGAAACACTGATCATTATACTTCATGCATTAATGTTAAATCCAGTATCATCCTCGTTATAAACAATATTAATATAACATATTAATAATATTAATCTTCACGTCTTTTGAAAATATAAAAGGGGTTTACCAATTCAGAAACTCAACTTTCACTATTTTCTTGTGCAAATTTGCACCAAATCTGAAACATCAGTATGCAAAAATTATTTTCACACTGACCATCTGTAAAACTTTGCGTTCAACATTGTGTCGGTTTCTTTTTCAGTTCAGTTATAAATCCAGAGTGAATCCTGATCGTCAGTGGCAGTGGTGGATGGATACATGCACTGCTGACATCTAGTGGCGCGCTTTAGTTATTACAACCTGAGATCATTAGAGTAAATTAATAAAGCTTTTTCAAATGATTTGATTTCTTCTCTTGGTTGCGGCTTTAATAATCCTCTTTCTTTAGTGTTGTGTAAATTAAACACTAAGGTATTTGTTTTTATGATTTGTGTCAAACGTGTATCAAACATGAATAAGTCCACAGGAAAATGCAGTTATAGCTATTCTCTGTTTTTTC